AAGATCTGCAATTATGGACTTCTAAACGAGAATTAATTTCCGTATATCAAAGGACAACCGGTAACAGATTCATTACCATCCGAGGCGTACCAAGGCTCATAAGCTATTCCTTCACTTCCACAGTTAGATTGGCTGTGTTCCTCACGGTTGTGTCACATTGACTTATTTTTTCTCCAATTTGACCACAAAGCATTTTTGTCTCCAAACACCTTAAAACAAGGTTAAATAATGCTTTAGCCTGCATTGTCCTCTGCACAAAATGTTCATATAAACATTGTAATGAGCAAGGTTGTCAGGTCAACTGAAAAAAAAGGTTGGAAATGGAGCTGCATGCATGTACATGGTTGTATTCTAATTATCCTTCTATCAACTGCACAATCCCAATACTCATTTAAGTGGCTCATGATGTGCTATATAACACAGCTGGGAAAGTCACAGCCCAGTGGGCTGCTACAATGGCAGCCAGTCATTGAGGACGGCCACATGTCTGTCAGGCATGCACACCACGTATACGGCCACAATAGCCTCATCAGTAGCCTTATTCAATCAGTCTTTACAGACGGGAGTCGACTCGGGTGATGCAGACCCAGCCAGCCGTCCACTGATCTGCATCACACAGGCATAAACAATCAGAGCGGCCCTCCTTAAATCTCCTTGAAGTGATCTCTGATTTCTTCTGATTGTGCCCGACACCATGCACTCTGCGCTCTGGAGTTTAACCATGTGATTAGCACAAGGGGAAGGTAGGGACAATCACATAGTGGTTTACTGTTTGTGTATGTATTGTTTTAGTAGCAGTTTACAAAAAAGGCGGAAAGAAAAGACGTTTGAGTCAATGATTTTGAGTGGCAAATTAATGCATGTTTGCCTCTCTGTGAAATGGAAAAAGTGTGCTTGTTATAAGGTAAATGAAACAATTTCAACCTCAATAATCTAATTTAGGCTAGAATTAACTTGGTAATGCAAGCGCAGGACAGAGTAGGATCCCGTTGGTGCAGCGTTGACAATGTCAGAAGCCCACGTGCACACACACAAAGAGGGACTGTGTTAATCAATTCCCTTATCAATCAATCAATTAATCATCCATCCATCAACCTTCATGAACTGCTGCTTGTCCTTCAGCCCCAGTGTGTCACCACTGCAGCAAATCTGCTGTCAAAAGCATTTAGATTAACAAGTTCTGCGAATATTCATCTTTCATTTTTTAAAGTGGCCTGACTCCGCCTGCAGGACTGCAGAAAGAGCTGCCCTGCTAATCCTTTTTTTATTTCAAGAACATTTATCTATCATTCTGTGCACTGTGTGAATGTGAAGTCAAAGTCAATTTCACCAAGACAATTGATTCTTGAGTTTGTCTTTGCAGCATTTTGTACAGGTATTGATCAAACTGCAAATGGCTCAGCACTGTTACACAATCATACAGTACAATTGAAGTTTAATAATGCTTTTATTTAGAATGATTATGACGTAAGGAAAATTGCTCAAGTTTTTGAGACAATACAGATGCATTCATAATAACAATGCCGTCAGAGTGTGTGGGCTAGAAGAGACTGAATGACTTTCTGTACTGAATGTCATTCCAGTGCCACTTAATTTTCAACAACATAATTGTTCTCAACCACTTACACTGTTCTGAATCCTAACACATTTCACAAATGATTTGTCAACGGAGTAGGTCTGAAATAATGTCTGAAAAAAGCTACTTTCATTTCAGGTAAGACTAATTTCTCATGAAATCCTTCTTATGCTAAATGACAGTATATCTAAGTATCTGGCTTAGTTACTGTGTTTAACTCTTCAGAGTAGTTTTGGATGATCATCTGAGAAATTCTTGATAAAAAGCAATGCAGCTCCACTAGAGATGTTGACAAAAGGAAAGAAAATGTGTTTTTGTGTGTTTGAGAGACCAATTATCGGTTTGCCTGCTTGTTGAGGGTTTACAAAATGTACATCATAATCATTGCGGAGTTTATTTTGTATTTCTATGGGCACAAATAGATAACATTTATTAGCCGCAGAGTTACGTGATCTTCATTTGTTTGATTTACATAAATGATTGTGCTTTTTTCTGATATTGTCAATACATGCATGAAATGAGAAAACTAAAATAAGCACATCAAAGTAGAATGGCTTACAGTTCTGTACAGCATATGAGGATTATTTGATCATGCAGCCATGAAATATCTCACGGGTAGTGTCAGAGAGGATGATTCTTCATGGTGACTAGCGGCTGATCAGTGGGTGAGAAGCTCGCACTGCAGCAGAGCAATATGTAGGTTACCTGTCAGGAAATTAAGCCTATTAACTGCTTATGTAACACATCACACATTAGGCACGTGGATTCTCTCCTAATGTTTTATTCTGTTTAAGGCAAAAAGAGACTTATGTAAAGATGGTGTACTCATTGGGATGTCTTGCTGCAAGCTGATATTAAACCTTTATTAGATTTTCCAGTGTTACTTTTGCATTCCATTTTAATTAGCCTATAATAAATATGCATTTTCCACTTCATGACACTTTACTTTTCTGTATACAGTGTTTCTTTTTAGAAATATGTGTAGAAGGCAATTTGTTTATTAGAAGCTGAATAGCTATGCTAGCAAAGAAGCTTCAAGCTAATTGTCAGTATTCTAACCTGATCATAATCTAACAAACTGATGTTTAGCAGTGCATATTTAAAGTTTATGTATCATAGGCAGGTGATAATAATTCATCCTGTGGGCAACATACATTTCTGATATTCTGTTGAATTTTTTTAATAAATGAAGAAATAGTAAAGTAGTTTTAAAAGGCATAAAAAAGGACACCTGATTAAACAATAGTTTGGAAAAGTGTCACTTAGTTTTACAGACATCTTCAATCTTGTGTGCTTTTCTACTCTCTGGTCAAATAGTGAGGTAGGGGGCAGGGAGGTGTGTCCAGTCTGCACACTGAACTGGACCTTTGCCCACTTTAATCATACGGTTATTATGGCCATCAGTACATCCCCATCCTTGGTCTTGGTCCAGCTTCCAGGAGTCATTTGTAAAGCAGCAGAGCAGGAAATGAGGTTGGTTTGCTGCTGTCACCCAAGCCTATGGACATGCTTGAGGGAACCACATAAAGTCGGCACGGGTCCGCTGATCATGTGGAGTCCCAGACAGAAAGTGAGGGGGGGTCATTGGTAGGAGGCTGAGGTGAAGACAGGACAGAGACATCACTAGCCCCTATATTTATCATTGGCTAATAATAGGGGCCCCAATGCTGACTGATTAATGAGGTTTTATGGCACGGTCAAAGAAATAGAACTATTGCAGGTCCACCTTTAAAACTGAAAAATGACATCCCCTTTTAGCCATTTGAAAAAGGGGCTACTATTCCTTGTTCTTCTCTTTCTTCTTCTTTTTTAGTAAAAATAAACATTCAGTCTTTTATAACTATGACTCCTGTCTTTCTGACTTTTCTTGAAGTCTTTGCCATATGTGATCTTTTATGGTCTTGTTAGGATATCAGAAACAGCTTGGATTTGAGAGATTTTTCATATGGTCATACCTTCTAATGTTCATAAATCTAATGAATTTGCTAAATAAATGGAGTTGAAAAATGAAAACTCACGAATAAACATATCTAGTCAAAGGCCAAAAAAGCCCAACAGAAGCAACCATTTATTTGTTATTCGGAGCTATAGTGATTGGAGGCCTCAATAAGAGTTAAGCCATTGCATGCTTTCTTGCAAATTAGGGTAATGTTCCACTGTACAGTACACAGACCTGAAAGGTGACTTGAATAGACTGACCAACTGGACTGGAGAGGGATTGGTTTTCAGAGGAAGGCACTCGACTTTCTTGCTCCCTGCAATTTGGATGTTAAACTGGACCTGTAATGACAACCAGAACTTTAGAAAAAGAAAAAAATACTTTTGATTAGGCTTACTATTCTTAAGGATAACATCAAGAACCCTAAGCTTTTTTATTATAGCCTAATATATATTGATATGGCTAGTGACTAGATGTTTAATTCCAATTGTTGTTTGTGTTTGGTGCAATAACAATGTGTAGAACACACCAATTTGATAGCTTTTACTGCTTTGATAGATGACAATACATATTTCTCTCTCTGATGGAAACCTGCCTCTGAGTGTTTCTGACAGTTTCAGCAGAATCAACTTTACAGGGGAAAGTTGATCTCAAAGTGGTGTTTGCGTTGACAAAAAAGTTAGCCTATTATGCCTATTATTCTTCCCACATGTTACAAATCTGATGAACACTTAAAATCTGACACAAAACATATATTTACTTTTATGATTTTTAACCAGGTAGGCCTAGCCCTATTGGGTACAGATCATCATGAACTGCCACTCTCTAGGTGCCACATGAAGTATAGACATGCAGCATAAGGTATTTTCTGTAGGCTACATAGGGGAGAAGGGGGTAAATTGAGCCAGTGGGTAAGTTGAACCACCCCCTGTAACCAGGCAACGCCTTATAGTTGTAATCAAGTGACCAGAAATTATGCAAGCTCCACCCATTTCTTATTGCCTGTGAAAGAGAGATACTCATTGTGGTCTTTTTTACAAAAAAACGTTTTTTGTTTGTCAAAGTAAATTTTCTAGATGTCAGCTATATCAGCTGTCATGTAAAAACAAAAGTATCCAGGTTTAAACACATATATTGTATATGTTGATGTGTTGGCAGCGTATTAAACCATGTGAATCATTAAGCTAAAGATGACTGCATTTTAATGCTAGGCTATTTTTGCTAAAATGGTGGCTATGGGGTAAAGTGAACCATGAGCCTTGGGGTAAGTTGAGCCAGTTTTTCAATGGAGAAATGAATGAAAGTAGGCCAAGTTGATAATAAGAGCTCATTGTAGGCTACATTTAAAGTTGAATTTACCCTGTGTTTGATTGGTAAGATGTATGAAATTGTATCACCATTTGTATGATTACTTTTCCTTTTAACATGTAAAAAAAAATCAATCAATTCAATCGAAATTTATATTAAAATTATTTGAAAAACTAAGCTTGTATTTGGTTTGTTATTTATTGTTTACAGTTACCTTTAAGATTTGTTGTAGGTATGCTCAGGTTTGAACAGGTATGCCCAGGTTTGAACAGTGGTTCAATTTACCCCCTGACCTGGATCAACTTACCCCTACACTGGGGCAAGTTGAGCCACAAGACTTTTTTTTAGAAGTAATATTTTCACTGCCCTTGATCAAATATTAATTATTATCATTGCCATTGATAGGAGACATCCTGAATTATAGGTGTGTTTTCATTTTTACTATGTGTCATTTCTATGGTCATTTCTCCTTGCTTAGAGGACAGCATAACTAAAAAAACTCTCTCCCCTACACACCCATTCAATAGTTACAATGCTCTTCGCACTATTTGAATTGTTTTTGTTTGTTTGCAGGACAGCAGAGAAAAAACATGTTTTCTTTATGATAATTGAAGGTAATGTAATTATAATGTAATAAGCCCCCAAGTCTGCAACTTTACCTGTTAGTAGCTCATAAGGATAATGGATCTAACTTTCTGAGAGGCCAAATCAGCAAACGTGAGTAGGCTTTTTTAGAGATAGATAATTATTTAATAAATATTTATAACAACACTCTATCACATAACTTACAGTAGGTTAAAAAAGCTAGCTACAAAGATGAACGGGTGTTAAAGCAGTTTAGCTGTGGAAATAATGCTAGTGGTTTAGCTAGCTTTAGCCAGCTAACAGCTCGTAGGTGGCCAAACAGGTGTAGAACTGTATTGTATTAGTTGTAGCAACTACAGAGGTGGCTAAAAATAAAGTTAGTTGTTTATTGAGTCTGTTTACCAGTAAGCTAAACAAGTGTGGGAGTTAAGCTAGTAGTTTTAAGAAGTGTTGAGCCTGCTAACAGCTATTGTGACTAAGCTAAATCTGTATGTAAATCGCAGTTTAGCTTGTTTGTTAGCAAGATGACATATGTAGCACATTGTATTTTCAGTTCTGTGTTGTGACCATGGATGTATAAGGTTGTGACCTGTGACGTAGGGAAGGACATTTCATCCAAAAATCAGATTAGCAGTTTCTTTACAAATAATTTATGATGCTCACAAACAGAATGTATTCGAGCCAAGCTTCAGATAGCATCAGACCCTGAACTGAACTCTCAGTCCAGCTCTGGCTCAGCCCCACAGCAGCTTTCCCCAGCAGCAGAGCCTGTAACGGGACACGGCTAACGATGCTGAGGGCACTCCAGTGCAGTCATGGCCTGTTGCACCTGACTCGCTCCTCGCTGCACACGGTACACTTGCCTGTTGTTAGCTTGTCTTCCAGTCTAATTTATGACACTATCAGACTTATCGGCTGCTACTGCACGCCCTCATGCTAAAACGAATTACTTAAACTAATTACGTATTGAGCCTATATTACTTTGTAATATTGTGTTCCTTTATTGTTGATGTATAATACAGCAGAAGAGGTTGGGGCACACAGGAACACCTGCTGCTGCTTGCTAATGCTTCATCCTCAACTTATACTCAAGCATACAAATGAGCTCACAGTAAGTATGATGACTTTTTGGCTATTATGAGAGTGTTTGCATGTGTTACTAGATCTTTAGACCCAAGCATGGCTCCTTCATTTGGATTCCTTATTTGCAAATGTTGGGAGTGGCTCAGCACATGTTTACTTGGCATGCAGTGTGTGTGTGTGTGTGTGTGTGTGTGTGTGTGTGTGTGTGTGTGTGTGTGTGTGTGTGTGTGTGTGTGTTTGTTTGTGTTTGTTTGCATGTTTATGTGTCTAAATCTATGCTTTACCCGTACCCTGCATGGGTTCTATTCTCACCTTATCACCATCATCCATCAAATGTAAGTTTATACGAATATTGAAATATTTATTTTTCATTTGGTAGACGCGGTGTTGCTTATTTTTATTTTAAGCTATATTACTATTTTTTACTGAGTAGTTATGAGACTCCTATTCAGGTCTTCCCATTAAGATTTGTCAAACAGTGTTTCTTACAGACCGTAGTCCTCAAAATATTGTTCTCTTATTGTGAATGTTGTATAATTACTTTATTTACTTTAAAATTCAAGAACCAAACCATAGACATTATTTGTTCTGCTTTATGTAGCATTGTGATCCGAAACCCCATACTTGAATCTTAGCAGTATATCTTATATTTACTCAATTGCTGTACTTAAGTACAAATACGAGTACATTTTACTTTCCATTTCATGCTGCTTCATACTTCTACACCACTTCATCTCAGATGGAAATATTGTACTTTTTACTCCTATTTGTCTGAAAGCTTTGGTTACTTTACAGATACGATTTTTCATTGCCTCTCTGTCCACTCTAAACCAATATCTCCAGATTTGGTGATATGTTTGTGATAAACTGAACAATATTATACATTTCAGAAATGTTACTCCTTAAGCCTTAAGCCAAATATACAATTTGAATTAGCTGGCAAATGCATTGTCACAAAACTGAAGGGAAAGTGGAGTTTTTAGGGAAACATGGTTCTCCCTGAACAGCAATGCCACATTTATAATGGTCTTGTACATTATGATGCATTTTATGTTATTCTAACCAACAGTATTAGTTCATATACTGTAAGCACAACCTTAAACCACATATTATTGCAGCAGTAATAATAATCAACACCCATGATTGTGAAACACTGGAACATTTTTACCGCACAATGTATTACTTTTGAGAACTTTAAGTAATTTTCTTTTATAAAACTGACATACTTTTCCTTTCACTAAGTAATTGTGAAGTATTTTTACATTGTGGTATCAGGATTAAAAAAGAATCTGAATATTTCTTTAATCACTTGCACTTGCATAAATACTACTGTCTCCACCCACATTATCCTTGACTTGTTCACTGGCAGTATTGTTGTGCCAAGGTTAAGCCGAAACTTTAACCCACTCATCAGCGTTGCGGATTAGTCCACGCCGGTACCAAATGCATCTTCAGTTTCTTTTAGGAGCTTCAAGTGACCAAAAGTCCACTTACACATCACTCAGATCAGAGAGTACATTTCCACTTCCGACTTTTAAGATGTAATTTGGTTTTCAATTAGATTTCTTTCAAATGTTATAACCTTCTTTCTTTCTATAAAAACACAGTAATACAGTAATGCTCAGTTAAACCTGTGCAGTCCATGATTTGTGCACTTCAAAGACTCTGGTTAATGCCAGTAAACCTCTAACTAAAAGTGACAAGCAGCCAGTGTTTCAGGGTGAACAAGGTTGGATAACCACACACACGCACACGCACACGCACACGCACACGCACACACACACACACAGTCTCCTGTAAGGGCTCATTTCCCTGCAGCTCCTGTTGGAGGTGTCCAGTGTGAGTCCTAGAGTTTCACCCTCCTTTCTCATGTGTCAAAGCACGTTGTTACTTATAGAAGCACTTATGTTTTATTGAAGTTATCTGTAGGTTTGCACAGGAGTGCAATTACCTAAACATGCATTCACGTACAGGAGTCTAATTGCTGTGCATAGGTGATGACTGATAATATCACTGCAAAAATCATGACTATGTGCCAGTTTTACGTTTCCCTGGAGTGATTTATGATCATTTACTCATTTATTCATAATAATTATAATATTAGATTAGATAAAATTACTGTTGAGAGCTGAGTTAAGAGGCAATTTCCCTTAACACAAATAAAGTGACCACTGATAATAATAGGAGTAGTTGCCCACTGCAGCACTATTTGTGCTTAGGTCTTCTAACCAGCTTTGTGTATGAATGGGCGTCTATATGGGGAAAGGCTCACGCTGCTACAGTGGCTAATTCCTGCTAATCCCGCCGTATCTCATACCACTTGGAGATGGTTTCCAATGGCAGCCCTGGAGCGGGGGAATTGCTGGTGAGATTAGCTGGCGTTAGCTCACGTTAGCTCCTCCTCTGTGGTTTACACTCACCGCCAGGCCAGGCTGGCCCACCACCGCTCCAAGCTAACTTTTTGCACAGAAATGGATTAACTGTTTATTCAAAAATGTTTCAAGTTTTATTAAGAAAACAATGTAAGTTTGTTTGGATTTACTCTGCTGTCAGTATGTTTTTTAGTAGTAGTAGTTTAGTAGATTCAATGTTTAATGCACAATTGTGAGGGCAGCAACAGGCACCCTTCTCTTGAAGGATTGTTAAGCAGTGTGTTTGTGGAGGATTTAGTGTTGCTTTATGAGTTTTTTGGCTCTGACTAACTTTCCTTTGGACATCTTCATGCAATCTACATTCTTGTTTTTTTTTTTTCTCTCACTGCATTTAATAACCTTGATAATGTGTGTGTGTTTTTATCCTAGTTGGATATATGTTATTATAGTTTAAATGACACTTTCTAACTATGAAATACTGTAGTAATGATAGAGTGATATCAGTGGCTATCAGAAACTGAGGTCACTTACAAATCTTTAAAGTTGACATAATACTAAGCCACAAGGTCGCAAGGAGTAAAATGAAGTTGAATACATGTTTATTAAACTAATGCCCAGTTATGTCCAGATTTAACCTTGTTGCATCATGCAGCTAAATGGAAACCTCCAAGAATTAACCCTCAATCTGCCACTGGATTATCCTGTAGTGAAAAGGTCCTCCAGTTCAATTCCCAAACAAACCAGCATGACATCACTTTCAACAGTCAACAAGACACAAGTAAACAAGACACTTATCTGGTAACACTTTTATACAAAATCATTTCACACAAAAAATGCATTGAGTATTGTATTTAATCTTAAGAAAGGTAATATGTCTGTTTTAAGAAAACACTCCTTACTTACACTCCTTACACTCCTCAGACAAATAACCGTTTCATGTGTGATAACCCAATGATTATCACACAACAACACACCAATGTGTGTTGTTCAAAATGTTTGTGGTACTCTATGTATATGCATAATGGCCTTTAAATCTCCTTCAGTGGAACTCTTATAAAGAGCAAAGCACATCTGCAGGTTTTATACAAGTTGTGTGTTTTTCTTTCATAGGAGAAATCTCCAGAAGATGTTTCCACAATCAGGGAAATCGATTGTGTTCGACAACTTTCCAGATCCTACTGACGCCTGGGACATCATCGAGACAATCGGGAAAGGGACTTATGGAAAAGTCTACAAGGTGCTCAATAAACTTGATGGAAGTAAAGCGGCTGTAAAGATACTGGATCCCATCCATGTAAGTTGACTTTGTTATCTGGTACAGGAGTGTATTTCAATTTAAATGGCATATGTTATACTTCTTCTATTAGTGTTAACACTCCTTATACACTTGTATACCTGGAAAAACATTATATGCAGGGGTAGACATTTTATTGTCACTGGCCCCACCATTGTCACCACTGGCCAAAGAGCATTCGTCCAAAAGAATCGACTAATAATGAAGAAAATGTGTTGCAATAGTAATTTATGCACAAACTACATTACTACTTGTACTACAACATTTGAATCATCAGTTCTTCCTCATTTCCCTCAATTGTTCATATTTGGTTTATTAAAGGTCCATGTCATGGCCATTTCTACTGATCATAATTCCATTGTTGAGGTCTACGAGAATAGATTTATATTGTGCAATGTTCCAAACTCACATTAGTTTCTCATACAGCATCTCTGTATAGTATGTGTATTCACTCTCTGTCCTACAGGCCTTGTTGGAGCTCCTGCCCCCGCCCTCCCTGTGAGCCCACTGTGCTCTGATTGGTCAGCTCGCGCACTCTGTTCTGATGAGTCCACCACCGTTACAGCGGAACATCAGTGATTATGTGTTACAATAGCGTTAGCAACCAGAAAATGACACCAGTAAGGACAAACAGATGAGAATGCTGCGTGGGGTTACCGTTGGTATTAAAAACATTTTGGCGAATGGTTAGGTGGCGAGAAAGTAAACATTTGTTTTGCTCTGCAGCAACAGCTGTTTGCTTTTCACCCAACATCAACAACTGCCTCACGAAACGCTATGTTGTAGCATTAATAAACGAAACAATTTAACAAAATTGCTTGTCAAAATACCAATACCACAGGACCATTTTTTTTTTTAAAGCAATATATAAGTGGAAAGTACGTTATGCTGGCCCGGGGTGTCTAAATAGTGCTTCCGGGCCATCGGGCCATGTCGAGCCCTGATATGTATTTGTATATACTGCACATTATATAAAGTATTTATGCTACACCATATACAAACATCACTCTTAAGGGATATGGATATGACAGTTCCAGAAGATATATGTTTTTTAAGTTTAATTTAATCTTTGTGAGTTCTCTTTCTTTTGTATTGCTTGGCTACAGTTCAAAACAAGACATGACAATAATATTTGCAAACCATTTCAAGAGTTACATTACATAGTAATTATATAATAGCAAAAGCAGTTAAGAACTGACCCATCCTTACAAAAATGATTTCAGAATGAGGAGTTTAATAGGAAGAATATGTGTATAAAGTTCTGGAAAGTATTTGGACAGATCTCTTGTAAATCTGACACAGTCACTGACTCATTAGCCCAATACTAGATTTAAGTCATGGTGCTCTGCTCTGTTCTCTGCAGAGGGCGTTAAGAAAAGGAGTTTTCTTCCATCTACAATCATTATCTCAGCAAATTGCCTCTGACTATTTCTTGGATTTATCATTGCAGGGCTCCTCTTGCTTGTGCGGAGTTTTTAGAACTGAGCCAAAACCCATTTGGCACCCATGCATAAGTGTGTGAAGCACATTTGGCCCAAAGCAAGAACATTTTGACACAGAGCAGATAAACACGATGTTGATTCTGACGTCCAAGAAGCAGAAAAGATTTAAGAATTAGAACATTACTGCGCCAGAGGTACTACAATTAAGAAAGGTTACTATTTTTAGATAAACAAACATTAGTGTTGGCTTTCATACTTCATATTACTTGCTGTCATAGTGCGTAGCCATAATTTACCTCTGTTTATTTTGATGGTACAGTGAACAGTATGGCTGAAACAGCAGCTCTAATGAGCAGCCATTTTCTATTAATTCCTGCCTTCATGCTTATGAAAGTCCCATTAGTCTTTTGTACATTTGTTACTCTTTCTCATTATTGAGAAATGATTATCCTCAGACCACTAGACTGAGCACCATCATTACCATCGTTGTAATCACTACGTTGAGTATTAGACCTATTACTTTCATTACAAGTACAATGGAAAGTCCCCTTATGTGCTACGGTATGCTGAGGTTCAGAGAATACTTGGGATTTGTTTCTTTTTGGTGCACAGAGGCACTATATAATCATTTTTGCTACAGCTACTCTGAGGGGTTAGGAGAGGGAATCAAACCCATATTTCTTTTACACAAAACCTTTTCTTGTATTCGTTTTTTCCTCTAACACTTTTCTCTCCTTGACAAATACTGGATAGTTTTTATCTTTCTGGTGTCTTAAGAACGAACAATCTCTTTCATTTACCTTTGTATGACTCGCTGCTTTGTTTTGGGTGGATTGGAAAAACTGCAGTGGAGTATTAGTCATAAATAATATGTCATATGTCATTTGTCATGTTATTTTTGTATTTGATCCTGATTTCAACTTATTTAAATCGCGAAAAACTGTATAATATTGTGTTATATTTGCATAATATACAATTATTGAAGAATTACAACTGCACAGTCAAAGGTAACACCGAATTATTTGCGTCTATGGTTAACCTAGTTTTGAATACGTTTAATTAGAATTTCCACCAACAATATTTCCATGTACAATACCCCTGTCTCGTTAGAATGAATCAATTAATTAATTTGCCCCTTTCACACACATTCAATTCAAGAGTCAGTGGTAGAGACTTCACAAGTTGTCCTAAAGAACAGCAACAGTTCTAAAGTGATTATTCACTTGTTTCGCTAGAGTTAGAAAACAAGATCAATAACTCTGTTACAGCTGAATTTCCCCAAGGTGATGAATAAAATACCTTCTCTTCTCTAAAAACGTTTTATGAAGCTAAATCCAGGTGACGCTTAGCTTAGCATCCAGATTGTAACCAGCGGAGAACCTTTAGTTTTTAAAACACAATATAACATAATGATTAGTGAGCTTTATAAGTGAAGTATCATTTTACAATACCTTTGGTCAGTGCCATGTCTTCAGTCTTAATGATATGTAAAGTAGGGCTGCTCGATTATGGCAAAAATCATAATCTCGATTATTTGGGCCAATAATTGTAATTGCGATTATTCATTGACTTTGAAAACATCCATTTATTGTATTTTAAAACAAATACAAATAATAATTTGAACTTTTTAACTGTTGAATTATATGTTCAGGGTAATCAACTGAAAAATCAATAAAAAATAAAATAAATTATACATTCATATCTACATTTAAATAAATAATATCAAAATAATAAATACCAATAAACAAGATCAACAGACATGTTGCAGTGCACTGTCACAACCTGACAACTCCTTAACATATAGCCAACATTTTGGTAAAACATATTCAACATATTCCACTCAGTTAAACATTAAAGACTGGCCCACCGTCATGGTCCAGAAGTAACAGGAAATAAATGTTGAACTACAATTTAAGACCAAATAAAAATGTTTTGGCCACCATGGCAAATGCTGGTAGGGCTGCTCATGTCATCTCTTAAAGATCTTTTTCTAGAAATTAGGGCTGCTCGATTTTGGCAAAAATCATAATCTCGATTATTTGGGTCAATAATTTATATCACGATTATTAAAAACGATTATCCATTTACTTTGAAAACATACATTTATTGGACATTCAAACAGTATGTTTTTAACAGTTGATTACCGTGAACTTTAAGTATAACTCAACTGAAAAAAATAAAAATAAAAATCGTTATATTTCGATTACGTTGTTTTCGTAATCGTTGCAAGCCATAATCGTAATTGCGATTAAAATACGATTAATTTAGCAGCCCTAATGTAAAGATAACCTTTCTCTTGACTTAAGCTTAGTTTACAGTATAGGCATGGGAGTGGTTTACATTTCTTTAATCTAGAATGCTAAAGTCACCATTACTAGATATTTTGCCATTTTTTTTTATTCTCATATCTATTTGAGTAAAAAGTGTTACAAAAAGGAAAAAGATGGTTGGTAAACATGAGAAATGTGTTATGTTAACTGATCTGTGTCCCTGTTTTTCAGGATATTGATGAGGAAATCGAGGCAGAGTACAACATCCTCAAAGCTCTTTCTGACCACACCAATGTTGTCAAATTCTTCGGGATGTACTACAAGAAGGATGTGAAATGTGGAGACCAGTTGTGGCTAGTACTGGAGGTAGGAACACTTATTGTATTTAAATAGTAAAAACCACCATATGTTTGCAAACCATATTGACTGAATCCTTAGTGCTGGGGTGAGCAGTTTATTTTTGGTATTATAAAAACCATGATAACTATTGTTGCTTACTTTGCTGCCAACCCCCTTCAGCAGTGGCACAGGAGTTTGTCTTGAGTAATAAAGAGATATAGCAATTATTTACTGACAAATCAATTGTAAACTCACTGCACTAAAACGTTCCCAGGTAAAACATTACCATACTCACTGTCCACTTAATATTGACACGTAACGCCAATAGCGCTGCTCCCTGACAGGGCGAGATGCTTCGTTTAAATGATTTCACCTAATGATATTGGATCCTTGCTGGCATCATATCATCTCTATCTTTTCTTTCTCGATGGGAGTTCAAAACTACAAAAATAATTGTTTAAATTAAAAATTGTTAAAATAAATAACTAATCGTACCAAAGGCAATGCTACGAAGCAGAGCCATCTTGTGGGTATTGATTTGATGTAAAGCGCCTTCGAAAATTAGGAAAAGCGCTATACATTACATTACATTGCATTTAGCTGACGCTTTTATCCAAAGCGACTTACAATAAGTGCGTTCGACCAACAAGATACAAACTTGAAGAAAACAGAATCATATAAGTACATCAGGTTTATACAAATCCCATGTATTATTATTATATTATTTTTAAATTTCACAATCAAATAAATAAATAAAATCTATTATGAATCCATGATGAAGTTTAAATGATTCATATTTTTAATTATATAATCTTATAGTCTTAACCATAGCTCTTAACCCTGCATAACCGAATGCAACATCATATTTATGATATTCACGCCGTCAAGCTTGGCTTGCAATCGTCTGCTCCACAAACAGAATCAGAGCAGCAGGAAAAACGCCCCGCTGACGACCAAGTTCAGTATTTGAGCCATGTTGAGAGGTTTTTGTGGATTTTTTTGTCCAATGACAGCAAAAATAACTCACTACCTACCTAGCCTCACGTGCTTTAAATACCATTCACCTGTATAATGTGGCTGCACCGTGCAGACACAGTGCATACGTGCAGATTAAAGGTCTGGTTGTACATCTCAACCTACGTCTGGCCAGGTATATGCAGTGGTGACCAATCTGCCCAGGGATTATGTAACAGTATAAGCCACCCGGGTAGTCTAGGAGTTTACTTATAGGCCACCTCGGGGATTTGGATGTAGGCCAACAACATGGATATGTTGGGGGTGGACGTGAGCTCCCTGCTGAGAGCAGCAGAGCAGGGATTTCTGTTTACAGGCGCTGTCACAGTGCATTACTCTATACACGCACTTCAGCAGGCCCATGTGTCCTGTGGCTGATTTCAGTTTTAGGTAGAAAATGCGAAAATGGTAGAAAGTATTACACTTTATTTTAGGTTGTTGGTGCACTAACATGTAAACTGCCTTAGCTAAATTGGTAACTGTTGGGAAAATACTGAATGGACTCTTCTAATATCAGAGTAGCACATGACATGATAACAAAGGCCCTATGTAGCTGTGCACGTAACAGGATCAAAGATCGCAGGGGGGGGCGCCAGGCCTCAGATGATTTGAGGCCAAATATCATATTTAGACTTTTTTTTTTTTTTTTTACATATAATTGTAACGCAATACATGATTGTCACTAAAAGCCTTGTCTCTACATTACAATAAAATATCAAAAATAATTGATCAATTAGAATAAAAATTCAAGTTAGTATCTATTAAAGGCATAAAAAGACAGAAATGTTTATTTTGCCCGTAAAGTGTCCAAACTAGTGTTGCACGGTGTACCGATACTTGAAAGGTACCGCGATACCCTGCCGTTAAAAACGTTACGATTCCTCCGTTTCATTAGTATCGGTACTTTAAGAATGACGGGGGAAAGTACTCCGGTGAGAAAGCGCCGTTTTAATAAGAGTCGTGTGTATTCAGCGCTCTGCTTCCACTCCCTGCACAGCACTGCAGCCGAGCCTGCAGTCCCTCCCCTCTCAAGCACGCTCTAAGTCCCTCCCCTCTCTCGTGCACGCGCTAGCTGCCAGAGCATGTGAGACAACGGGGAGCAAGTGGCTGCAAGTGGGAGTGCAACTGCCGCTGCGCCTCGGCTTGTTGACAAAAAAGACACCAGAAGCGAAATTTGGAAGTATTTGAGCGATATCTCTGACAGTGAGGGCAAGCCTACGGACACCACGAGGCCTGTCTGTAAGACATGTATTCATTTTATTTAATACTAATTCTTGTCATTTATTTTATTTATTGTTCTCATTGTTTAAAAGTTTGTGTTATGGTTATGGTTCTGGTGTGAAATAAAGCACAATAATTACATTTAAGACTGTTTCCCTTTTTTTAAGTAAAGTATCGAAAAATAATCGGAATCGCAATTCTTGACTTGGTATCGGTATCGAAACCAAAATGTTGGTATCGTGACAACACTAGTCCAAACCAGGCTTTTCTGGATAAGCGCATTTTTAAAACATAGTCATTGTCCATGCCGGTTTCAGTTGGATTATTTGTCACAGTTGCTCCGATCAGATCGGTCTCCTCCATTTTGTAGATTATTTACGACTTTTGGATCCACATAAACACATCGGCAAAATCCGGTTTACTTTGCGCATGTGTTTTAAACAGTTTAATCCCTTTGTGAATTGTTTCCACTTCCGGGCCGTCATTTAATTTCTTCATACAGCGGGAATCCAAATGAATTAATCCTGAGTCCAATAACCATCAAAGTCACTCCAATAGTGCTCCTTAATTACGCTTTCATCCTCCTTTAACAAAATACTTCACATTCATCCAGTTTGTGACAGTAGTTGTAGCATTTTTGAGACTTTTCAACTTTAATTACCGCTGTTGCAGTGTGGAGTCAGGCTCTTGGGAAAAAAGGTTGGGAACCCATGACCTAGAAGAGTGCCAGGACACACTGTTTTAGACATATGATAGCTATGTGACAATGATTAACATGATGATTCAGCCTCTATAGAGATAGGCATATGTTCTTTACATCTGTGATCATGTCCATTCTACAGTACTGCAATACTACCTGGTACAAATGTCTGTCAGCAGCGTTAAAATCAAAACTGCTCCACCTGTTAAAGATCTGCTCAAAGATTGTTGGTCAACCCTGTCAGAGACTCTATGACTCAGCCTATCATAACAACCTAGTGAGGCTGTCCAACAACATCATCTCCGACCCAAACCATGTTCTGAACAGTGAATATGAACTGCTACCATCTAATCGGAGATACAGGGTCCCACGATTCAATAAAGTCAGACTGAAGCACTCCTTTGTGCATCAGTCAGTCCTCACAGTAAATACAGAGCTAAATCCCAGACCAAATGCACGCTGAAGGCTCTTTGAGCATGTTTTTCTCTCACTGATTGTGCTGTTATGTTAAATGTTTGTGTTTCATGTATTTGTGTATGCATATTTGTCTGTTGATGTTGGACATGGAGCTGCTGTGACGCAAGTCAAATTTCAGACTTGATCTGACAATAAAGTAATATCGTATCGTATCGTATGACTGTCATGTTTATTGCCTATGCAGGCCTTCGCTAATCTGAACTAAGCAAAGAATACTGCTTTGGACCCGTATTCTGCATCTTGTGACTGTGATACTCTTGTATTTAAGACATGTGAAGGACACTGTTATACACAGTATAACATTTAATTAATTGGCATTTACACTTTGGTGTATTGTTCGTTCAAGCAATCGTTTTCAACCAGGCACAGCTATGCTAGAACAGAGTGTTTATATTTCCAAGCGCAGTGGGCTTTGCATCTACAGTAGCAGTGCTCTGTAACCCAGTAGATAGTTTTCACCTCTGCAGCTTGTGTTTCTTCCCCTTTTCATCGCTGTCCTTCCTCATGACCTCTGCAGAGGAGCCTGCAATCACTTTGCTCGGATATCAAGTACAAGATGCTGAAGAATCAGACCACAAACTGCACGCAGAGTTCACTCGGCTTTGCTACTTTGTTTATTGTTTGTTCTTCCCGGTTTCCTCTTTGATTTGCATGTCCATTTTCTACATTTCCCTTGCAAACATCTCCAAATCTGTCTAATCCTGAGGCTGAAATGACTGCCTGACAGTTTAGTGTGTGTGTGTGTGTGTGTGTGTGTGTGTGTGTGTGTGTGTGTGTGTGTGTGTGTGTGTGTGTGTGTGTGTGTGTGTGTGTGTGTGTGTGTGTGTGTGTGTGTGTGTGTGTGTGTGTGTGTGTGTGGTGTGTGTGTGTGTGTGTGTGTGTGTGTGTGTGTGTGTGGTGTGTGTGTGTGTGTGTGTGTGTGTGTGTGTGTGTGTGTGTGTGTGTGTGTGTGTGTGTGTGTGTGTGTGCTCTGAAGTAGATGCACATGGGGTTTTAGAAGTGGAAAGCAGGCAGTGAGGTGGACATTCACCATGGTTACTGTCATTTCCCATCCTTTCGCTCTACTGAGAGGAGCCTTTCTCTGCCCGCGCTGACAGGCAGGCCGCTCATTATGAACTGAATACATACAAATGGCGTCCTTCACTTTGTTAGCCGCTCATTGGGGTCTGCAAGCTTTTGGCTTCGCCTGTGTAGTGCGCTCCTTTATGGCGGTGGATGTGGGCAGAGATGAGCGCGCTTTCATGTATGATGGCCTCATTTAGCTCCCAGAGAGCTCAAGCACACTTCAAAGATTGCGATGATGGAGCGACTTTTATTCTCTAATTGGAAATAAAAACCTGATTTAGATGTCATTTGTGAGCACCCCTGTTTTACTGGAAGACCCTGTAATATAAAGGGCAATGATGATTGGAAACTTTAAAAGCTTTCTTTAAGATGTACCAGGCAGAAATCGAATCACAATTTGAATTGAATCACAATTTGAATCACAATTCAAATGTAACTTTCAATTGTTGTAAAGAATGCTACTGTTTTACTAATGCTTTGTTGTCACTTACATTGGTTATAATGATATAAGGGGTAGTAGTTGGAGAGCAACTATTACATGGGAAAGCTAACTTTTACGTCCGGTTAAAAGCTGCTGATCTCTGATGTGAAACATTGCTTCTGTGATCTGAGCACACATTGGATCGTTTTCATTATGTTTTCACCATTTTCAGCAAATCCTGTGTATGTAAATCTCTGTTAAATATTTTAAAAAACCTCGTTTACATGTTGATAAAGTCTCGGCGTAGCATAGACCCCTCATCTTTGCATCAAAGCTGTGGAGGGGGCACTTGGAGACCAACTTGGAACTGTGATGTGAACAGAAATGAAAGAGCTCCTATACAGGGAATTGAAGTAAGCAGGCATGAAGGGCATTTATCAGAACCATTGGCCGAGTTCCTGCAGCCATGGAAAGTCTTGTCAAACATTAAACATGCCTTTATGGCCTGGTTGAAAGTGTGACAGCAAACCCACAGTTTATTAAATTACACTTAAAGAATAATGTAATAGTATAAGACGCATTGCGATCTTGGAGAATGACCAAAATGGAGAAACGTGTGAAGAGGTTTCTTGGAAAGGAAACAAACATGCAAGCTTGTGTACAGATATAACTGTAGAGCGTGAGATGACCTGAAATGTGAAATTAAAGAAAAACTAAGTAGGCAAAGCAAAGAGTCAAACCAAAGACATCGAGAGTCATTTCCATGTGGTGCTCTTGAAAATTCAGAATAAAGTTATATTTTTACCCCCCAAAAAAAGGAATATGGAGATCGGAATCATAGAAATATAATTGTATTTATCCTGTTGTTCGTCCTCTTATTGACCCCACATTGATATTCTGTCGGATCCCTTCTAAAAGTAATAAACCACTGCGGCCTGCATTTCCCCCATTAGTCTCTGTATTGACTCCAACCTCAGCCAAACCACCTCTGCACTCATGAATTGACAATGAGGTCTACAATGTTATTCCTTGCTTGGACTTTGCAATAAACGGTGGCAGGAAGTAGACACCAGAGTGTGTGTGTAAACGATAAGCCCACATCATTAACAATAGAGGTGTTTTTCAGTGGAGAAGATCCAGCGTGTAGGAATTATTAAGTGCTGCAGGCATGACACAACTACAACAATCCAATCATTTACAGGAAATAGGAAATGCTAGTTATATTTGCTTGGATACGTACATCAAAGATAGTTGACCAAAAAGTCAGCAGCTGTGTGTTTTAGCGGCTATACTGTGTTTTTTTTCATTTCATTTCATCTTTATTTTTTGTTTCATCCATTTATTTAAAGGTCTTTGATCAACTAATTTGATTAACACGACTAAACACACACCTGACCTCATTTGTAATGGAGAATATTCCACTCAGTGTTCAGTGTTTTGATTGTTCTTCTTTGATAATTGATGGTTCTTTGGAAACCCTCATGACTTTGCAGTCCTAGTGAAGTTGTAGGAAATAAATCAGATCTTAAATATGAAGTTTTTATTCAGATTCTACGCAAATCTGTGTTGGACAAACCTCATTAAGAAAGTCTTAAGTAAGTAGCTCTTACACTTTTTTTTTTTAGAAAAAACAACATATAAAATATTTCCCAATTGTTTGGAAATGGTAGTCAGTGGGATATGTGTTGACTTTAGTTTTAAAGTGTTATTTTCTTGATGTTTATGTCTTGTTGGCAGCTGTCGGTAATAATACATCTTGAGGGGAATCATTAGAAGTATGCTCTATAAAGATGGTCCTAATTTTACATTTATGGCGGAATACAGTTACATTGTTAACCTCAGATGTGTTTATAGCCACGTAGAATTACTAAAGCTATTTTCTATTCAGCTGTTTTCTTTATTCCTATCTATGTTTACAATCAATGAGCATTATCAATTAATGATGTTTTACCTTTGAATGGGAATTGGTCTTTTGTTTCTTCATTGTTACATGAAGGAGTGAAACCCTCACTAGATGTGATTACATATCTGTACCCGAGGGTTAGGAAATCTGGTTTAATCTGTACAAGATTTACATCAAACCAGGTCTGAAGTTTCAAATATATCGTCTTCACCACCTCTCAAATAATTAATGTTCATGCCCAGCATCACTTTCTGGAAGTGGGCTCAGGTGAGAGTGCTAACGTTTAGCTCGGCTAAATCTAGGACACAGGACCTCTCATTAATATGGATCTCTCTGTCTGCCCGGTGTAATTTAATGATGACAGGTGATATGGCAGCAGTGATGTGGACTGACGTCAGGCGCGGCTCATTGTCAGAGAGCTGTGCTGTCTGTGAAATCCTCAGTGGTGTTCTCTGCTTAACTGCAGTTAGTCTGCACGTCTGATAGCAGAGAGAGGAAGTGATTAAGCTCCCCATGTGGCAGCTGAGATGCATGCCATCCATCCTGCAACAGCTCTCTGGACTCCTGATGGATAGGTAGATTGATAGGCAAACAGAAAACAGACACAAGGCATAGCGTCGAAAACTTATGCCGTTGCTTAGTCAAGGTCAAAGACCTGCGTCACTCTCAGCATCTAGTGCATGGAAGGATTAGTGTCTACCAGCCCCAGGTGCTAATGGTGCCCCTGAGTCTCTGTCTGAAGTGACTGCTTACATTTATCGTTGGAAAGCCAATTAAATGACTGAAAAAAGACACAATGAGAGGCAAAACTGCGACAAATAGAAACACCATTACTACAAGACACTCCAAACAACAACAAAGAGAGGTTAAATGACCACAAAGACGGACAAAACGCCTGAAGAGAGAAAACAAAATTGCTACTAAGAGACGAAAGACAAAGAAACACAAAATGACAGAATAATGACACGCTGTTTTTCAGGGTGTATTGCTGCAATACTGTTGGAGGGGTGGGTGGGTTTTCACATGATCATGGCCTATTGTGGTGCTATGATCTATTGTTCTGATGTTCCAACATCCAAAGGACAATTCTTATGAATTCATGATCACTATTGATATCATTTTTAAAATATTTTTTAACAAATAAAACCAAACTCATATTTGCGATAACAGTTTTTCCCAGGATGTAAGAATTTGCTGCTTTTATACTATTGTAAATGACATTCTTCATGTTTCACTGTTTGATAAAGAAAAGATCAATTAATAGGAAAATGAATCACTAGAATAAACAGTAATGACATTCATTTGTACTTGCATCCCTCAAAGTAATGTAATGCAATGTTTTGTTCTCTTTAAAAATGGTTCACTGTAAGTTGTTGGTGGTAAAAGCATTTGATGGCTTCCTGCGGTTAGCTCAATTAACAACACTTGTGTGTGGATTGTGTGCAAAGGCAATCATGCATTGTGGGTAAAAGTATAATGAAATAACAAATATGAGCCTTTAGGAGATTCAAGCACACCCTGCATATATAATCTCTGTATTATGATGCTACTATTGTACCAATCAGCATTTGTATTCTTAAGATTGCAGGGGACTATATTCATTGGATAATAATACATCATTTTCTATCTAGTGTCATTATGCAACATTCAATTTCAATGTCAATTTTAAAGAAATTACTATAACAATATATGCTCCATGCTGAGCTGTTGTGCATAAGGCACAACAATCATTGTTTTGAATGTAATGTATAAGTTCTTTATGAGTAACCTTTGCTGACATGTGCTGTACAATGTCTTTATCACTATCGCTGCAGGGGGCTGATTCAAATCCTAAATAACCACACTCCACTTCGTGCCTGATTAAGCCTTTAGTTTACTAAGTGTGGGAAATGAGTGTAATTATACAGGACAAATGCTCCATACATAGAAATGTCCCATCTGACAAAATGTTTTCATATGCAGTTAAGTATAAAGCTGGGGATATGTGTTTACAAATAGGATTCATATGCAGCATCTACAATTTATTTTCACTAGCAGCCCCCAACACTTTGATTGGCATCTTAGAGCTTTTTATGTACCCCCTGCATATCTCGAAGAAAAGTCTAAATTAAGGGTTATCATTGTTGCCAAGGCAACGTGCTGGGTACTTTTCTGTAATTTTCCAAGAACAATTGCCAGTGACGGTGGAGTCCATATCTAAACGCAGTACACTATAAAAAACACAGGAAATCAAACTAAAAAATCAATCTTCCATGTGGATTTTTATTCTTGTTACATTCTGTTTCCACTCTAAATTGCTCTCCTAAAATATCCTTTATTCCTATTTTTAAATGTTTGAAAACACAAGAGGATGTACTTCAATTGTGCTAGTTTAATATTTACCCTGCTTAGTCATCACAGCATGCTGTAGATTAAGCCCATGCACACATAATGTACCTTCTCCTTGTGGGCACGATTTGCACCCCTCACTAAGCTGCCTCAGAAAGATAAGCTGCTAAAGATCTCTTTTCTCACTATGAAATCTTAGGATCAGAATTTTGTTCCTCCTCTGCTGTTTCTCTGTGTGAACATCTCAGGTGCCCCAGATTTCAGCGTATTGAATAAGCTCATCTATAAGTGCTGACTCATGTTGAGTTGTAGCTCATTATTCCCCTCTCTTTGTGTGTTTTTCTGTTGCAGCTGTGCAATGGCGGCTCTGTGACAGATCTGGCTAAAGGCATGCTGAAGAGAGGAGACCGAATGGATGAAGCTATTATTGCATACATCTTGCATGAGGCCCTTATGGTAAGTCTGGCCTTTTCCATGTGCAAGAGGGGAGACAATAACAATTGAATACATTGCTTCGGGAAAAAAGCTTGAACAGGATCATTTGAAAGCAGGTGCTTGTCAGAAAAAACGGTTAACCTTCTGTTTTTATTTTTGTCACAGGGCCTCCAGCACCTGCACGTCCACAAAACTATTCACCGTGACGTCAAAGGCAACAACATCCTGTTGACGACGCATGGAGGTGTCAAACTCGTGGATTTTGGTACGCAATGTGTAAAAAACACAAAGAAACCATGTCTTTTTCTGTTCTATCCTCCTCTAATCAGTTGCAATCAAGTTATGGCTCTACTTAACAGAAGAGGGTCAAATCCATTACCCTCAGATGCTTGCCAAATAAAATTGTGCAGCTAATTAGTTCCCTTGAGAGGTTGAAATGTGTTTACAGAACCTGACAAGGTGGCAGACGATAGACTTTTCCATTACAACCTATATCTTTCACATTCTCAAGCAGACAGCAGCGGACATTGTTGCTGTTCACTCTGTGTTTGCACGGATTTGCTTTTGAGTTTTCTTAACCAAATGAGGCGCTCAGAGCAGCACGATCATATTTTTCAATTGAAGGCTTACAATACGCAAAGTGAATCTGACTATTTCCAGGAGATGACTCACCGCTGTTTTCTTCAGGGGCTGAACACCAGCTGCCTGTTTTCATTACACATACAATCCCCTTTCAACATATGTGTAGGTTTGCATTTAGTCTGCTAATTGTGGGGCTTCTCTTAAAAGCCTTTTTCTAACCACAAAGTGCACAGCTCTTAGAAAAGGAGGAGGGGGGTGCACTTTAATAAGAAGTAGCAAAGCAGGGCTTTCCGTTTAGCCTTAAGAGCAGCTCCTCCTCACAGATTCTCAACACCTGGTTTTTGCACCAGTTTTAAAGAAAGGAACTCTGAAGTCTTGAGGTTTTCAGCAATTGAAATGTAGTCATAAAAGGTCTCTTAATATCTATATCTGATGGTAAGCACTCTGTTATGGCTTTTTTACATTTTCCAATATTTGTTGTGTACTCATCACAGCAAACACCTACATTTTTAAAAATGGGCCTACTTTCGTCTGCACAATTGACATGTCTATATAAGCCTTTTTTATTGCATTCTAGGTTTCACATATTTGCTTAAATTGATTATATAAAAGACAGCAATTCAAGGCCAACAGTAAACACTGTAAATCTAATATTGTGTCCCTGATTATTCAGCTGAGATTGATTTGCCATTCTTTCCCAAACATTGGGTTGTTCCTCTTTCTTTTTTTTGTGCCATGACCCTACGGCTAAATACTAAATTGGGCAATGAATATTATGAATTGATACAACCTTAGCGCTTATGACTGGATTATGACTAAAACTGATGCAACATACATGTCAAAGTAGAACATCTCATGGTCAATTAAAATGATTTGTATAACTACAGTAAAGAAAACAGGAATAAAAGATAAAGTAGCAACATATTAACGAAATCAAATTCCTAAATTGGGATCAATAAAGTATATCCTATCCTATCTTATCTTATTTATAGTTCAACTGTACAGTGACTTAAAGTTGACCTTGTAACAGTTTAACACTAGTTACAAAAATGTTTGATGTAAAATGTAATTTAAAAGTATTAGCTGGTTAGTTTTCGACTTTCACTACATTTTTACAATGGCATATCTACGCTGTAAAAAAAAGCTTATATAATAAGAGCTTATAATAGATATAGATACTGGCCTTTTACAACAGAAAGCTGAGGGCATCATATGTTGTTACCTTTATATATACAGTCTATGGTTGTTACGTACGAGCTGTTAGTGGTTGTGAAAAACTGCCACATCACAGGATTGATATTCACAACAACCCAGTGTGTCCATCTACAGCCACTTGAGCTGTCAAAAGTGTCCTTGAGACAGACTGGTAATGCATTAAGTCCCTCTTGACAAGAGTGGCAGTTACATATTTGCTGGTAAATGTCAACAGCCAAGTCTAGCATCAGCCTTTATTAGTGTCAGATAATGTAGGTAAAGGGAAGCTATTGTCCCACATATTTATTTAGCAAAATATATTTCATTTTTATTTGTTCCGTTCATGGTATGCACAACTTAATGAATAACAATTATTTACAAAACATGTCTCTATAAACACACCATACCCGAAAAGGAGCAGGGAGAAAATAATCTTATATTACCTGACCCTTTCTCAAAATAAATAGAAATAGATGGTTTGTCCTTCATATTTTCTTAATCACAGCCAATCATAACAGTTTCGTAGGAAGATAAGAGAAACACAAAAACGTACAAAAAAACACTTAGTTCCCACTTGACAGTTTACGGAAAAAAACAACAACACCAAAACATCACATGTACAAGGAAAAATGCAACACCCTCATCTGAGTCCTACTGGAGTATATAACTAAAGTATGACATGTTAAGAAGCTCATAAAATGAATTGTTGTTGAATTGTCTTGTTGGAAAGTGAAATACAGTTTCTGAGGAATTCAGAATATAGCCCTCAAGTCAAGTACGTTTTACATTCAGTTATTTACATAATTGTGCTCAGAAACACATAATACAAATCTGAATAATTGAAGACATTATGTAAAACATGGGCTCTGAGCCACAGGAAAGCTTACATAGCAGTGATGTGGAGGGCTTCACCCACTCATATTTAATGTAGCTTAAATAGCTTGTTAGCTAAAAAATCGAATGTCGGAAAACTTGACAACATCTTAGGTAATGCAAATAATTACGAGTTTGAATTTGTCTGTATAAAACTCATATATCTCTTCATAAATCTAAATATATACCATTTATAGGAAGTTATAACAATACAATTACCCCAAACATCCAAACAATTTGTTATTATATATAGATTTGGTTTGCAGAACATCTTATCAGGCATTTCTGTCACTAGCTAATCCTGATTTCCATGCCTAAGATAGGAAGGATGCAGTATCACTATCTACTATTATTATTCATAGCATTAACACATTGCAGTCACTTAGTTCATCATGTTGTGAGCACACCTAAAACCAGATAGGAAGTTATTACATTTAAAGTTGGAGCATTATGACCAATAAATCATTACGGCAATAACTTGACATTCTCTAATTGCTCTAAAGTACTATCAAACTTTAACTTCCATGTTAACATATTCACTGTTATCTGCTCTTATCCTTCTGCTGGCTATTCAAAACAAATGCATGTTGGCATACAGAAAGTACGAAATGTTATCTTTCTGAAACATTGGGGTTTGTAATGAAACATGATCTAAGCTGTGGACAAAGCAAAGCACCATTACAGATAAGAAAGCAGAAGAATAGAGGTAAGAATTGGAGGTGAGAATTTGGTGGGCAAAGCAGCAAGAGCATCATGTGACTGTAATATGATATTAAAAAAGATCCAGTTATGATATGATCCCATAAGGATACTGGCTTAGCTATCTCCTTAACTCTCTTATTGTCACCACAAAGAGGTTTATAGTTTTTGGGGAGATTTTCTACGGAGCCCCCCTGGTGACATTGGTGAGAAAAATATGAATACGTGGCCACGCATTATTAACTCATGGCCACGTATTAATATTTTTCTCACCAATGTCACCAGGGGGGCTCCGTAATTTTCTGACAATTACTATTTTATCCCAGCAACAAAACAAGTGTAGCCTACTACCTGGTGAACATCCGCTTTAAGCATCGTTATTGGGATACTGTTAGCATGCTATCATTAGCATGTAGTACATGCTCGAGGTAGCTGCTAACAATGCTGTAGAGACGTTTAGTCTTGATCAATTCTGATGTGATTTTGGCTAGGATATTGAAACGTCAGGCATGCAACATATACATATGGGACTTCTAGAAGGATCTACCTGAGTGAGTACATGTCATGTGTTTCACCTGGCACAATGGTGGCAGCGAAATCAGCCGATAAGACTCGGCCTCCTGTCCTGTTAACTCAATGTAAAGTCTAAAGTTGAATCTTTTCCAGCCAATATACAGAACAGGCATAACAAGCTATTTCACATCTTTTGTTTTAGCTTGTTTGCAAGCCTTTAACAATGCTGATAGTTCAAATTTCAATCAGATATTGAAAATGAGGACATCAGAGAAGGAACAAAAGGAAGCAGCAGTTTAGAGAAACCCTTTGTGTATAAAAACTTGCGCAGTGACGAAAACAGTTGAAAAAAAGAGGCCGGCTCGTGCTCGCTTCGATGCTACTGCGTCACGCTGCGATTAACGGTTTTTCATGTGGAGGGGTGTACGCTACAATAAGCAGCTGAAGAGATAAAGCCCCCGCAGTGACTCATCAACACCAGAGACACATAATGGCAAAGAGATGTACCCAAAAAGAAGAAAAAAGGGAAGAATTAGAGGCGTTTTTCGTTCATGGGTCTCTCATGAATATTCTAATTGACAGCGTTATCTGTGTGATGATTATTAAGTGTGGCCCACTAGGCTCCACTCCGGGCTAATGTAGTGGAAAGAGAGGGGTTGTGAGAGCTTTAATAGGGGTTCTTTGGTTCTGTATCCTCACACACCTTTCCGTATGTATATTTAGTGTGTGTGTGTTTTATTGGACATTCGGTTTCTTCTCACTAATGCCGGTTGAAGTGTTACTGTGTAGTGGTTTGCTGTTTTGGTGACAGCATTAAGTGTTTCTGTGCGTGTGTGTGTTCAGCGTTACGCATATATCCCCTCCTACACACGTTTATAATCCCCTTTCGACGTTTGCCACATAATCGTTTTCCTATGCTTTGCTCGACTCCGCTGCAGTCTATTTCTGTACCGTAGCGACTGTAATGAAGTCGTCAAAACAGAAACGTACATATTGAGCTTTTACAGGAAACAATCGCTCAGAAATACATTTATGTTCAATATCATGTCATGACACATTCTCACATCTGGGTACTATGTTGGTACATTTTTAGATAAAACCCCTTTGGATCACTATGGCTTTGATTGAGCTGTAACAAGTTGTGCAGCAACATTTAGAGTCAGTTTTACACGTCACATGCATATACTATATTTTAAGAATGATAAACTACTTGGTTAGTATTAGCTGCACGTTTGGTAAGGAGAAGATTACAGTTGGTCTGAGGGATAAGTCTGTTTTTTATGTGGAAATATATCACAGCAAAATGTTAGTTAAGTAAGTAGCATGTAATGCAAGTGCCCCCTGGGGGAACATCCTGTGCTTTTTAAATGTTAGGGTACTTTGCACTCCTCACTGCTACCTTTGTTCCCTGCATTATAACACAAACATATTTCATAATACCTTAAAGCATAGGGTCCCTGACCAATCTGCCATATTTGACATATTGTGAGTGACAATGGGCTGGACATGCTGTACAAGACAAAAACATTTTTCTGCAACAGCATGTCGTGCATCAGCCGATCACCTTTTGTTTGTTTGTAGCTGCTTTGGTCTCGAGGCTCTGCTTTTGTCCTAGTTGCTGCTTTAGCTGAGCCAGCCCTGGGATACATTACAGTGTGGCATGACACTGATTTGTCTGGACTGGAAGGAAGTCACGATTGTAGGTCAGCATGTTCCTTGTCAGGCATCGTACCGCACATCACCACACACATAAGGACACACAAGCATTCTCTACGATCCCTCTTTTGCTCAATTTAAACATCTTGTCCTATTATTTACATTTAGATAAACCCGAAGCTTCTAAATAACTTGAATCCATAACATGTTGTTCTGAGAGACAGTGAAACGTTGTCTCCTGACAAAACCAGTTTACAGCTGAATTGTATTCAAATGTTGTTCTTGAAATGCCCCTCAAAATCACCTGCAGTCACATAGGAATGTGTAATGCAAAGCAATCTATCATTTGTAGGGGATAAACATTGCAGTTTGTTGGCACTGTGTGTATATGAGTGTGTGTGTTTTGTTTTCCCTCCTTGTCACTATAGTGACAGCTCAATCAGTGGTACACGTGAACGCTCTGAGATCCATTCAGCCACGTATCAGTTGAGCAGTACCCCACTGTGTACTGTTTCCCTCTTCACAGATCATCACTTTTACCAGCCAGACTGATGTTTGTGGGGGGAAAAAAACAAATGTCAAAGATATTTACTGAGATAGTGAAAATGGTCTCCAATGAGTGCACGTTCTGAGAGCGAGGCTGAAGTGTCTACGGTGTGCATTCTCTTCCCTGCAGGTGTTTCTGCCCAGCTGACAAATACCCGACTGAGGAGGAACACCTCTGTGGGAACTCCCTTCTGGATGGCTCCCGAGGTACAGTAAAACTCCCTTTCCACTACATTAGCCTGGAGCAGATCCCACTGGGCCACACTTAATAATCATCAAAGAGATAACACTGTCAAATACAATGTGCATGAAAAAAAGGGATTGCCGTCATTCATTTCCTGTCCAAGCATAGCTCAGTGCACCAGCAGGTTTCATACCCTCTTTGTAGAAATACTTCAAGAACTCGTATAGTTTTTATGGTAACTTATTTTCTCCTGTGTTATGAAAGGGACAACAAAAAGCGAGGCGGTCTCTCAGCTGTAGGATCTTGTTATTGATTCATCTGCCTGGAGTTTACTTTGTAGCACTGGTTGATTCTGTTTGGTAATTTGTATCTTTCTCCCCTCCCAGCTGTTTCTGTGTTTTGTTTCATACCTTTGATGTTTTAAGTTGATGAGCACATCCAAGTATCTCAAGGAAGTACACAGCTTAATATTCGGATGGACAGATTGACATATAATAACACGGTTTATTGCCAGTGCAGGAAGCAGTGTGCCCTCCAATCTTAATAGGCAAGTTCGAAAGTAAGATCGTTTGAGATGTTTTCTTCTCAAGTTATACCAGAGATTAAAAGGGGATTCAACCGAATAATACACATACATGTTTATTCATTCCTATGGGAAAACTACAGCATATTTGAAAACAGTTGCATTAAGTCTGTTACATTGGGGGTTTGTAGAAAGCTGACCAGGCTAGTGGAGAAGAGTGTCCTTTATCTGGTAGTTGCCATTTCTTTTTTGTTGACATATCATCGGTTGACATGTTGAAAGCCTTTTAATCAGAATGTAATCTTTCTACTATTAAAACAAGGTATCATAAGCTTACTCTGGTGATTATTTCTGCCTGTAACTAGCTGTCAAAGTGGCTAGTTGTCACTCTTTCTAGCCTTATTAATGATTAATGATTTGAAGAAGGTTCAGTAACACCTGGTAACTTGGTATTTTACCGCATGCTAAGTGCTATCTGTGTGTGTTCGGCAAGACTAGAGCCATGCTTGGGGTTATGACACTGACGGCTTTCATTCATATTTAATTGAACTGAACCCACGACACTTCAGGAAAACCTCAACACGTAATGGCATCCCATACCCAGCCGTCTGCACACCTGGACCTCAAGGCGATTCTCTGGAGGGATACGATGTGTAGTTTAAAGGAGTGGGGATGCTGCCCTCTTGATTTTCCCTTCATTAAGGCAACTTGCATGTTCAATTGTAAAATCGAAATGGACATTTTTACATGAGCTTTGCATGCCTTGCAAATTGTGCATCACAGTATACGTGACGTGTTTGGTGAAGATTTTAATGTGATTTGGGTAAAGTGTTAAATAAAGTTGCTCAGATGCTCTCTCTCAACTTGAAAGTCTTTGATTGAAAGCTTTATTCACTTTGGGAGATTTGTATCAAGGATGCTTGTATTACCAATACAACAATATTTGTTTTGACTTTTTTTTAATTAAAGATATTATATAATATAGTATTGCATTTATAGGGACACATTCTTACCTACTTTCTCAAGAAGATCTTGTTTTGCAACTTTGATTTGTACAGGTAAGTTGTGCTTTTCTCCTTATTTTCTTTTTATCATTTTAAATACCAAAATTGTCTTTATGAGAACTGCTTTAACTTTGATATTCTGTGTGTGTCCACATTTGTGTTTCAGGATGTTTTATTAGTGATCTAATTAAGATTTGTCCGCTTCTCTTGACTTTGTACATAAAACAAACAGTTTTGATTGATTTTAAACATACTTGCAGTAAAGGTGAATGTGTGTTTTTGCTGAGAAATGCATCATATTGTTGATGGGGTACCATGTTGCCCTAAGGACACTGAAGATTGTTGTTGTGTTTGTTTGTGTGTGGGCACTCTAATGCCCACAGCAGATTATGATGAGACTGCAGCTTTGGCTGAGCTCTGTTACACTCTATAACAGGTTCCTTTGATATTTTGATACATTTTGCTCTTTTTAATGTTTGTTTCATGAATGTCCTTAATAAGGAAGTAGGGCCAAACTTCACCTCTTTACTCCAGAAGTATGTGCCGTATAGCAGAATATTCAACCTGTTGGATGAGTCTTTATTCTCCAAAACAAAAGTGTAATGTTATTTTGACATAATAAATGGTGAAGCTATGAAAGTCAAAGGCAATACAATGTTATACCTCCCACGATAACTGTCTAAGATATCAATTGACGGCTGGCTGTTTGACAAAGTAATATATATATAATATACAGGGCTGTTTTTTATTTCAATATTTTATCCTTATATTTTTGTGTTTTTTGTTTTACTTTGTCCTTCGTCTGCTGTAGGTAATAGCGTGTGAGCAGCAGTTGGACTCAACCTACGATGCTCGCTGTGATGTGTGGTCACTCGGCATCACTGCCATAGAGCTGGGAGATGGAGACCCTCCCCTCTCTGAACTCCACCCAATGAGAGCCCTCTTCAAAATACCCAGGTGAGCTTCCATGTCACATATATTGAATTACATTTTATTTTTATTTGATAAGCACGATGCAATCTAACATAATTTAAAGCTTTTGCTACACAATACAATTTAGAGGTATTCTACTGTTATGATCAATACTCTACCAAGGTGCTGATGAAGTTACAGTATAGCTTAAGGTAACAGTGCTAACCAGTTAGCCACAGCACTGTGCTAAATGTGTTTTTCTGGATTAAAAACCTCATATTCAGATTTGATAGGAACTAAAAGTTGTAGTTATTATGGTAGGATTGGATAAGTGTATTACTTTGACTTGACTAATGATTTATTGAATGAATCCTTATTCATTCAGCAAAACACAGTTTGCTCGAACATAGTGGATTTCATGGAGACACAACTGCCCTATTTGTATTTATAACTTGCAACATGCATTTTCCTATCTTCCTTTTTTAATACAAAATATTAATGACAGTGTCAAAGTGAAGAAACAACAGTGTCTTTATTCCGTTGGCATGTTTTTCACTTCATGTGGTGACTTCCTAATTACAACCTGTGAACTGAGAAATCCGTGCTACATTATTGTAGTGTTATTAAACCGTCATCTGGCTGCCATCTACCATAGAAGACCAAGCAATCACAAGTATTAATACATATAATTCAGTTGAATGTTTTGCATGCAGTGAGTTTATTAGTTACAAATGATATGGAATTATAAAACAATACCCACAATTTGAATATGACAAGACCATGAAATTGTCTTTATTCTACACAATTGCTAATATGTTGAATTTTATTTCGCCAACATAATGTATGGCATTTTCACTTCAAAAATAAAGATGCATTTGCTTTATTTTTGTTGATTGATTGTCTGAATTTTTTTTAATTTCAGCTGATACTGTTTTATGCAGATCTAAGACCTTTTCTTAATTAACAGTGAGTTAAAGAACCAATAACAATATCATTTTTTTTTTTATTAAATAGGTATAATACGATCATCAAAATATACTTAAAGGGCCAACAGTAAAAGTACTTATTGTGCCTAATGGCACATTTCTGTAAAAATTAAATTGCTTAATAATATTGTTTAATTAAGGCAATCTTGGTTACTTTTCATCTTGCTCAGTAGCTTACTCAGAATACACAGGTTAGGTGTAGCTGCAATAGTGCAATCCAGGAAAGCTCCTGCTCCCAAGCACAATGATTTGCCTCTCTTTGCAGACTGTCACCTGACAAAGCGCAGTCTTTTTATTTCAAATTGCTTTTTTCCGCTTGCAGGGGTTTTTCCATAAACCCCTCCCCTCCTGGCACTGATCCCATTCATCCTGTGGGTGGAGGCCAAGAGCACAGCCACCCGTTTCTCATCTGTATGTTTTGGGGGGCTGAAGGTGAAAAATAATTGTTTATCGTCTCCTGATTCCAGTGTGAGAGCAGCATAAGCACTTACAGTCACTGTCATATTGAAGGCACAGCACTTTGTCCATCACTGCCCTGAAACGGTGTGCTCCTTCACATACACACACACACACACACACATACACACACACACACACACACACACACACACACACACACACACACACCACACACACACACACACACACACACACACACACACACACACACACGCTCTGGGGGTCGTGCTCCACAGGAGACATCACACAGCTTCCTCAGAATCTATGTGACTGCTGCAGCCAGAGCTCCAGGCGCTCTGTTCACACTCCTCTCCTCTCACCACTCTGGGTTCATCGTCAAGCCATGCTGAGGGCATCCATTTCACAACACTCTGTCTTATTTCATTCAGGGTAGCTTAAACAGAGCCAGATAGAAACTTAGGATAATCAAGGACAACCATTTTGATTGTTTTTTTTCTTCAGCAAATCTTTCTTTTGATCAATGCAAACATCTTTATGTTGTTTTGTCCTCTATCTTGTCCACTCACTTTCATATAGCAGAATTGAATTATGATATTGTGCAATCCAAAATTACAACTTGCGTGACACAGTATAAACAAAACAAACTTTACAAGCAGAGTTATAAGCAATAGCTTTATTGTGTGCACATGTTTGGTTGACTACAGTAGACACAGTGTTTGAAATATAGTATTGGGTTTATTGTTACTTTTAAACAACAGGATTGCAGGGAAATCACATCAAAATATGAAGGAGAGGACAGTAGAAGACAGTAGAGTCATTCCAAAAGTTGAGAAACAATTTAGAAAATGAGCTAGCGAGCTGAGATTTTTTTTAATGGAGGCAAGTTAGAGAGTTAGCATTTAAGTTAGCTACCTAGGATTTGGTCAGACAAGTCATATAAGCCAACTTTTGGTTTGTGGCCTGAAAGAAATTGAGGCAAATTACATAGACTCGAATATCCAGTATGTCTCAAGCATTTGCTGTCTTAGTTTGGGTGTGTTGTGTGATAAACAGGAGATGCATGTCCCCTGATTCAACATATTTATCGCTGTTAGAGCCAACAGGAAAAAAGGCCCTGATACATTGGCAGGCAGCATTGAACTCCCCTACACTTGCAAGGAAACCTCTTGCAAGTACTTAAAGCAGAACAAGGAATTCAAGCAAATTAGCTTAGCTGTTTGCCGGCTGTTAGGGCTTGATATGCTTGAACCCATGTACGACCTGTCTCTGTTTGAATGAGATTTTTACATGAGGAAACCTTAAGCTTTTAAGATCTGGCTATATATTTGATAGCCAGTGGTACTAACTATTGCTTTTATGTCAACAAAATGTAGCTGTATCAATTCTACCTAGCTGCTAAGGGGCTGGGACGTGTCTGTGCCACTGCAGAAAATCCCGTGGATGTCAGCGATGCTGAGTTGTTAAGATGTTCCTCCCTCGTTACAATCTGTGCCTCTACCTTTTGTTCTCCGGCCCACCTGCGTAAATCCCATCTCATCTTATCTTTCCATTTATCTTTGCAATTCCCTCCTTTAACAGAAATCCTCCGCCTACTCTCCACCAGCCGGAGCTGTGGTCAGACAACTTTAATGACTTCATCGGCAAGTGAGTGTGGATGCTTGTGTGTTTGTAACGCCTCTGTGAATAATACATATTTTCACTGTAGGTGCTTTACCAGGCGCACTGTGAATACAAATCCAATAAATGCATTGCACTCCTCTTCCCACCTTTTGTTCTTCTTCCCCTCAGATGTCTGATTAAGGACTTTGAGCTGAGACCAAATGTGCTAGACCTCCTCCAGCATGTGTACATCAAACAGACTGTTGGCAAAGTGAAAATACTGCAGAAGCAACTGATCGAACTCATTGACCTCAACCAACAAATAGGAGTGATTGATAAAACAAGGTATTGTCTTAACTGTGGTTGTATGTATAAGTTTTTTCCTTCCAAAAAAACTCACATTTCTACATGCACACTCCTCTCCTCTTCGAGTGTTTGATATATGTAGTTATAAAACCCTAAAAAAAACTTGAAGTCTGCAAGCCTTCCTGTCAGCAGGGTTTATATAGTCGGCTGCAGCTTAGCTTTTGCAGTCAGTATAATCCAAATTACCCTCCCTGCTGGATTTTTTACAAGCCCCATCACTCTCATAAACAAGCGCTCCATCCTGCTCCAGCTTCATTCGAGGTGCAGGCTCGTGTCACATGAGTCAAAATACTGGCCCAGAAAGTATGTACTGCCCGTACGGATCATGAAATGTTAATCCTATTTCTGTCGTTTAAGCCATCATGGAAAGACAAGCAGAGAAAGTAATGACAGGTAACAAAAGCCTATTATGACCTTTATGCCACAGTAGGAGTACAGTAGATCCTAATTGGCGTTGTAGTTGTGATCACACATGTATTTGCAAAACTACATGGCTGATCTTAGACTGTGTATGTGCTCCCACCCTGCCATCAAAAACATTGTTGTCTTGTTTTCTGAGTCATGTTGTCTCATTGTTTTTTAACCTATTTGACTTACCGTGTAACTAAGGTCGTGACCGTCACTGTGAACCAACTACAGTATTTGATAAGCTCCAATTCTCACCAGCACTTACCATTAATGTTTCAATAAATGGTCTTCTAGCAGAGAATAAAAAGTATTACCACCATAACAAACTAAGTAATATCTGGTAATAAGAAATAACTCACAAACTTATCACATATTATGACAAAACAGTAGTGTGTAATGGAGTATGCTTAGAAACCACAGGCCTCCTGGAAGTTTATTAAATCAAATATACATCAATGAATGATCTTGTGTTGTTTATTTATCGCATAGGGCAAATAAATATATTGTTATTATTAAGTGGCCTTTAAAATGGTACAAAAGTGTTTTCCTGGAGGCAGACCTATATTCTGTCTCAGGAAATAAATAAATTGCGTACTGATCAATGCTATACAGAAATAAATATTAAGATATTTACGGTTGAACCTTTGCTTATCTTTGTTTAAGGTGTGTTTAAATGTACAAAATGCACCATACTATTGGCAGCGCTGTGCACTGCTTCAGTACTATATGTGCTTATAAGGCATGGAATTTAAATTCACATTACTTATATTGTCATCTAAACAATACATACATTACTCACTGAGAGTTGCTTGTGGGTTCTCTGAGTTCTAGGCATGAACGCATCCACACTAAAAGAGGAGGCCATATGAAGACTCAGACTGACGATGAGGTGGACGACCTCGCCACCCTAGAAGTTCTGGATGAGGTAAGAAAGTTCACAATCTATACATATAAATAGCTATTTATCTCAATACAAAACACTTATACGCGACTAAAGCCAAAAGGAAATAGCCCCTTGGAGTAAACTAATTAAAGTCAAATGGGGTAAATGGTAAACAGTTGTCAGATATAGTACAACTATAACAAATACTATCACATCATGTATTTCTCTATTTTAAGGCTGCCCTTTTTAATCTCACCTCAAGTCCATTTTGTGACTTCTCTGGAGCTTTCAATTGTTTCACATAAAAGTCATCAGCATAATAAGTTTCAAAGCAGAGGTGCAAAGTGTACTCTTGTACCGTGGATACTGCAGGCAGTATCAATATCAATCCATCAGAAGAACAGCTTAGAACATTTTAAATCAAACATCTTTATTTTGATGACGACTAACTAAGCAATCTCTATTTAGTAATCTCTATATAGGGAGACTGTGGCTTCGAGGGAGTGCGGTCGTCTTTCAACCAGAAGGTTGTGGGTTCGATCCCAGCCCGTGCAGCCAACATGTCGATGTATCCTTGGGCAAGATACTTAACCCTGAGTTGCTCCCGATAGCCAACGGTGTGTGAATGTTAGGTCCTAGAGCAAGTGGTACTACTCTGTATGAATGGGTGTGAATGGGTGAATGACATGTAGTATGTAAAGCGCTTTGAGGGGTCGTAATGACTGGATAAAGCGCTATATAAGTACAGTCCATTTACCATTTATTTGCTGAGAAGACGGTGTGACACAATAAAATCTTCACAACAGATGCTAAGAGTTTGATTTGCAAAAATAATTTTCCTTCATTTTTACAAATATCGAAAAAGATAAAGCATTTTTGTGCTGGTCGTATTGATATGTTTCCCACTGTTAACTAGAACATTCAGCATCACTTCCCCCTGGTCACCTGTGCTGCTGTCAGTGAGAAATACACTGCAGTATCTTTTGCACAAATAACATTTAGAGCTATTTATCACTTCTGAGCGCTGCATTGACGTCTTGAATGATACAATCAGTCTCAGTTGCCAGCGGATATTTCCACCCATCCTTCAAGATGAGGAGGTCTGCTAGTGTGAGAGAGACAGTGCTTCCCTGCTGTTGTTTATCTACCTGTCCTGGCAGTGTGAAGACAGGAGAAAAAAAAATCACCGTTTGACACGAAGACAATGCATTAACAGGCGGCCTAGGCCTTGACTTGAGTCTGGACGTAAACTATAGTTATTTATCATAATGTGGTTGGATTATTGAGGAAACATTTGATACCTGTTGTGTGAATCTCTTTCAGAACACGGTCACAGAGCAGCTCCAGAGTCGCTATGGACGAGATCAAATTTACACATACGTGGGAGACATCCTCATCGCAGTCAATCCTTTCCATAAGATGGAGATATACACTCCTCAGGTTAGTGGATACACATCCGGTCTTTGTGTGTTCCTTTGTGGTCAATAACGCAGTGAATGAAGCCTAGCATATCTCATTAGTCCACAGCTCTTCATCTGGCTGCATCACATTTTGCCTCACCTGCACACACACACACACACACACACACACACACACACACACACACACACACACACACACACACACACACACACACACACACACTCACTCACTACCCCCGTCTGTCGGCCGCCGTCATACCTCACTGACTCTATCTCCTCTCAGTCTTTATGTTCTTCTTTGCTATAAGTTTGTTGCTATGTTCAAACCTTTTCTCCTATAACAGCAATATAATGCGTTACATCGATTTGCTTTTATTACCAAATTGCAAATCTACCCCACTATTATCTGAATTTTCCTCGTGAAATCTTCATTATGTTATCCATTACATTCATATTCATGTTTTAAACTGCTTTTCATTCTCAACCCTCCTCTCTTCACAGTTCACTAAAGTGTACATAGGGGCTAAGCGCACAGCTAACCCCCCACACATCTTTGCTGTGGCCGACGTCGCCTACCAGTCCATGGTGTCATACAACACAGACCAGGTAATGTGGCAATACTCAATGATTATTTAATAATAATAATAATCCTGAGTGCTGGAAGTTTCTTTAAGATCAAATAGTTTTCAGGCTATTCAAGTGCTAAACAGCTTTATGATACATACAAAATATATCATTTTTCATAGTGATAAAGTAACAGCGATAGTATTAGTATGAATAGTTAAAGTCTGATGAATATGAGTATCATCTTTTGGGTTATATTTATTATAAAATCTTTCACTTTGAATGTCAGTTAGAGCTTAGACATATTTGAACAGTTGTGACTCTGTACACAGTGTGTTGTGATCAGTGGGGAAAGTGGAGCTGGGAAAACAGAGAGTGCGCATCTGTTGGTACAGCAGCTGACAGTTCTTGGAAAGGTGAGTACTAAATACTGTCAATAACATTAACGTCATTACCAACAGGGATTATTCATGAAATGAAATCAATTAGAAACCATCTAAAGGATAGGTCGTTTGAATGAGTTTCTGAGCAGCAGGGCATCAATTACCCAAAGTAATTCAACCATTTTTATTTCAACTTTGGTACTCAAAGAAGAACCTCCACCTACTCTAACACACTGTTAATATGAGTGTAAGACTAGAAGCAATTTCAACTAAGATGTTCTAAGGGATGCCATTCATGATTTTCTACCAAATGAAAAAGAGAGTTCCCTTTCAATTCACCCTTTTCAAAGTAGAGAAATTAAATAAGCAATGGCAGTTCCATTTCCGAGGGAAATAACATGAATATAAAGGCACATTGCTTGATAATAGCATTATATATTCCACTGTATTGACTTACCAGTTACTTATGAGGAATCCTGTTTTATTCAGGCCAATAATCGGACACTTCAGGAGAAGATCCTGCTGGTCAACAGCCTGGTGGAAGCTTTTGGAAACGCCTGCACCGTCATCAATGACAACTCCAGCCGCTTTGGGAAGTACCTGGAGATGAAGTTCACCTGCGGAGGAACAGTGGTCGGGGCGCAGATATCCGAGTACCTGCTGGAGAAATCCAGAGTCATCCACCAGGCAGTGTAAATATCACTTATTTTCAATTCCGTCGATGTCTTTGTGTAATGTAAGCAATCTTTTCTGACATTTATATAAATGTTATTGTGTCTCTGGATGTTTTCTGAAAGAACATGGCAAAGAAGGTTCTTTGTATGCTTGCTGATCAGGTATCAGTGTGTAATAGCTTGTCTACTCTTCTTTTTACTTCTACGTCTCCGTTTGAAACCAGTGGCATTTACCTTCCACCTGCACTCCAGTCAATCCATCTTTTCTTCTTATCGTGTGCCTGGGGAGTGGAACAGGTCAAGTGGAGGGGCGAGCTTATTTCCTGCTTTATCAAAGAATGGGGTCTTGCAAGTGTCCGCAGCGGAGCTTCAAAGGCAGACTCTAGTATCTCATTAGAAGAGAGACACGCGGTTCAGAGGGTTTGATTTGGCTGCCAGCATTGTGTGTAGCTACACTTTTCTTCAGCCTGTTATGCATACTATTTTTTAAAGGAAATGGCAAACAAGCTGAATTCTTGTTGGAAAAAACAAATTAGTGCTAAGTGGCTGCCATAAGTCCCTCTGGCCAAGTACACAGGTTCAATTTCGAACTGCAGAAGGTTTAGGCATGCATTCTCCCTTTAACACGGTATCTCTGGATTAAAGGCAATCGCCCCTAAAAATATATATTTTTAAAAATGTTTTCACTGGCTGCTTACTGAGAAATCCCTTAACTTAAGGTTATTTAACAAAAGCTGAAAAATATAACTATAAATGTGCCCATATATAATTGTTCACCAATCAGTTAATTTAGAAATGTGATCTTATTGGGCTTAAAGAGCCTGTGACAGCATCCCAACAACTGTTGTGCAATGAAATATTGGGCTACTAGTAATCTCGAACCGTCAGTTTAAAAAAGAAAAAGCGATACCGTTCCGTTAAATATCAATAATTTCGAACATCGCGGGGAAATTCCTTCGACTCATTTTGAAGTTTTGGGGGAAGCCGGAAGTGACGTCAATGCGGGAACGCTTCACTGTGCGGAGAGAGAGCCAAACACCGACAAAGTGTGTTGTCATGCGTAGAAATGGTGAATTACTGAGTTTAGGCACGTTAATAACGTTTTAATGAAGTTGACTACAGTATATTCATATGTGTCAGTGCTTTCATGTCAATTCGGCGAACATAAACATAAATGATCGTGGTGAAGATGATGATTACATTAGGATTACAAATCGGTAGTGAGAGCTGCTGAATTTCCTCCCGTAGGATGTGATATAAAAACAAATCGATTATTTTTGTAGTTGTAAACTCAAGTGGATGAAACTACATTTATTAGTGCTTTCATGTCAATTCGGCGAACATATGATACATTAAATGATCGTGAGAATGATGATTAAAAATCGTTTGTTTGAGCCGGTCTGCATTTCCTGATGAGAAAACCACCCGATGCTTTTTGTAGTTGTAGTACACCAACATGGATTAAACGTGTGGTTTTTTCACCACAATGTTGGGGAAATTAATGGATAAAATGCACGGATTATTATTATTATTATTCCCACTCCGATCGGGACACCAGGTCCACCGTTTCCCCGCAGCGAGGCTCCCCCCGTTGACAGTTTACGTGGGCTGGGTGCAGTGGCGGACTGGCCATCGGGACGAATCCCGATGGGCCGGTACCGAAGTGGGCCGGTCGGATAAGTCACTAGCACATCCCCCATAGGCGGCGCGTGAGGTTCTGGGAAGGCTAAATTACTTTTTGTACCTGACGCTGCCCGCCTCCGTCGTCTATAGAAAAGAGATCAACTCAGTGTGCGGAGTTTAAATCTCTCAAGTCATATTACAGGATAACGGAAATACATTAGCCTACATCATCAATCAGATCATCGATCATATAATATCATAATATATCATATATTTCCTTATCTGAGTCAGCTTCTCCAGCCGTATCTGGCCGTGCAACACTTACAGTGTCACATAGGCCTACTGTATGCAGAAGTATTATTTTAAGCAACACGTTATGTTGACGAAACACTCGAGTCAAATGTAATTAAAGTCAGATCCACTCGTGTCTTAGACGTGAACGCGCTCTCAGCTGGTGAAAGAAACCCTGGCTTGATTTACCGAGTTGATAACCAGTGTCGTAGGACCGCTTAGCGAGATCTCGTTTGTTAGTTTGTTGTTGTTAGTTTGTTTGTTACTCAAACATATCCAGGGTCTGTTGAACTGGCTTCGTAGTACAGGGCACAGGTGGCTAGCAGCGCTAATGTCAAAGACACAGACATTGCATTATATTTGTATTTTACCAGGATGCAGTGACACAAATATTTACATATTTACATTTACTATCTACAGCACCCGCCGCCCCTGACATCCCCCACTCCCCCTGTTGACAATTTACTAGCGGTACCGAAGTGGGCTGGTCGAGAGTCCCGGGATGCTTTTTAGTCCCACTGGCTACATGACCGAATGATCGCCCATATTGACGCACCTAATTCCTAAACTTCTAACAGATACAACATAAACCGATCCTTCAGCCTCATATGAGCTCTCAGACACGTTCAAAATTAAACTGTCATCGCTGTCTGAGCTTGCTGCTGTGTGCACCATCGTGCGTTTACATGCAGATGCTGGGATCCTGAACGGTGCAGCTGGAGCGCTGTGCCCGCAATGACGTCACACATAATTTGGCGGGACTTGAAGAATCCCCGAGAAGATCCAGAAAATGGTCAACATTGAAGGGCAGATTAATGGTTATCAAAGTACAAATATCCAAATTCAGTTCAGTAACGGGTTTCAAGGGGACAATATTTACTCAAATTGATGGGTTTGGATGATGGGGGAAACTCGTGTCACAGGCTCTTTAAGCTAAAATGGCTAAAAACATGGTCGTACACTAGCTAGTGTATGCAATGTTAATCATTCATATCATGTATGAAATACTGCTCTCAGGATCACTGTAAAAACTCTTTCAATGCATTTGAGCCTGCAAGCTAACTCATTCATGTATTGTGTTATATTTCTGATTTGTCTTGTAACCGTTTACTACATTTCTAGTAATAAACTTCTAAACTGATCATTATGCGTAACATCTGTGAAATGCCTCTTTAAAAACAAATCTGAAAAGGTTTCAGCCTTATCAGAGGTACGACTTGTCTACGTGTTTAGTTTTGTTTGCCTGTTTTGTATTTGCTTTTCATTGTCTTTTTTGCTAAACAGGAGTAATATAGAGTAAAGGCTAAAATCTAATGCTTTCAGGACCTTCATTTCAAAGCTTCGTCTTTTTGTGTTTTCCACAGAGGGGAGAGGAACTTCCACATCTTCTACTACATTTATGCCGGCCTGGCTGACAGGAAGAAACTAGCCCATTACAGGCTCTCCGACAGCAAAACACCTAAGTGGGTTTGACATCCCTCAGCCCTCCTCTTAAACACTGTTATGTTCTACTCTCACTGCAAACCTCCTGCTTACTAAGGCCGCAATCTTGATCTTGGTGTTTCTTTTTTTATCTGCAGGTATCTGTGTAACGAGCATATTAAATTAGGGCCTGACATAGTGAGCAACACCTTCTACAAGGAGCAGTTTGATGCAGTGGAGCAGTGTTTCAAAGTCATTGGATTCAGCCTGGAGGTAAAAAACGACTGCATCAATTACTGGCCAAAAAGCTGAAAGTGTTTTTTTGACAGCATGACCTTGATTCAAACACTCATACAGAAGCACTCTCACACTCCTGTGTATATGGAAGACAACATGGAAGCATGTATACTATACAGAGAGTGCTTAAAAAAATACAACTGGCCTATTAGTAGTTCCTAAGGTCTACTATATGGCATGTGACGGAGCATGAAGCTACAAGCACATTGTTGTGCATTGTGAAGGCTAATGAGTCCCAAAGAACTGATTGCCTCTGGGAACTGCACGTCAAAAGTACTTATCCTGTAATCACTAGGCCGTACTCGAGTAACAACCTTCTCTCCTATAGTACATCTCGTCTTGCCTAAAATCACAGAGTGCACTTGATCATTGATGCAAGGTTATTTATTTTGAAACATTATTTTGACGAGTTCGATTATTAGAAAAGTTTTCCTTGCTAAGAGCTGCAGGGTACACAAAGGAATGGAGGCTAGAGAAGAGCACTTCTTATTTTAAATACCAATATGCATTAGTATTCTCTGAGACCTGTCCATTAAAAAAATACAAGCTAGCTGAATTTAAGAAATAGGTCTTGCCTGACACCTACAAACAACTGTATTCATGCTTCAGAAAATGCTAACGTGCTATAACTTTGTGAATGTGACATGCCTAATTCAAGTACTGCTGTGTTAGAAAGGTTGATAATAGAGTAAAACATAGACATTATAGACTCATTTATAGACTCATTTCCATCCTGATATGTCAGAATGAGGTTGTAATAGGTACCTAACACTAGATAACTCTGGGGTTGTATCACTTCTGCAGGAGCTGGGCAGTGTTTACAGCACTCTGGCCGCCATCCTCAACTCTGGCGATATCGAGTTTTCTCCGGTTGCGACGGAGCATCAAACCGACAAGAGCAACATATCCAATAATTCTGTCCTGGAGAACGGTGAGAGGATAGAGAGGCATGGTACAGGAAGATGTCAAACCAAACTTTAGTCTGAGTTTCCTCTGCTACACACTCATTAAACCTTTGTTTGGAACTAAGTCATCTATCATTTCAAACAGGCAATTGTAGTCATACAGAAGCATCATTACCAAACATATAGGACATTGTTTCCCTCCTGTAATGTATTTTCTAAATGTAGACATCTGTTCCGACTGATAATTTACAAAGCTGTCTAGATTTTTATTGTTTATTTAATGTGATCGATGAGCGAGAAAAAAAAGGTTACTTGTTACTTGTGCAAGGTTGGTATTTGCACACCCTGCATGTATTGCTTGTAGTGATTCTACTTTACACATGTGCACTTCATTTCCTTTTATAATGCGTCTTTTAGTGGCATCCCTGCTGTGTATCCGCTCTGATGAGCTCCAGGAAGCCCTGACCTCCCACTGTGTTGTGGCCCGGGGAGAGACCATCGTCAGGCCCAACACGGTGGAAAAGGCGGCGGAGGTGAGAGACGCCATGGGCAAGGCTCTGTACGGCCGCCTCTTCAGCTGGATAGTCAACCGCATCAACGCACTGCTGCAACCCGACAGCCAGCTAGGGTGAGATCACAAGCAGGAGATGTGATGTGGTGTGTTTGCCTGAAATGAGAGCAGAAAGAGGTCATCTTAGAAATGTTTTTATCGAGGAAATAGTGTGCACAAATGTGAATCCTCTCTGGATAACTTGTGATTTGATAATGACTTTGTTTTATTACCAAATAACTGCCAAATGAATGGCATCCCCATTATCTGCAGCTGTACATGTGGTTAGTGTGTATAAGCAACATATTAATGCACTCATAGTGCAAAAATAGTGTCACCACATAGCAGCTATGCATTATCATGTTAGCATTGTCCTTCTAAATCACAATAGCAAGCTAAGATTAGTATTCAGCTCATATTAAAATTAAAATAGACTGTATGAATGAAATGTATTTTACACATGCAGCCTTTGAAAAGAAGACATAACTAAAGTATGCTTTATTTTCAAGCTTTAGGTTGAAAGTAGGCAGAAATCTCTTCTGGTGTTGACAAGTTATGAGGGAACTGATTTGTTGTGGTGATTAGTGGCATTGTTTCTGACCACTGATAATGGTTACCTATATATTGTTTTGGGCTCTGTCAACCTGCAGTTGTAATTCGACACAAAATACATTAAACACATTAATGTTTAAGTAAAAAAAGTATTAAATTGAATTAACTTTTCATTTATCTCATCTCCAGAGAGGATGAAAAGGGCTTGAACATCGGCATACTGGACATCTTTGGCTTTGAGAACTTTAAGAAGAACTCTTTCGAGCAGCTCTGCATCAACATCGCCAACGAGCAGATCCAGTTTTACTTCAACCAGCACATATTTGCTTGGGAGCAGGTAAAGGCTTGGCCCAGCATCCATCTAAAACTGTCACTGAATTCAACAAATGCTCTCTGAGGGTTGAGTCCTTCCTGGAAAGCACTTTCTATGCATTTTTCACCTTGGTACTACCTCATTTCCATATTAATTGTGATAACATGTCACCATTTGTCTCTGCGCTTTACGAGAGATGGCGAGGGGTAAAATATGCTGCTGTCTTTTATTACGGGAGAATGAGGATCGCGATTCTCCCTTTGTGCCGGCTCGTGGGTGTGTTTTGCCTTGGGGGGGGCAGAGAATGGTTTGCTAATGTTAAATGATTTGGTCTCACCCATTGAGAGGAGCTATAAATCATCTACAACGATGGTCAATTAGGAGTTGAAGACATTAACGTTTGACTTAATCTCACTCCTGGGTATTGTTGGCACCAGGCCCAGAAATACATTTGTCCTATACTTCTACCATATAGACAAAGCATAGGGGGAATTCTTGAGCTATGGCATTAAAAGCATTACGCAACTTCTCTCATTTACAATGGAGCAGATTTCAATGTTTACATACAGTATCCACATGTGTGCATGACAGATTTTCTCATGTGGATCGTTTACTTCAAAGTTGGTAGGTCAGGCAAGAATAAGCTTGCTGATTGGATGTCATTTTTCACATTTTGTCCTTTTCTTCTCTAACTAGAAGTCTCCAGTTATGTTGATGAGTCATAGGAGGTCTGAGTCAGTTAACCTGAGGTGATCTGGTTATCTTAATATACACTGCAGCCCTAAGCCCAGTTTGCCCTCATGGCCAGATTTATCTGAAGGGGGGAAGGGAATTGTGTCACCAAGTACAATATACCGCAACTAAGGGACAACTCTGTTCTGTTATTGTTTGCTTGGTAATGACTTCAGATGTGTACATTATAGGCTTTGTGAACAATCAGCTAGACATAAAGAAAATACAAAGTAAAAGATCAGAAAATGGCTGTTAAGAATAAAAAATGTATTGAAAAAATACAACTTTGCAAACAAACAAATGAAACCACAGAACAGGACCGACAGCATCTGACTGTGAAATGCTGGTCTGTCAATATACTGTAACTGTGCAGGACATACATAATCAATGCTACCTATCTGTGCTTTTCCTTTATTACTCCTGCCACAAAGCACTCAAATTCAGGCTAAATTATTGTATGAATAGCAGTGATCCAGGTTACAAATAAAAGATAGATGTTTGTTTCTTTTTTGTATTGGGGTGTTGAGGTTCTTTATTTCCTTGTCCAAGGAGGTTATGTTTTCTTCGTTTGGTTTGTTTGTATGTTTGTCAGCAGGAAACAATGCTGACCTTCACATGAAGCATGGACAAGTGGATTTGAATCAGTTGGGGATAGGCCTACACAACTTATTTTTTTACTTTTGTTAACAATGCATGATAGAAAATTCTGCCGAGTTAGAAAAGTGATGCCAGTTTAATTTTGGCAGATGCTATTTGCACCCGGGTGTCCGTAGCTAACAATGCTATTTACACCCGGGTGTCCGTAGCTAACATTGTATGGAACGCCATTTGCGCCATAATTCGCGCGTAGTTTCGCGCGGATTAACGGGGAGGTCCGTTTATTCGCGCGAATAAACGGGCGAATTATGGCGCAAATGGAGTTCCATACTTTACACCCGGGTGTCCGTAGCTAACAATGCTATTTACACCCGGGTGTCCGTAGCTAACAATGCTATTTACACCCGGGTGTCCGTAGATAACAATGCTCTTTACACCCGGGTGTCCGTAGCTAACAATGCTCTTTACATCCGGGTGTCCGTAGCTAACAATGCTCTTTACACCCGGGTGTCCGTAGCTAACAATGCTATTTACACCCGGGTGTCCGTAGCTAACAATGCTCTTTACACCCGGGTGTAAATGTATTTATGAAAGACATTTTTTTTTAAATTTATGGACATTTTGATAATTTCATTCCCTTGTGCTGTTGCGTCAAATTGTAATTCCCTTATGGTGGATGTATAAATGCACATCTTATCTTAAGCACTGTAGCTATTTACACCCGGGTGTCTCTTCTTGCCCTTTCTACGATGGCTTGGTAAGGTTACCTGAACATCAGGGACAAAAAACACCTATGTTATATTGTGAACATGGCGGTGGTGGCGAAGTCGATAGGGACTTGGCTTGGCAACTGGAAGGTCACCAGTTCAAGTCCCGGCAAGACCAAGTGCTACCGAGGTGTCCCTGAGCAAGGCACCGTTCCCTACACTGCTCCCCGAGCGCCGTTCATGGCAGCACACTGATCCTGCCAGCGTCCAGCAGGACCACATGAAGAGCCTCAGGGCACCATTGGCACCATTTGTTAGTCACTGTTTACTGTTGTGGTATTTTGTAAATAAATATACTAAAAATCATCAAGTCTGATAACTTCTTTCTGACTGTTGTGGCAGATCAATTTCATCAGGGGGGTCTGTCAGGGGGGTCTGTGGGACATGTATTACCTTACAGCCATTAAGATGGACTTTTATTAATCCCTCGTGGGGAAATTGTTGGCTAGGATGGGTCAAATGCAGAGAAACAATTTCCCCACGAGGGATTAATAAAAGTCCATCTTAATGGCTGTAAGGTAATACATGTCCCACAGACCCCCCTGATGAAAGGGGGTTAATTAATCTGACACAACAGTCAGAAAGAAGTTATCAGACTTGATGATTTTTAGTATATTTATTTACAAAATACCACAACAGTAAACAGTGACTAACAAATGGTGCCAATGAGTCTATGTACCCCCTGAGGCTCTTCATGTGGTCCTGCTGGACGCTGGCAGGATCCGCGTCTTTTAGCAGGGCTTCAGCATTCTGAAAAGACACAATTACACATTTATTTACAATATACAGTAGAAATTCATTTTACAAATGATTTCATGTCCCAACCTTGTGTGACTTTAAGTTGAACCCACAAACAAACAAAAAGACTCAATAAAAAGGCACTTTTAAAATATGTGCTTTTAAAAACAGTAATTTTCATCATTTTTGTATCTGAAACACAACATTGCACCATACTTATGTTATGATTGTCTTGCAGAAAGAAAGGACTTTAACCAGATATGCCATGTCTTTCCAGGATGAGTACCTGAATGAGGAGGTGGACGCTCGGATGATCGAGTATGAGGACAACAGGCCCCTCCTGGACCTGTTCCTGCAGAAGCCCATGGGGATGCTTTCCCTTCTGGATGAGGAGAGTCGCTTCCCACAGGCCACTGACCAGACCCTCGTAGGTCAGTGTCTCCAGATCATGATTCTTGGCCATCTGTTTTGGGAAGGATTCACTGTATACAACCTTTATTTGCACAGAAGATGTGGACTTCGCAGTAACACTTTTTGTCATTTGATCTCTCATGTCTTAGTAATGTTCAGGCTTAACAGCCATCATTTGGGGATTTTGGGAAAATATAATTTAGGAAACAGAAGTTTTTAGTTGAGCACATTGTCAAAGACAACAGGCTGTATTTCATACTGAAGGTTATAAAACCACTTTTAGATAAGTAAATATAATAGTAAAGCATAGTAGACTTGTGAAATCATGCTGACATCATATTGGCTGTGGGGTTAACTATGTTATATTTCATTTCACATTTTAGAGAAATTTGAAGATAACCTGAAGACCAAAAGCTTCTGGAGACCAAAGAGGGTGGACCTTGGCTTTGGTATTCACCACTACGCTGGAAAGGTACTTGATATTTGATTTAATAATATGTGTGCACAGAAGCTTTATTTCATGTAACGCTGATTAATATGAGTTTTTATATCATTATTCTCCCTCTCAAATTCTAAGGTGATTTACAACGCTGCAGGCTTCTTGGCCAAGAACAGAGACATGTTACCAGCCGACATCATCCTGCTGCTGAGGTCGTCAGAAAATGAGCTCACTCGCAAACTTGTCACCCATCCGCTCACCAAAACAGGTAAAGAGGAAAGGAAATAGGGAAAGAAAAAAGGAGGAAGTTTGTTTAAAAGCAGCACTTAATACATACTTAACATAAAATAACAGGATATTGTTACCTATTGTAGCAAGGCTTTCCTCTCTTATCCGCCAGACTTTGTTTCATAAACTGTTCTTGGCAGTGAGAGTGCGTTTCTTTTGGCAGAGCAGGCTGCCAGCTCTGTCCGAATCGAGTCACATAATCACTCTTTTAGTGTAGTCTTAAAGCTATTGTTGGGAGCGTTTCACTCTTAATCAACAGTAACGCACTTAAACGGAAATACTACTGACCCCTTTGCTATCTGCTCCATTTATCTCAGTTTTGAATCACCATAAGTTTAATCTTTTTTAAGATGTTCAGTATCACAGGACATGTTTCACCTCACTAATTGATCCGGACAGATAAGAATATGCCGTCCTCTTACTGTGAATGATCCTTCAATGTATATCCACCCCTTGCCTGGTGGTCAACTGACTCTCATGCTCAATTTGTTTATTCCACAGGCAACCTTGCCCACACCAAGGGTAAAGGCATAAACACAATGCGCAGCCCGCGGACCCCGTCACGCACCATCACATTCGCCAAGGTACTAACAGCAATATCTGCATTATTACTGTACTATCTTCCTCATCAAGACCTTACCTTGACAAGTTGTTCAATCTATTTTTCTCTTCTTACTGCCAGAACTCCAAACTACTTTTGAATTACAATCAAGCCCCTTTTGTCTTTTGAATGTGTTTAACTTATTTTTACTTTGATTATAGCTTCTCCTTTTCTAACCTTCTGTGTCTTCTTTTCTCTCTGTCTCTGCATTTCTGTTGCAAAAGATGGGAGTGCTTTCTTTATACAATTCCTTTTCTTTCAGTGAGGTAATCAACATATTTAGGTAGTTTGTTTTTGTGTGTGTCCAGACAACTTTACTAACTTTAGATCTCCTAAACTATAGAAAGATACCCAACTGTAGTGATTTGTATTTTGAATTGCTCACCCATACATCCTGTTGCGTGTGTGCCACCTGTAGACACTTCCCCATCTTCATGTAGTCCTCAGAATGTAGAAGCATATGCTTTGTTAAACCTGTTAAAGCCTTCCTTTATATTCATTTCCACATTGTCTGTTTGTAGCTCCAAGCCATATTGTTGGGGTTTAACGCTTCACTTTGGGTGTCAAAGCACTCATACTGAGTATTTAAGTCAAATTAATGGCATAGTGAATCCACATTTAATCAAGTATTGCAACTTTAAATTTAGCATTTAAATCATTCCATAATCAGCCACAGTTTATAGCCAATGGGAAAATCAAGACACACACACACACACACACGCACGTACGCACGCACACACACACACACACACATACAGATGCTGTACACGACTGCAGTTTTTGCCAACTGTAAGGCCTGAGGCAATTTGTTCGCCCAAAAGCACTTGATAGTAGCTACATTCAAATGAACTGTGTCTGATTAGTTCTTGAATCTATTTCCATTCATCTGCATATGTTAGACAAAAAGCTCATCAAAGGCTCCGCTCTTAAGAGGCACAATGAGACCTCAAAATGCTGCAAACAGTATTAGACTGATGGCTTACTATAAAGTAGTTTCCCCCTGGGTAACAGTACTGATAATTAGGTGGTGCTTGTTAAAATGTTACAAAATACTGTGCCGGTTAATTCATAAGTTTCGGTCTTTTTTATATAGATGTAGCATCCTGTGTTGTCTTCCCAAGAGCAAATGCTGTAGTATTTTTGTAACTAATTAGAAGCACACTTGATTTGGCGCTTGTTTTTATTTTTTTTATCCATCTTATGCATCTCTTTTTGCAGCCTTCTCGGAAATTAAAGCTCGACCCTGAAAAAACGGTGATTGGTGAATTTTTAAAGGAAGATAAAAACAATTTGATATCAACAATTCTATTGAAAATTTGACCCAATGTTTAATTGTTAAAGGCCCCCTATTATACTGTTTTTCATCAATATATTATAGCTCTCAGATATATACAAAACATGTCTCTGAAGTGTTCTGCTCGAAATACCCGACAGATCATTCATTGTAGCATCCCATAAACCCCTCTGTTTCAACCCTGTTCCAAAAGTTCGGATACTTTTGGCGCTTTTCCACTGCAGGGCCTCGCACGGCTTAGTACGGTATGGTTAGGCCTTGGTAGGCCAGGCTCACTTTATGCTGCGTTTCCATTACAGTTTAGTAACAGGGGTAGTAACTATAGTAACGCAGTGTAGGCGGGGCGATCGGCTGTTCGGCGGGCGGAGCAACGCTGCGTAAAACTGCAGTGACGTCATCTTCAATGCGAACCACAAAACCAAAACATCTGTTAGCTGTTAGCACTCAAACTGTCTGTGTCATGGCGAATACAGTCGCTGGTTTATTTATGTCTGTAGGCCGTTGTTGTGAGTGTGGACGGAGCATATACAACGTTAGCCTGATCGATCCAATCTCCATTCAGAAAACACATTTTAAAAGGTGTTTCGCCTGCCGTCTGCAGACTTGTCAAAGCAATAATTCATGGTTTTTTACTAACCGGTATCAGTATGTTGTTACTTCGGCATCATTTTGAAACGTGTATTACAATTAAATCACGGTAAAATATGTTAATTTTGTTGTAGTTGTAGCTCCCTAGCCAGCGATTCTCTCTGACCATTCAGCAGTCGAGTGTTCACATCATTAGTTTAGCATATTCAGCCTGGTTGTTGGACCGGTTGTTGGACCGGTAAGAACCTCGATTTTGGAGGGCCAGAAAATAGGTGAAAAAGTAGCCCTACCCCTAGTGGAAAAGCAAAAAAAAAGCCGTGCTGCAGTGGAAAAGCGCCATTTGTTACTTTAGATGAAGATAAGGAGCCACTCCCCACGCCCCTCTGAGAGATATTTGGTTAAAAAGAACACAATGGTGCTCTAGGAGGAGATTCAGGTGATAATGTTATAAATCGTTATGACATCATAAAGTGGCTAAAATCTGATCAGCTCATTTTCAGACAGGTTTTTATAGAAATGGATCAGGACAAAAAGTGAGAGAATCTTTTTTCCTGAAACTTTCAGAATCTCTTTACACTGTGTTGTACATGTTTATGTATAAAAGACATGAACAAGTGGATTTTGTATAATAGATCCCCTTTAAATATGTGACATGTTCACACTTAAGCCCTACATTAATATTAGGCAATTTCCCTTATTCAGTACTTTAATGCTTGACTTAATAATAAAATCTCCCCTTCTCTCATGAGGTTATACAAATCTGTAAAGACAAACACAGCATGCCATACATTATTGTGATATTTGACTAGCTTTTTGTCTGTTTTCTTTAGCAGGGAGAATCAGTGGACACGCCTTACCACCCGAGAGAAACCACCAACATGAGAACACAGACAGTGGCCTCCTACTTCAGGGTAAGATTGATGTCTTTATTCTCTGATTACTTTGTTCAAATTTGGTTTAAAATGTCTAAAACGTTCTCAGTGTTTCTCTTGTTACCAACTTTGTTGCATAAACCCAAGCTGCTTAAAAAGATGAATTCTTCGTGTACTTTTTCTAGTACTCTCTGATGGACCTGCTGTCCAAGATGGTGGCAGGGCAGCCTCACTTTGTGCGCTGTATAAAGCCAAACAACGATCGCCAAGCCAATAAGTTTGACCGGGAGAAGGTTCTGGTTCAGCTGCGATACACTGGAGTTCTGGAGACAGCCAAGATCAGACGGCAGGGCTACTCTCACCGCATTGTGTTTGCTAACTTCATGAAGAGGTCAGCACTTAACAGAAGGATGTCGAGTAATAAATTAATGTTGCATCAAAAGGCATTTATTTTCGTGTTCATCTGATCTCTCTGACTGTTACAGGTACTACATATTGGCTTTCCATGCTGATGAGGAGCCGGCTGTGACTCAGGAATCATGCGCTGCAATACTGGAGAAGGCCAAGCTGGAAAACTGGGCAATGGGGAAGACTAAGGTTTGTAACTGTATTGTTTGAAGGGAGCATCAACACAAGCTTAAATTCAAGCTTTCAGTCAAGTTAGTTTCAAATGACCTTATTTTAACCGAAAAGACAATTAGAGTCCGCTCAAAATGAGCAGCTGTACAATGATTTTTGCTAATATGCTTGTCATTGATGCACCGGATTCATTTGGATCTATTGAGGAGCACCATAGGCTAATCACAGTTACAATTCCCTGTTGCAACCTATGGTTTTGTTGTAATATGTTGTAATACAGGCTGGTAAAAGTGAGTGGGAGCATGCTTCCAGATCTGGCTTCAAGCCCCGATAGTCTCAATTGAAATGTCACTGAGCAAGACATTGAGGCCAACATTTACCAAAGATTACTGCAGATATTTTTTGTACTTAAAAGGCCAAAGCAGAACCTAGTTCACTCACTCTGTGCAATGGCTTCAGCCCCTGTCACACTGTCCCGAAATTGACACCCGATGGACACACGATAAAGGAAATGTTCAAATTCGGCTCTGATCGTAACAACATTGGGCCATTCGTGAGGGCATCTTAAGCCATCGTATGACCGCCGGTGGAGTTTCTCAGGCTCCGGCAGCAACTTCGTGAGCGGCAACTTCGTAAGGCACTCGTGAGGGCATCTTGTCAAATCGTGTCATCTTCGTGTTATCATCGGTGCATTCACCCTCACTCTGATCGGGGCGAATGCCCGATGGCACCGATGATAACAAGATGCCCTAACGATGGCCTTACGAAGGGCAAAATTGACACACGAATTCAACAGGAAAATGAACCTTCGCAAGGTGCTTCGGCAATATTTTGGCATGCCAAAGATTTTGCAACCGCTCACGAAGTTGCTGCCGGAGCCTGAGAAACTCCACCGGCGGTCATACGAAGGCTTAAGATGCCCTCACGAATGGCTCGATGTTGCTACGATCAGAGCCGAATTTGAACATTTCCTTTATCGTGTGTCCATCGGGTTGTTTTATTGCACAACAAAATCATGTAAACATATTATGTAAATAACCCAATTTGTCGGAAATATCAGTACAGTATCATAGTACTTTAACATAATTGTTTGTGTTACTTTCGTTGCAGTTGTATGTCTTAAATGTAATGTAAATGTTGCCTTCGTGTGTGGTTCGGGGCCATCTTCGTGCGAAATTCACAATTCAATATTCGTGTATCCATCGGGTGTACATTTCGGGACAGTGTGACAGGGGCTTTCCCAACAACACTCACATCAAAATAAACAACCCAGTCTCACGGCATTTCGTGTTCACCAACACGATTTTTAATCTATTGATTCGTGTTCACCAACACGATTTGCCCCTTTTTTTCGTGTTGCACAGCACGATTTTAAAAGCAATGTATTTCTACTGCCTGCAGCACGTCTTTTTCTCCGGTCGGGTCGAGGAAGACCGGAAGCTGTGTGGTTCATAAAAACATGTTCTTACTCAATATCAAGCCACAGTTATTGCTTTTATTTGAAATCGTATAATTTCTGACTTTTGTTGCCGTCTGTGAGGAAAATAAATGGGGCTCAGAGCCTCAGAATACGGAAATCTGTATTTTTAAATATTTTTTTCCTTCTAATTCGATATTCTTTTCAAAATAACACACTGTTATTTACTCACCAATAACACACAATTATCCTTGCTTTTATTTATTGGTTTAATTCCATAATCTCGGGCTTTTTTGGCGTCCGTCAGGAACTGAATTTCAAAATAAAAATAACCGGAAACAGACGTAGGCCTATAAGGGACATTTCGAGCATCATTGCGATTGTCAACATTTCTGAGTTTAGGATGGCCGAAGACACTACACTACCCATAATCCCCAGCTATCGTTTAGGACTACAGTCCCCGTAAGGTTACGCAGAGCGTCAAACAGCTGTGTGAAATGGAACGAAACCACGCCAGACTATCCAAAACTGTAATCGAACGCCCCCCCAGAACTACACATGCTGGCTATTGTGTTTCGCAAAATGTTCTATGGGACGTCTCTACTGAACGTTTTCGTTTTTCCCACAATTAGAAGTTGCCAGTATTAAACACATTGGTGTTATCAAATGTAAAACATATAATTAATAAATGGGTGAAAATCGCTTGTGTCCATAATGCGCAGCATTAATACCCACATGACAGCTCATTGTTACTTTGTAATTCTACTCCACTACAATTCAGAGGTTAACCTGGTATTTTTACTCCACTGCATTTATTTGAGTTACTTTGCAGATTCTGATTAATTATGTGAAATATAAACAACCCTTAAATCAGACTTTAGTTACACCTGAGTAAAATTCAGGTAAGGTGATTGTCAAGTGCCAACAATCAGGAGAGATATTTGATAGTTGGTGCTTGAGAAGACTAAACACGTATCTGCAATTGACATGAATGGAAACGAGTAATAAAGTATATTCATTACTCGTTATTCTCTACTAATAGTTAATTAAAGACTGTATATTATGGCTATTTTGCACATCCCTTTCAAGATTTTCAAAGGTGTATTGACATATCATATACACAACTACGGTGTAGTTACGCAATGAATGAAACACTTGGGTCACAGGTTCCTCAACAGTGCATTACAAGACATCTATCAATATGTGTGTACCTCCACCATTAAACTGTCATATTCTGCACATTTCTTATTCTATCTACATACATAAGAGTAATTCATATGTATAATATCAGTTAAAATAACTGCTTCAACATAGTTAACATTGCAGGAAAGCAATATATTAGATGCTAAGTACTTTGTCAAGCTTAATATGTATCTGTAGATAGATACCCCCAAAGTTTTTTTCTTATTTAAAAAAAGACCTTAATCTGTTATTTAATGTTTAAATAAAGGTTAATTTGTTTTTCTGTTTTGCACCTCCTCCTATTAATATCTTTGTACATTCTGCACTAAACTGTTTTATTGTAGAGATCACTTATAGTATCTTCTTGATTTTTTATATTCTATTTTTATACTTTCCCCCTATGAAAGTATGTACTCTTAATATTTTTTTAATCAAATAAAACACAATAATTCAATAACGTGATTTAACCACTAGGAGCTGCACACAAGGTACACACAGCCATAATAACTTTGTATTATTAGTGTAGGACACTTTTGTTTTCGTACAACATCTGAAAATGTGTAGTTTTATTCATGCTTTCACATAATTTTACAGCATATTGCTATACTATTTCAGACTCAGTATTTACATTCTTACATTCAAAGAAAATCAGTAATATCTTTAAAAACTACAGTCCTTTTATATCAGATGTCCACCGTTATGGTGTAAATATAACCTATCTGTGAATTAGATCAAATGTAAAAGTCAGCCGAATTAGTGTTGATACTGCAAGGAGACGTATTGTGTGAAGAGAAATTGAAGATGTTGTTTAATTGTTGAATATATTTATGATCCACGTCAAGTATTCAGTTTCGGCGGCATTTTCTCAGTTTTTCCAAAGGTCTTCTCATCAGGGCTCTATAAATAAAGAACTACGGCAGATCTGTAATATACAATGCAGCCGAACCGTGTATTACAATGCCGTTATGTGATGACTTTCAAAGAGAAAAGCAAGAGCGCTCGGAATTAAGTATTATTTTATTCTTTTAAAATGTTTTCCGGATTTCATATCATATAAACACCAAATCCCAGCATGCATTGCGGCTAAAACATCCAATAAACGAGCTTAAAACCATAGCTGAGGATCTTGGGTAATCGCTCGAAATGCCTACGTCTGTTTCCGGTTATTTTTATTTTGAAATTCAGTTCTTGACGGACGCCAAAAAAGCCCGAGATTTTGGAATTAAACCAATAAATAAAAGCAAGGATAATTGTGTGTTATTGGCGAGTAAATAACAGTGTGTTATTTTGAAAAGAATAACAAATTAGAAGGAAAAAAAGATTTAAAAAATACAGATTTCAGTATCCTGAGGCTCTGAGCCCCATTTATTTTCCTCACAGACGGCAACAAAAGTCTGAAATTATACGATTTCAAATAAAAGCAATAACTGTGGCTTGATATTGAGTAAGAACATGTTTTTATGAACCACACAGCTTCCGGTCTTCCTCGACCCGACCGGAGAAAAAGACGTGCTGTAGGCAGTAGAAATACATTGCTTTTAAAATCGTGCTGTGCAACACGAAAAAAAGGGGCAAATCGTGTTGGTGAACACGAATCAATAGATTAAAAATCGTGTTGGCGAACACGAAATGCCGTGAGACTGGGTTGAAATAAAGCCTGTGTGGAGTTGTAGTGATTACACTGTGTTATTATTATGACCCTAAATAATAACCATGAAAGCCTTCGCAAATCAAGAAAGGCCACATTTCTTGTACTACATTGTACTAAACTCCAATGTATTGCAAAAACCTACCATTTGAGCTTGAGACTACTTTCTCTTTTCAAGTGCTTTCTTCCACACCATCTCGACTCACATTGTTTATTATTATATTACATGTCACTTGTTAGACGCTTTTATCCAAAGCGACTTACATACTCAATACCAATACTCAATACCAGGGACACAACGACATGCTGACTGCAGTGGGACTCCAACTTGCTTGTTTAGTTGCAAGTAAAACACAATTCAGGGTTCTTACGGTCATTAAAAACCTGGAAAAGTCATGGAAATTCAAAATGCTAATTCCAGGCCCTGGAAGAGTTATGGAAAACAATATTTTCATCAAATATAATTTATATTTTATCTAATCACCGAAATAGTAATACTAAAATGATAATAAATACTGTATCGTATAGTTATGAAACGTAAAATGGCATTTAACTGTCGAGGTATTTTGCTGGTGAGAGATTTGAGTGGCTTTAGTGTGTTGAAGCTAGTAAGCCTACTATTGGATTTGTTTTAGATAGGCACAACATGTTTCATATGCAGACCTTATTTTCCTGTTCCATGTTAAAATAAACCATTTTCAGCGGTACCGCTGAGAAAGAGTAATTGTTTTGGTCATGGAAAATTAGGTAAAGGTCATGGAGAAGTCATGGAAAAGTGTATGAACCCTGATAATTACTGTGTGTCTGTACTCTCAGGTGTTCCTCAAGTACTACCACGTGGAGCATCTGAACCTGATGGTGCAGCAGGCCACTCAGCGGATCATCCTGCTCCAGGCTTACGTCCGAGGCTGGCTGGGAGCCAAGCGATACCGGCGGACATTAAAGGAGCGAGAACAGAGTGCTCTGGTGCTGCAGTCAGGTTAGTACACACTCTGTCCACTAGTAGAACATGCAGCAGTTGTTATACCTTTCCATGGCAGCTCATGTTTTAATGTTTGTTTCCCACTCTCCAGCTTACAGAGGTCATAAGGTTCGGAAGAAGACGGCCGATGACAAAAGCAAAGCCAAGTTTGAGGCCTTCATTGTCCAGTTTCAGGCTGGTAAGAACAGGATCTAATCTATCCGATGCAATCCAAGCTCAGTGTGTGTTGCATTGGCTTACGTTCCCCTTTTCTTCTTCTTCAGTGTGCAGGAGCTATCTTGCAAAAAAGAAATACAAGGAGTTGGTAGATGAGAAGAACAAAGCGGCAACCAAGATTCAGGCTCGCTATCGAGGGCACAAGGAAAGGAAAAGCTTCAAAAGAAAACAGTATGAGAGATATTATATTAACATAACATAGCTTGGAAAGAAAATATGTTTATTGTTTTGTGATACAAACGTACCCATTTTGTTTTAAGGGAAGAGAAAGCAGAGAAAGCCCTTCAAGAAAAAGAGGAAGAAGAAGCAGCTAAGACCCCCAACGGGGAAGACTCCATTGCTGCCGTCAACGAAGCAGGTAACGAGGAAGATGAAACTAAAGCTGCTGTGGTTCTCCAGAGCAACTTCAGGGGCTACAAAGAGAGGAAAAAGTTTAAGGAGAGAAAAAAGACGATGGCCGGGGCTGAATTAGAGTCGCCACTTGACGCAGTGGCGGAAGAAAAAGTTGGACAAGAGTCTGCCAGCAAAGAAGAGCAAGAGGGAAAGACAGCTGAGGAGAATGACGACGAGGAAGAGAGCACGTATGAAGCAGAGGAGAATGATGACAGCGATCACACACAGGTGCCGGAAGATGATGACAATTCTGAAATTGCAGATGTAGCAATGATTGAAGTAGCCCTGTCAGCAGATGCTGGAAAAGAAGGGCAGGAGGAGGACAAGAGGGAGGAGAATGAAGAAAACGCTGCGGGAGAAGAAGCTGTCAATGTGGAAGAAGAAACCAAGGCTGCCACTGTCCTCCAGAGTAACTTCAGAGGTCACAAAGAGAGGAAGAGGTTGCAGGACGAAGGCAAGATCCCAGCTAGGAAACAGAAAGCAACAAGTCCTGCTGGTGAAGAAGAACAGCCCACGGTGAGCACAGGAGAGGAAGAGGTGCAAACTCCAGCAGACAAAGAAGAATCCAACGAAGCTCAAGGTGTTGCAGACGTCAAGTCAGGTGACCAAGATGAGGCCAAAGCAGCAGTGGTGCTCCAGAGCAACTTCCGCGGCCACAAGGAGCGCAAACGACTCGAGGAGGAAGGCAAGATCCCGAAGAGGAAGAAGAAGGAAGTAGAAGAGCCTCCGAAGGAAGAACAACAGGTAACGCCAGAAGAATCAGTGCCAGAATCCCAGCAGGATGCTTCCCCGGAGAACTCGGGGGGACTGGATGAGGAAAAAGCTGCTACAGTCCTCCAGAGTAACTTCAGAGGACATCGGGACCGAAAGAAGCTGAAAGCAGAGAGAGAGAATAAAACAACGGAAGAGTCAGCGCATGATGCAGAGGAGGAAGCTAAAGAGGAGGCAGAGGAAGAAGCCCTGGATGTTGGGGACGTGACGATTGAAAGGAAAGACGAGACAGATGCTGAGAGAGAGAGGCAGGAGGAAGAGCAGGCCGCGGTGAAGATCCAGAGCAACTTCAGAGGGTACAAAGACCGGAAGAACCTGAGGGCCAACAAGCAGACAGCACAGACAGAAGCTGCACAACAAGAGAGCTTCTCCAAAGAGGTATAATTATTAAACATTACTATTGTGCTGTACCCACTAATCATCCTGTTAACCACTTACATATTCCCTTTTTAACAGATCGCAAAGACTTCTCAGGACTTCATGTCGCTGCAGCTTAAGTTAAATGAGATCATCCAGGCCCATCAATCAAACCCAGAGAACAATGGCATGTTTGTGAGAGGAAAAGCGATGAATGGCTATCCTCCTCAGAATCAACAATCAGGTAAGATAATTCAGAGATTAGCTCAGGAAAAATAAATAATCATAAAGCAATAAATATAATTCAAAATGATGGCGCGGATTGACCCGAGGTTAATGTTCATTTTTGATTGTGTTAAAGCGCTGAATCGTCAGATAATTAAAGAAGACAAGGGGCCTGTCTAGGGTGAGCTGGACATGTGTCTATTATTTTTTGTCTATTCATTCTTCAGTGTTTTTCCAAGGGTTATCCGTCAACGGCTAAATGACGTTGATACACATCCACCCAGATAACCCAGAGTGCAACGGTGTCATGTCCTGCTACACTGAAAAGAAAAGAAAGGATCGTCTAAAGCCCTGTTTTTAAATATCCAGGATTTGAGGCAGGATGAATTACTGCTTTTTCCGGGTTTTATAATGTCAAAGTTAAAGCTGCGTGGTCCCACACTGTACTTGTTTGCTTTATGCAACAAGAGAAAAAAGGGAGCAGAGATTTTAATAACGTCTTGTAACAGACTTTGATGTTATCGACGTCCGCCCCTCTCTTTTCTCTCTTGTGGCTTGATTAGATCAGGAAACCTGTGAAAGTCAAGTGCCAACACATGACGCGCTTCTCAACCAAATGTGTCATCAAAAATAAAAGTTGATTTGCACAGGCGATAGGTGTAATTGCTTTCGGGGTGGTGAGCGAGGGGAGACGGCAAATTGAAAGTTCACCGTCCTAGCAAAACGGAACTGTCAGCTGTAATGTCGCCAGCATCATGGTTTCAGATTATGAGAAAATAATGTCATAATTATGTAATACTGATGATTGCCTTTTCTTAGCTGGCATCATGATTATTCTCCAGTTAATTCGATTTTCAGTTGCCATTTTAAGTGGTATGTGTGCTGAATTGCATCTGTCTAATTCTCAGTAATTCTTTGTAATGAAAACTCATAGTAAAAGTTGCAATCCCAACTTCATGTGGAGTTCACTTCCTGTCACAGACCATTTTGAGTAACCACAGTCTTTCCCTAACCTTAGCCAATGGGTTTAGGTAAACCTAACCATACCTGTTACCAAGTTCCCAACCTTCTGAAGTCCTCCTTGTGAGTAGAGAGGAGCCAAATAATGTTAGTTACACATCTTAATCTTTTTATAATGTTTTATTACATCAGCCATTGGGAGAATTGTACAATATCGCAGGTAGACAGGCTTAGTTAAAGGGGCCCTATTAAGATTTTTGGGGTTAAAATCCCAAAGTAACATGTGAATGTAACATTCACATTTCTATTGGCCAAAACGTCAACACATTGTACGTGATAGGCTAAGGGGCAGGACATCTCTTAGCAGTTGACCAATCACAAACAGAGACGGGAAGCTAACCAATCAGAGCATCTGGTTTCAGACAGAGGGTGAACAGAGGAGCTGCAGCACAGGCAGTATGAGACAAATAAAGACCTTTTTGAACATCAAAGTAAGGAAAAATACAAATATGAGTCTGAACATTTGCATAACAAGCTAAATGCAGTTGCAGTTGTGCGTTTGGATATACTTCTACCTGATTTAATTGAGATTGCCAAAATAGACCTTTGTCTAAAACATTGTACACACATTACTTCACAGAGAGTTTCCAGTAGAGTACAGATGTTGCTTCAATCCGGGCATGTTTGCCCTTTACATGCTTTCTTGCACAGCCCTCCTGAGGTAAAGCAGAATAAATTATCTTTGTTATTTCCGAGGGCTAGTGCGATTTCCTCATAAATGATGCTTCTCAGCCCCTCTTTGTAATTTCTCCATCGACAGTCCTAAGCTGTACATCAGAATCATTTGTGTCACTTACAATGAAAGCAGAAGAAGGCCAGTCACATTGTTCTCAATGGGGAAAGGTCGTCAAATGTTAATCACGTTATGTGGGCAAGCGTTTTTCAAACAATTATTGCAGGAATTAATAAGAGGGTGTGGGAAATTGGCTTTGGTTGTTTGAGCAATACAGAATGACCTTTTTAGATGCAGTTGTTCGGATGGCCGAGTGTTTTCCTCTTGCACGAACAGTGATTCATAATAAGCGACAAGCAAAGGTCATTGTAATATGTTGATAATGGCAAAAACAATCACATGCCCAAAGAGGAACATGGTAACAGTGTCAGCCATGACATGTATGATGGATTGCAACACATCCACTACTGTATGGAGGTGATGTGCATGAGAAGTTGCCCAGCGGGACACAAACACATCTCTCTCTTTGTGTTCAATTCAACGCGGGTCACAAAGTTGTTGGTTGCTGTTTGTTGTTGTCAAAGGTTGACACGTAATCTCTGTTGGAAAATTCAAACTGGACAAAAGCCTTAGGGTTAAACTGCAGTGTGTATCTCCATACACACTGCAGTTTAACCCTAAGGCAGTTCAATAGGAACAACAAAGTCATAGGTCACTGTGGTGTAAGATCACACTCAATAGTCTCTTTCCAGCCAGCCGTGTATGTAATGATCCCACTGGCTGTTTGATCATAATGTGCTGCAAAAGGGAACACGATGACCAAAGATGATATACAATATGTTCAAATGACTGGCAAACCCCTAACACTAACATGACCGTTTATTTTTATATAGTTTTCACATCGTCCTTTATAATCCATCCATAGTGAAATAAAAAGGCAACTTTACATCATGTTGTAGGGGTCAAAAATGTCTGCAGATATTAGAACCTCATTGAACTAAATACACTAAAACTTGTAATTTTGTAAAACGTAATCCACATTTTGAAGAAAGATCTCTTTGAATACCCTGGAAGTCTACAGTTTTAAGGTGGTATGTATGTATCTTAACATCGTGTTTAGGTCCAGTCACTGACCTTTGTGACATGAAATGCCCCAAAATCCTTTCCAAATGTATATTACACTGAAAAATAACAATTATTGTCCTTGTATCTTCATTACACCTTTGGATAAGTGTAAACATAAAAGCAGATGTTAATTTCTTTGTGTGTAGACATCAGAACTCATTACCAGGCCCTTGCGTACCAAAACGCAATGCAAATGCATGCCAAAGACATTTCTAATCTTACTAAAAGGCAATTAAGTAAATGAGCAGGTTGAAGGTACACCAAAAAGTAAGTCAAAACACTTCATTAAAGTCTGCTATAAACAGAATCGTTATGATGTGTAAAAGGTTCAGTTTCCCTTCAGTGTCCATGTATTTGTGCTCTTCTGAATCATCCCCCAGCTACTTTACCGACACTCAACATATTAGCACGGTCTGATGTCGTTAACAGACTATGTTCATTTTCAGCCGAGAAGAGACGGTCGAGGACCCCCCGCAGGACCCAGCAGCCAAAGACCCTCAACACCCCGGAGGACTCCACCTACTACAACCTAATTCATGTGCGTCAGAAAGAGATGCAGAACGATTTCAGATATCTGCTACAACAAGGCTCTGCTGGCAGCTGCCCCAATGCACTATTGATCTACAATTATTTTCTTTTTGTAATACTCCTACTCCATTGCAATATACATAGATCAGCCAAGTTGTTCCAGAGTTTCTTTAGTACATTCGATGCTGCACAGTTTTGCAGCATTTAAGGCTTGTTTACAGTGCCGTCAGTTTGTTTGTTTGTTATTCAGTTTTATACTGAGTAATGCATCTAATCAATTAATAAGAAGTATTATACATTTGATTAAAGGTTTACTCAAGGAAGGACTTTGCCATATACAACAACAAAAAAAGAAGCAATATACTTGTTAGAAAAATCTCACACGACACCGGCTTGAGTTTCAAAATCAGGACACATGTATTTATTATCCTTGCACGATTTTTCTAACAATACTTTAATAACACAAGTAGACAGACGATAACTTGATTACTTCTTAACACATTTGATCCAAAGCGAATAAGATTGAAATCAGTGGTTCCCAACATTGGGGTAACAACCTATCAAAGAGGCACATGAAAAAGCAAATGGATCATAAGACAATCAAAATGCTAATATGCTGATGTACAATGTTTACCATGTTGACCAGCTTGCTTAAGCATCATAGCCTTCTTAAAAGCACAGACACAGTACCGCTGCAACTGATGTAAATACCATTCATTTTAGAGGTTTTGAACTTAAAGTATTGGAAGTATTGTAAAGACTTTTTTTTAAATGAACTAATGGTGGCGCAAACTAGAGGAAAGCCAGTTACCAAAAGTAAGCATTACCTTGTTAGATTGACTCCAGAGGAAGACATGAATGCCTCAATCACAGGATGAAGGAAAAGTCTAGGGATCAGTGAAACCCTGGAATGTCTATAAAAAGAATTGTCTGCAATCCACTACTTTTGAATCATTAATCCAAAATAGTTTTGAACTTCATCTAATCAACCTGAATGCAACCTGTAATGGGCCTGTTCAGGGGTTACAAGCCATACGTTTGGGAATTATTACTCCAAAAGCACTTTCTTTTGTTTTACCTAAACACAGCGATAAGGAGTTCTTGATTGACATGTAGTTATCTGTCTTCTGTTTGTCTCTACACAGCGGTCTGTCCAGGATGATAAACGCAAGCCCAGGAAAGACGAGTGAGTAGCAAGTTCTTATTTCAACCCTCTATTTAACAACTTCAGTCTTTAAGAGGTTGGCTTGCTGCCTGCCTCCTTGGCACACCGAGTCAGGAGTAATGACTGAGCTCAGCACCAACATAAGGATGGCGTCTCTGGCTCCAGACTTAATGATCTGCTGAATAACACACATCCTCTGTGAAATTAATTACTATCACCTTTCACCTTCGTTACACTTGCTAAATACACTGACATGTATTGTTAGGCATCAGAAATGCTTGGTTCAGCCGTATGTAAGGTACCTTATATATACATTGCTATTAAAAAGCACTAGAAAGCCTGTGTGGATGTGTGCTTTCATGCATATGCTAGTCATATAGGCCACATAGTGAGTGTACCGTCCAGAGTGAGGGGGTGCAGATAGACTGATATGGCTTTCCTGAACAAGAAGAGGCGTCGGGTACTTAATCACAGTAGTCTGAAAGGACACACACACCTTGATGTGCGCACACACACACACTGTGCGACACAGTGCTAAACATCAAGGGTAATCATTTGTTTGCAGATAAATAAAGCCAGCGATGGACAGGAGCAGTTTACATGCATCATTAGGGAAGAGAAGGTCAGCAGGAAAGATAGCATCTGTGGCTAAAGCTGACAGCAGGGGGTGATGGGAAGGCGCGGGTGGTACCAAGAGAGGAAAGGAGACAAAGGTGATGATTAAATAAATTAAAGTGGTGTTTCAGTGGCTCTCTGAGGCTTATCTAGAAACAACATTACTTTGAGCTAAATGCTAGCATGCTATAAATGTTACCAATAGCAGTGCTAAAAGTGTCATAGTTGTCAAGTAAGTTTGAGATGTTTTAGTTTAGAATTAGCGTGATAATATGTGTTAATTAGCCTTAAAGCAGGGCTCTCCAACACGTCAAGCTACTGAAAAGCAGCTTTTCAGTAGCTCGCCGCTAGATTATCGATTATAGCGTAGTAAGGTTGCTTCTTGATTTTTCGGCCGCGGCTGGACAATAACGTTTTTTTATTTTAGAATTGTTTCTGTCACACGAATATCAAATTGGTCCGTGACGCAGTGATCAAGGAACAGACGTGACAGCGGCACAGCGACACCACACACGGAGCAGTCTGCTTTCTCCACCAACACCAGTCCAGAACCAACAGCAGAATGACCCGCTCTGAATCAGGCCCCTGTCGCTGCGGCTCAGAGACACACAGGGAGGGATTTGTGTTTTTTGAAAAACACTCGTTATCATCATGTCAGGTTTTTGGTGGATTTAATCAAGTCTTGGATTGCAGAGTATGAATGTCCTCTTGCTATTTTCAGTTGACAAATACTGTACTTGTGTAAAGTTTGTGAAGGCAGGAGGAAAGCTTCCGCGATCACTGTCTCCTCTCCGTTCCTCCAAACCCCGCCCCCTCCTGAAAATAATGAGTGACATGCTGATAGTGACCCGATAGAAACTTTATTATTCACTTAATCACTGATTGAGATATGATGAAGCTAACTTACTCTCATACATTCATGGGATTTATGTAACAGTAAGACAGAGAATGTAAGTGTGCACCCACATGCACTATTTTTGTTTTTATAATGCTGTTGTAAATAGTCCTGTTCAGTGGCGGCGCTAGGGGGTGGCTACTTGGGCTCAAGCCCCGGATGTTTTCTGAAAAGCCCCGGATGTTTCACTTAAAAAAAAAAAACGTTTTTGAAAACGTCTCGGGAGTAATGTGCAGTACCGGAGTCCACCAGAGAGGCAGCCACTGTGGGACATTAGCCTGTGTACTGCGTAGCCTGCCCTGAAGAAGAAGTGATCCTTCCTAGTGCCTGACGAGTTTTAAGCTAATAGCCTATACAGTTATGGATATTAGAAAGTTATTGTCATTGAAGCAGCCGGCGCCACAAGCTGCAGCAGCAGCAGTATCAGCAGCTGACAACAATGTCATCACCAGCAGTCAAGAAATGGATGATGTTTCAAGTTTGTGAATCTAATGGTGATATCTGCACTCTGGCTGACTGAGTAAGAAGTGAAAAAGAGTGATGTAACGTTAATGTTATAGCTAGTAAACATGGAGTAACCACACTAAGTATACCCTTATATGTTAGTATGTATACAACATGACTAAAAATTATCCTAAGATGTAACGTTAACCCTTCATGACTCAGTCTACTTTTAAGACACTAAAATAACGAATTCCAATTTTTATTTTGTTTTCACGCGTGGAATTATACCGGCTCTCGTTTCAGTACACATAACAACAGAACTGACAGGCAACCCTCTGAATCAGACTCCGATTGGCTGTGACTGCATCCACTCAGAGTGTCCGATTCAGAAACGTGACTCTTACGGCCCGTCCACACAGCGGCGTGCGTTGAAGCTTCCAACGCTTCTGCCCATTCACTTTGAATGGGGTGACGTCACTTTTAGCCGAACTGCATCGTGGGAAGCGACGCGGAGCGTTGCTGGCGTGGCTCGCTGCAAAAGTTGAGCAATGCTCAACTTTTGACGCCTCGGCAGAAGCGTCAGCCAATCGAATCATATGCCAGTACAAGCTCTAGCCAATCAAACCGCTGCTTGTGTGTCAGGGGCGGGAGATTCATGTGATTGGTTGTTGGTCGAGTGTCAGACACGCCCGCCGGCAAGCGTCAACGCACGCCGCTGTGTGGACGGGCCGTTACACTCTTTACGTCACAAACAAAGATGGTGGATGAGAATAGATCAATAAAACGATAAGCAATGCGCCAGAATCAAGGTGAGACTATCCGCATCCTTTAAAACTCTACGCACATTCGTTTCACCTTAATAAGTAAACGACTATTTGAGTGAGTTAAGGCATTAGCTTGCTTCATTAAAGGGTGTTAATGAGTGTTCTCCAGTGCCTTTTGTCCGCTTTAAGGTGTTATTAAGGTAGGGTTAATGTTGCTCTCAAAGTGCACCAGATTGATGCTTTCAACTTCAATATTTAAAAAAAAAATCTTCCCAGGGGAGCATGCCCCCGGACCCCCCGAGAGGAGGCGACGACCCCCCTAAAGGATGTTCGGTCCAGCCCCCCACTTATAAAAAATAGCACTGTACCCCTGCACCCCTCCCCACAACCCAACGACTCCTGGGCTAAGCCCCGGATCTCCTACAATCCTAAATCCGCCTCTGGTCCTGTTGTCTGCTGTGTTCAGACTCAAGTCATGTTTGTGATGCCACATTCAGGACCTTCAGTGTCTTTTTTTTAACAGAAGACCGTTGCTAGAAGCTGCAGCTAGACTGCAGAAGTATTCGTTTTTTGTTTTTGAGGATGGAACAATTTCACACACAGATATAGGGAGGCTAGACCTATACAGTTGATTTATTATGGTTTAATGTCAAGAAGAAGAAGAAAAAGATGGCCGAACTGTTCAGTGTCAATCCTGTGGAGATGGAGATGGAGGTTATAAATCTCCAAAATCATGTTCAGCTTAAGTCTCAGCAAAACTCACAACATGTCTGGAGCCTTGTAGACCCATAAAACTATAAGAACATTCACCAAGCAGCACTGAACATGTCTGCTTTATTTGGTTCTGTTCTACAGACCTTTGTCAAGCAGCTTTTTCTGACATGAATGTCATGAAATCTAAATACAGAACAAGACTGACTGATCAACATTCAAATGACCCTAAGTGGGTACACTCCAGCATACACCTCTATGGTGGACTCCATGCAGTGCCAGTCATCTCACTGACTGTAAAGTGAATGCACTTATTTTACACATGTGCCATAAGATGCTTGCAAGGTGGTGATTCAGGACATGTATGTGAATGTTCAGTGATGTGCTCACTATGTGGGCCATAATAATGTGTGAGACATGTTCGTTTTCTTGGACCTTGATGTGAAGTTAAGATTTGTGATAAGCTTTAGGTATTGCAATTTCACACGTGTACAAAAGTAGCTTAATTCAACTGATGAGTGCTACGTGAATAAATGGAAGCGATGTGATGCAAGTAGTTCTTGGCCACTTTCATTTTTTCAAAGTAGCTCTCAGATGAAGAAAGGTTCGGAGACCCCTGCCTTAAAGTATAGCTGAGGATGATGTGAATGTCATTACTTTTGCAGGAATTTGGTCATTAAAGGGAAAATATGCCACCTTTTAATTTGTCTGCTCAGTGATGATAAGTCACTTGACACAATAACTTCCTCAGTTGTGAATTTAGTCTTTTATCAAATCTTAGCCAAAATATGGCCAGGCGCCAGTGCACCTTTTTATTTAAAGTTATCCTCCAACTGGTATGGTTCATCCTGGAGGTGGGCATGGAAGCCTGAAACTCATTTTATGGCAGTCAATACAAAATGTGAATATTTCACTCAATATCACAAACAACAGCGCTGTGAAAAGATTGTCTTCTCATCACAATGCAAATATTGGCGCACCTCGCCCTACAATATTTTCTTCGATAGTACTTGGTGTTTTGTTTTTCAGTATGGACTGATAAATGTTGACACTTCTGATATTGCAGCATTACAGTCACGGAGACACTGATTCCCAATAGCCATTGTCACGTATTGCAATAGTGTGAGACTTATTGATCTCCACATGGAAACTGTTTTTCTCACTTGTTGTCCATATAGAGGTCAGCGTGTAGGTTCTGCGTCATGACAGCATCCCTGAAGCTGAGGAGCCTGTGTGGACAAATTCAATATGCTTGCAAATACTGTCAGCTTGATCATTATTATCCTTTTTCTCCTTTACTTTATCTGTCATGGTCAGTTAAATGCAAGTCAATTTAAGTGTCTCAAAACATCAGGACATCGACTGGAGCAACAACACATACTGTATTGTTTATTTTTGTCAGTTTATTTCCTTGTTTGTTTGTTTGCCTTTCTTATTGCTAAAGTTATTTTCAAAAATGAACACCAAAACACATTTTTGTAAAACTCAGCTGGCAAATCATTTACTTAAAGAATTGTTGTTCCCCTTCGCAGAAAACAAATGAGTGTAAACAAAGTACTAGAGAACATTTGTGTCTCAAAAAGCATATTTTTATGTTGGAGATAACAATAAATCAATAAAAACAAGAAGACTCAGGTTACTTTGTATATAGATCCAATTCAAACCAAAGCTGCAGTCCTTTTATGTTGAAGAAAAGGATGAATGCGTTTTCAGATGGAAAAGTAACAAGAAATGTGTGCTACTGACATATTTGCAGTAAAAAGAAGAAATATGGCATTTAACTACTCATGGGGGAAACAAATTGTATGAAGACAACATACACACTATACAGAAAGTATACTTTGGGGTTCTGAGAGAAAATAGATCCAGTTTTAGGCACTTTCATGAATGTGTTGTGTGTGTGTAAAAAGGAATCATGAATCTTGAATTTCTTTATTTTTAAAAGTTGAAACAACAATATTGAAAAGAAAGCAAATCAGAAGAGAAGACTTGTTTGTTAAAAATCTCGAAGTCTTTATTCAAACAATCACCGAAAAATAATGTTGCCTGAATGTCTGATTGACCTCTGAGTCTCTCCTCTCTAACATCCATCCCCTCTGTGTGTGCTTCAGTCCAGGGAAGCTGCTGGATGTAGAGGACCAGTACTACAGGGAGCTGTCCACCAGCAGCTCTGAACCCAGCATCTCCTCCAAGGACACGTCCCCCTGCAGCAGGCCGGAGAGGAGGAGGTCCATGGAGAGGAGGCCGTCTGCAAAACAGACAGCAGCTGGCGGCAGACCGACCCGAGCGAGGGCCGTCACCGAACCAGAGCCTGCCAAATCTGTCGGGGACAACAGGTACGTCCCTGTGCTGGATCTGAAAAATAAACGTTGGGATCCGTAAGAGAAATGGCTTCATATCTGACGGGTCATATATTTGACCTCCCTGTCTGGAAACAGCTATAAATGCAATGATCAATGATCCAGAACAGAAAGAAAACAATTCAGAGCTCTATTTTTCTAAAGCGAAACAGCAGTGACAAACCTGGCCTCCAATATCAATGTGTTCGATCTAAAATCTTTTTAAAGAAGCAGATTTAACTGCCTGTTTAAGCAGACACACGTATTTTCAGTATCATAGTTACCATTACCATTTTTTTTTTTAACGTTATGACTTTGGTCCTGTAGCAAACATTTTTTTAGACCTTTCTAAACCGCAACTCATGTTAGTGCCCTCCTTCAGGTATCTCCAATTATTGCTGATGTAATGTCTGTATAACCTGACCCCATGATGCAATATACTTGATGCATTTGTAGGCAAACTATGCTGCAGTTTTGTTTATTAACTTATTTAGAAGACACTAATATTTATGTATTTTGTATTAACAGTGTTAAAAGCAAGCATTTGAATGCATTTAGATCAGTGTTTCTCAAACTTTTTCATACCAAGGACCACTTAACCAATAAAAAAACACTCGCGGACCACCTAACTCCACAAATATCCCAAAACACATCGTTTTTTTACAAATCGCCTGAAGATGGTACAAACAAGTGGCAACATATGTGATGAAGGTATTTATCTGGGCTATATCATGCAATCGAAAGTGAAACTTAAGCTCGCTCCATTGCGGAGATATTCCCGCGAGAGTGCGGAAAACATTAATTAATTAATTAATTTCAAATGTGAAATTTTACCAATATACTCACGGACCACTAGGGGGCGCTCACGGACCACCAGTGGTCCGCGGACCACACTTTGAGAAGCACTGATTTAGATGTATTGATACCCCCATGATAATCCAGTTTAGTTTATAGAAAATGGTTTACACAAATGAGCTGCTACATGATGGATACAGAGAGATCCTGAGGCATTCTGCAAATTGTTTTGGTTTAAGTTAGGAATTAGCTTGTTAGCAATTGTGTATGGCAACCATGCACCTATCAGGATCAGTGTTTGTTTCTTCACAGATTGTCTTTTCCCACAGAAAATGCTCCCACACTTGCATTCTGATTCCAGTTGACAAAGTGACAAATCCATGTAGCAATTTAATCTGTTTTCCAGTCGTTCCTGAACGCTGCCTGTGACGGCTCACACACACAGGATAAATGGTTGCCGGAGACGATAAACAATATGAATTCTGTCTCCTGATCTTGAGTCATTTCATCTCCTTACTCATCACTTTTCTCTTGTTCTGTTTTTGCTTTGCTTTGTACTCTGCGCTCTATCTTTGTGTTTACTCTCCTGTGTTGTGTTGGCAGGCGCTCTTTTCCCAGAATGTCCTCCACAGAGAGTCGGACAGAGGACAACCCGTACGACTTCAGACACCTACTGAGGAAGACCTCCCAGAGACGAAAGCTCATCAAACAGTACTGAACACATGACTCCATTTTTGGCAAATAATCTGTCAAAATCTGGTGCATTGAAACACAATATGTGGCAATTAATACTCATGATAAATGAGTATTTGATTCTGTTTAGTTGTGGAAATGAAAAGCATGGACGGCATTGATGAGGGTCACCTGCACATAACATAGACAGGATGAAGGTTAATGTAAAGCTTTACCCATGACACTGTAAATGAAGGTTTTATTGACGTAATTTGTAAACTAGACATTGTTGCTTTCGCTCATGTTGCTGTTTTAATGTCCTCTCTGGTTGGTCCAATAATGTAAGGTTGTCCATATCAATTTAAAAACCAAATACAACTGTATACAAAAAAGAGATCATGTAAATACAAATGCCATGCTCTTCAACTTGAACAAATGTCATTTGTTTTTAAGAATGTATCTTTTCAAAAGGCTGCTGAGTGTTGTAACAATGTAAGAAATGTACATTCTCTTTTCTTCTTTTAATGTATTATATATTAAATGCCATGTGACGTTTATTTTTTCTTATCTTTACCATTGCTGCCTTTATACAACACGAGTTCATTTTGTGGTAACAATATGCTGCAAACTTTTTTATGTTGTGTTGCACCTCACATTATTGCCATCATTGTTACTTTTCACACAGTTATTTCATTTCCATTGACACTTACAGATAACAAAGGTTCTCAGCTATCTTCACGTAGTCTGTTGACTTGAGCATTCCTCAAGATTCAAACCCTTGAGCTTTACGTGACATTTGAAAGGACCCCCCACAGGAAGTGGTAGTGACATGCTGACTAAATACAATGTCTCAAAGAAACATGTACAGCCAAAACTCCAGAGAAAAACTCATGCAGCAAATCAGATTTATGGATGATGTTCATATAGAAGGAAAAAAACACATTGCTGGTAGAAATGAAATTGATAGATTAAAAAAAGAACTTTTAAGCTTTAAATGTATTAATATCATTTAAAATAAAACAGAAAATGACTAAGGGTTCTATGGATATACAGCCTGCAGTATTTCAATACACATGCCAAAGGGCCCTCTTTATTTTAATAGATCCCTTGTGGCATTAAATGGTTGTTTGCTATTGCAATCATAAATCATAGCAGATGTGGGTCAGGGTGCATGGTTTGATGCCCTCAGGGTCCGTTTGCTCTCAATGGGTTTAAACGATAATAAAACAGCACAGAACATAAGTGTACGGTTGTAAATTGTACCAGATGGTGTGGAATAAGTCCCTGGTGCATTTTTACTGTATTTTTACTACTTTTCAGGCCCAACATCTTTACAACAGTGCATACCATTTTGTTTTATTTTAGGCGGACACAAATGTGGATATTATCAATCATATGATTTTCTCATTACAAGGTGAAGAAAGTCCTGATAATCATGATGTATGTATTATGCAAAAAGGCTTTGGTAATTATTCTTAATTCAGTAAATGGGTCAGAATTGGAGGACAATTTAGACACCAACATTTTTGAAAAATGAACCTTTTATTTGATAATTTTTTTTATGTATTTAGGAAAAACAGATAAACCATCAAAAAAAGTGATTTGCCCAGCTAGGCATCAAATGTATATTTTCCAATGAAGAATTACCCCTGTTACTCTAATTATAGTAACAGGGTTGAAAATCAATGCTAATTTGAGCTTTAACCTCAGGAACTATTGCTAGATGTAGCATGTAATGGTATACTTTGTGGTATACTTTTGTGGGCTTCGTAAATAATTGGACAGCCTTCTGGGGAAAACCTGGTCTGATTAAGAGAGACGGCATTCATCCTACTTTGGAAGGTGCAGATCTCATTTCGGCAAACATTTCAGGGCTTTGTGGACTTAATCCATGACAAACTGGAGTTGAGACCAGGAGGCGGAGTCGCAGTCTTACACGCTTCTCTGCGCTCTCTCCTAGGCAGTCATCCATAGGAATCCCGAACCCAATAACATACCCAATATTAGCGGTGTGTGTGTCTGCCCAAGGACAAGTTAAGGTAAAACCTAATAGAGGTGTCATACATAATAACCTAATAAAAGTAAATGTAACAACTACTACAGTGCAACAAAACCGGAATATTAAATGTGGTCTCTTAAACATAAGATCTCTAGCATCTAAAGCAATATTGGTAAATGATTTAATATCAGATTATAATATTGATATATGCTGTCTCACTGAAACTTGGTTGAGACATGAAGAATATGTCAGCATAAATGAGGCCACTCCACCCAGCCATATCAATACTCATATTGCCCGAGGCACGGGCCGAGGAGGTGGAGTTGCAGCAATCTTTGACTCAAGTTTACTTATCAATACTAAACCAAAATTAAATTATACCTCCTTTGAAAGTCTCGTTTTTAGTCTTACGCATCCGACCTGGAAAACTTTGCAGCCAATCTTATTTGTTACAGTGTACCGTGCACCAGGTCCTTATTCAGAATTCTTATCTGAATTCTCTGAGTTTTTATCAACTTTGGTACTTAAAACAGATAAAGTAATTATCGTAGGTGACTTTAATATTCATGTTGACGATGATAAAAATAGCCTTACTGTTGCATTTAACTCTATATTAGATTCTGTTGGTTTTTGTCAGAGTGTAAATAAACCAACCCACTGCTATAATCACACTCTCGACCTTGTTCTGACTTATGGTATTGAAATTGAACAACTATTAGTCGAACCGCATAATCCTGCTTTATCCGACCATTTCTTAGTAACTTTTGAAGTACTGTTACGAGACTACAAAGCATTAGTCAAAAGCTCCTGCAGCAGAAACCTATCTGTTAGTGCTATAGCCAAATTTAAGGAAGAGATTCCACCAATACTTAACTCGATAGCATGTCTGCATGTAAGGGAGGAAACTTATACAAAATGTACACCACCCCAAATTGATCATGTTGTTGATAGTGCTACAGATGCGCTGCGAATACAATTAGACTCTGTTGCTCCTTTGAAAAAGAAGAAAATAAAACAACATAGATTAGCTCCATGGCATAATGCCGAAACCCGCAAAATAAAGCAAAAGTCGAGACAACTTGAAAGGATATGGCGTTCCACTAAACTTGAAGAATCTCGTTTAATTTGGCATATTACTCTCAATGAATATAAGAAAGCACTGCGTAAAGCGAGAGCAGCCTACTACTCTTCATTAATAGATGAGAATAAGAATAATGCAAGATTTCTTTTCAGCACTGTAGCCAGGCTGACAGAGAGCCACAGCTCGATTGAGCCTTCTATTCCCATAGCACTCAGTAGTAATGATTTTATGTGCTTTTTTAACGATAAAATTGTTACTCTTAGAAACAAAATTAATGACCTCTTGCCTTTGACCAGTATAGTGTTATCAACAGCTCCCGGAAACGTAAGTTATAATATTACACTAGATAGTAAACTAGAATGCTTTTCAGCCATAAACCTTGAACAATTAAATTCAATGATTCTCTCTTCTAAACCATCAACGTGCATGTTAGACCCAATTCCAACTAAGCTATTGAAGGAAGTTTTTCCATTAATTAGCACTTATTTATTAAATATTATGAATATGTCTTTATTATCAGGCTATGTTTCACAATCATTCAAAGTAGCAGTGATAAAACCGCTTCTTAAAAAGCACAACCTCGATCCAGAGGTTTTAGCCAATTATAGACCTATTTCTAATCTTCCGTTCCTCTCAAAGATTCTTGAGAAAGCAGTCACAAAACAGTTGTGTGATTACTTAAAAAACAATGATTTATTTGAAGCTTTTCAGTCTGGCTTTAGAACGCATCATAGCACAGAGACAGCTCTGGTTAAAGTCACAAATGACATTCTAATAGCCTCTGACAACGGACGTGTCTCTATTCTTGTTTTGCTCGATCTCAGTGCTGCATTTAATACTATCGACCATGATATCTTATTGCAAAGACTAGAGCACTTAGTTGGCATACAGGGAACTGCTTTAGACTGGTTTAGGTCCTATCTATCTGAACGCTCTCAGTTTGTACGTGTCAATGATGAATCTTCCACGCAAACCAAAGTTAGCCATGGAGTGCCACAGGGCTCAGTGCTCGGACCTATTTTGTTCACATTATATATGCTTCCGTTAGGCAATATTATAAGGAATCATTCTGTAAACTTTCATTGTTATGCGGATGATACTCAACTATATTTATCAATCAAGCCTGATGAAATTAATCATCTAAATAAAATTCAAGACTGCCTTAAGGACTTAAAAACGTGGATGACCTTAAACTTTTTGATGTTAAACACGACCAAAACTGAAGTTATTGTACTTGGCCCGAAGAATCTACAAAACAAATTATCTAAAGATATACTAACTATGGATGGCATTAATTTGGCCTCCAGTGAGACTGTAAGGAATCTTGGTGTTATATTTGATCAGGATTTATCCTTTAACGCCCACATAAAATCAATTTCAAGGACCGCCTACTTCCATCTACGTAACATTGCAAAAATCAGGCATATCTTGCCTCAAAACGATGCAGAGAAACTAGTCCATGCAAGAAGTCAGTCAAGTCGCTTCAGCTGATTCAAAATGCTGCGGCTCGTGTACTAACCAGAGTTAGGAAAAGGGACCACATTACTCCTGTTCTGGCTGCCTTACACTGGCTTCCTATAGAACACAGGATAGAATTTAAAATTATTCTTCTCGCCTACAAAGCCCTTAATGGGCAGGCGCCATCTTACCTTAAAGAACTCATTATACCCTACTGTCCTACTAGGGCATTGCGTTCCAAGAATGCAGGGTTGTTGGTTGTTCCTAGAGTCTCTAAAAGTACAATGGGAGCCAGAGCCTTTTCTTATCAAGCTCCACATTTGTGGAATCAGCTTCCAGTTTGTGTTCGGGCGGCAGACACCCTATCCGTTTTTAAGAGTGCGCTTAAGACCTTCCTTTTTGATAAAGCTTTTAGTTAGGGCTGATTAGATTCAGCCCCTAGTTTTGCTGATATAGGCTTAGTTTGTCGGGGGACATCTTACTTCTTCCTTCTCTCTGTCTATACCTGTGTACTCTCATGTTCCGATTAACCCAGCTTCCCCAAATGTCTTTCTTTTTGGTGTCTATATACGCTGAGATCCGGAGTCATGGATGATCCTGCGCTCCTCTGTCCTGGATCGCGAGCCCTGGATCTTGAGTCGTGGCTGTGGTCCTGGATCATAGGTCCTGGATGGATATCCTCGTGGATTAATCTTCCTATTATACACACATGCATTTCCAAACATTTGGACTACCTATGTTGCAAATGTATTATCTTTTCAATTTACACACGGCATCTATTGCACGTCTGTCCGTCCTGGGAGAGGGATCCCTCCTCTGTTGCTCTCCCTGAGGTTTCTCCCATTTTTCCCTTTAAACTGTGGGTTTTCTTCGGAAGTTTTTCCTTGTACGATGTGAGGGTCTAAGGACAGAGGGTGTCGTATTGTCATACTGATATTTTGTACAAACTGTAAAGTCCACTGAGACAAATGTAACATTTGTGATATTGGGCTATATAAATAAACATTGATTGATTGATTGATTGATATACTTTCAAGGCAAGGACAAACTTGGATATCTAATGCAAGACAGATAACTTTGAAATGAATATGCTTTATTCTGATAATATCATAACAGGGTTGAGTGGGTCAGAGTGCCACACTCTTTTAAGACTGAAAAGATTGTAAAAATATGAAAATAAAAAAGAGGACTTAGTTTTGGTCTACCCATGGGACTAGCACATGGCTTGCTGATGTCACTTCCTGTGTCATCTGATTTACAGTTTGTTCACTTCCTGTGCCAATCTAAAAAGGTTTGGGTAACAGGGTTGAACGCATGTTGAGGGACACTACTGTTACTGTTATTTAAAGTGTGTTTATGATTTAACAAATTGATTTTACCATTACAAGAGACATATCAATAGAATAATACCAAACAAGTCAATAAAATCCCTATTTTAAATGTTATATTTGACATGCAAGTTGGTCACCAAGAAGACAAGAGAAAAATGCCATTTTAGGGGATGTTCGAGAGCTATTTGATCATTTAAATAATATTTTGAAACCACTTTTTCTACAACTTTATATACATTTTGTCTCAAGACAAGTATGTTTAACACAACAAGTGCATATTTTAGCATTTTGGGCATGGATTATTAGATTTTGTATGGGGGACATGCAATGTCCTCCAATTCTGGAATGACCCAAACACAGAAGTATTGAGTAATAATACTTTTGGTGTAACGAGCCCAGGAGAGAGGAGGGATCCATGCGCACTTTTCCTCAATTTGAAGCCCATCTCCTCCCCGCTGCTTCTTCCCCCGGAGGCGCGCAAATAGAGCAGCCGGTCTGCAAGAAATAGGTCCGCACCTGCCTGGCAGATGAATTAGTTTGCATTCACTGTCTTCTGTAAATTGTGCGCGCGGGGGGGAAAGTGTCGGGGATGTATGGAGTCACGACGCACGACGCAGCGCACTTCGTCATGACCTGAAGTGAATCACGATGGGATTTCTTTAGTGACGTTATATTTAGGTTGGGAGCAATTAGGCATGGCTCGTGCGTGTTGCATATTTAACAGCAGCTGTCGCACATAGCTGCACACTGACACCACTTTTGGCTGCAACTCATTTTATTTTTAGTATCATTTTTCATCCAAAGCTTTGCTCCTGCATATTTCCACGGAGTGAGGAGTGCGTGGTGCGCTGACTGAGTGCGCCTGTGAAGTCAAGTGTGTGCGGATTTATAGGGGAGGACGCTCCTTTCTTATTAGTGCACCTGTGGAAGCCTGCAAGAAGAACACCGTGGACGTCTTTTGTTTTTCTTTTGCCTTTTACCACACGCGTTTTAGTTTTAGGGGCTCTGCTGCAGCGTAAAGCGTCTCCCGGATGCGCGTCTGGACTTCAGCACCACATCAGCGTTGAACAGCTCCGGGTGGACGCGTGTGGATGGGCTCTGTCTGTCTCCGTGTCTCGAGCAGCTCCTAGGTATCGGCAACAATGGCACAACAGGGCTTCTGGTCTCTTGGTGGAGATAATGCGGGGGCCAACACCGGGAATCAGAGCCCCAGCACGCGTGAGTGTTTTTTTTTTGTAATCTCCAAATCACCTCTGATGGACCGGCTCTAATCCCGGTGTATTGTCTCAAACCTGTGCGCTGCATTTGGTTAGAGTCAACGAATGAAAATCCAAACAGGCCTGCTTTATGTAGTCTTTTTTTACACATATGTTGTCATGTTTTCCCCTTCAGGGTGCAAGAATTGATCCTAAATCACCCTTTCATTGTACCTTGCATGTCACTTTTCGGCGTCTAAGTTTAAAGTTGGAACCTGAATCTATTCATTCTTTTTGGCTGATCCTTTCTATTTTCCAGCCAGGGCTTGGTGCCAAGCGGCGGCCTCGAAATTATCCGGAGGACTTGGATCTAAATTATGTGGTATGTTGGTTCACAGTGGGTGGGTGGGTGGGGTAAGCTATTTGAGCGACGTGCGCGGTTTTCTTTCCATCTTTTTTTTTTAACTCCCAGTCTCGTCTACAAGGTTGTAAAAAATATCTTAATGCTGTTTTTTGTCTAAAGCTCTTCTCAATGTCGGAGAATTGGAGAAAGGCGCCGAGCCGGCCGCCAAGCAGCCGCCGGAGACAGAGGCAGCTGCCTGCAGCTGCAACAAATCCTGCAACTGCACCAAAGCTTCTGTGGTCTTCTCCGACCTCTATTCAACAGGTACAGAAGCATGCTGTAACACCGATATTAAACCCGGCATGCCGTCTCCTGATCTGTCTCATTGAGTCACAGCTTGGCCTTGCCGTGATTTATTCTGCGTAAAAAGACATTGTTATGCTGATGTAGAGTCATTTTAAAAATGAATGAAAAACATGCAGCGTTGTACGAAAATACATTGTTATGTGATAGGCTACTTGTCATTTATAGTTTACATAAATTGTCAAAGAGACGATCTGCGTTATTCTTTGTTCCGTCATTAAAATAGGAATTCATAGGCTATGAAATAACACTAGGAATAAATGACATAACATGTGCTTAAAATATGATCATGCACAGTATTTATATTTAGACTTCATATCCATAATATTCAGTGAGTTATGGTGAACATTTTTTGCACGTTGTCGGAGAGGTCACCTTCAGCAGAATGTTATGTTGTTATGTTTTCACGTCGTAGAAACTTTAACACTTTAAAACGTTTTCATACATTTCAGACCTTATTGTTGACCTAATTGTTAAGAAATGTATGCTTTTCCCCCTCCTTTTGTATATAAATGTGACATTCTTGTGATCGTGGGTAAAAGGCCAACATAATAATCATAAAAGCGGGTTTAATGGCTGCTCTCAACACACACAAATCTAATGTAGCCTACTGCTTGTTTTATTTGACATAAGTTATTCTTTACAGACCTGTTACCTGCCATGGACAGTGACGCCAAAACCATGATCTTCCTGCAGGAAGTTGTGGATATTTTAATGGCCTACATCGTGGAGTCTTTCGACCGGGACACGAAGGTTATTGATTTCCATTACCCGAACGAGCTGCTCCAGAAGAATAACTGGGAGCTTCAGAGCGAGCCGGCCTCCCTGGATGAGATCTTGATCAGCTGTCGCGCCACTCTCAAATACGCCATCAAAACAGGTCAGGCCCCGGGCTAAATAAACCTGCTTCACATCTGACTGTAATCTGTAAAAAATGTGGCATTTTAGAAAATATGTTCCACTTCATAGCTGCACCTTTTCCATGTATGTAGGCCTAACAGCCCGGCCTGCTGCCTATCTTTAAATATGTCAATAAGAAATCATATATAGGGGAAATAACTATCACACTGCTGATGACACATAAGAACGTGCGCATCAGAGGATGACATCTAGACAATCTCTAATTGGCTGAATGTGGTCTACTATCTCTATTTTCTTATAAGGAATATTCCCCAACTGAATAAAACAAAGAAAGCAATCTGTGTGTAAAATAAATACATGGTGAAAACCTGGAGGTTGTCCTCCCTCTCCTCCTCCCGACCAGCAGACCGGTAAATGCAGTGACGCAGTAAATCTGGTTCACCAAGTAGATAATAGCTAATAACCACGTAGGGGCCAAGTCCATTATTCTCTCCTCTCTGACACACTCAGGGGAACATTTTCTGCACACATTTCATCCCCAAAAACATACAGATTATTTTGATAGATTTTATTTAAACCCCTGTTAAATATATGATACACATTTAATAAATATATAGCATACTGGTGTAGTGATAAGATATACGTATATTTGTATGTTTATTTTTTAATGCATTCCTTTTTAGCAGTATTAGCTCCTTTTATCAAGACATACTCTATTTTAATTTCAATTATGTCAGGTGTCAATATAACACCATACATGCATGACAAACGTTTCTGCTTATAACACACTCTAATGTTGTAATATTGCTAATACATGCTTTATTGAGGGGGTTAAATATCACCATGCATGTTTATATTTAAAACAAGAAATAATAATTAGACATCATTCCTTTTTTGTATTTACACATTTTCTTTCTCATTTTCAAAGTTTTTCATTTTCTCATTTTTCATTTTATGATGTGAAACAATGGTGTGTTGATACCCTCCATTCAATTCCTACATTACCCATGAAACACTAAATGCTTTCATCATTTCTCAAGATGATTTAAATCATCACTGCAGCTGCATTTTCTAACCTGCAATTAGAGGGTTTAGAAGATTACAACCTCTGTGCCTTTTGCACAAACCCAGCATAAACACATGAAGCTTATTTCAATGTTGCTAGATAAAATGTTCAAATTGCTTGCACCCTTCCTCTCCCATATTTTTTTCTTTACTCCTTTTCCTCCAGCCCATCCCAGGTACTTCAATCAGCTCTCTACAGGATTAGACATGGTTGGACTGGCAGCCGATTGGCTAACATCCACTGCCAACACCAATATGTAAGTATGTGGCCTGTGCTCCATCATGATTTTAAACGGCGATAATGATAATGACAATGAATTCCATTTCCTGCCCAGCCCAGCCGTGTGCCGTCTGCTTGTGCTGATAGCGGCTTCTTTCTTTTTTTCATTCAATCATAGCAAATGAAAAATCTAAAATGAAAGGCTGACACCCCCTAAACTCCCACTCCCCCTGAACCCCTCCCACCTCTGCCTTTTATCCTTCCCCCTCACCCACAATCTCCATGGGGATTCAAGGGGAGAAAATTAGCCTTGAAATTCAATTCTGACTAATCTGGAGCTCATTTTGGTGTGTGTTTTTGGAGTGATAAACTCAGCCTTGGCAACTGTGAGGCACTGCAAAATAAGGGGAGGGGGTTAGATTTACAGCAAATGCACCAATTTTCTGTCGGAAATATATTAGCAGGCATGCATTGGAATATTATTTTGAAGTGATGCAAGGATGAAGGAACAGTGAGACTTCTGTACAACAACGTGCACGTTAGGGTCTAAGAAATGTGGCCTGCGATGTTGAAATATAAATAATTCTGGTACATTTTGTTCAAAAGCATCAGCAATGGAGAAGCCTATTTGACATACATTTTACAATATTACTATACAAAACATGTTTTATCCCTCACTAATTTCAATTATTAGGGCTTTATCGACAGCTAAAAAGCTATTGATTTCAAATCAAATCATTTACTGACACATTGAAACTGCAGGGGATAGAAATATCTGTTTTCTGGCAGATTTTCGGGGATGAGTCATGGCGCTTTTTGTGTAACCAGCATCATGTGATGCCCCTTGTGTAACGCAGGTTCACCTATGAGGTGGCTCCTGTCTTTGTGCTGCTGGAATACGTCACTCTGAAGAAGATGAGGGAAATCATTGGCTGGAAGGATGGGCAGGGAGATGGCATTTTCTCTCCTGGTATGTAAGGCGACGCCAATCCCAACACCCCTCTGTTCCACTGAAAATGGAACTGCCTGTGTGTGTGCTGCAATGTGTCGATTTGCATTTTGATGATTTAAATGGAACTCCTTTGAAAGCCAATTAGCATAAACATAATTTGCCAAATTCCAGCCCCCACCTCGTCACCCTCCAATCTTTAATGTCCCTCATGCATTTCTGTTTGAGGTGAGCAATCATTGGAGGATTTGAAGAACAAGGACTGTGATTGGCTCTGACATTGCCGACAGTTAGAGGCTGTGTCATATCTTGAAACACTGGGAAATTATTTGATGTTCTTGTTGCTTCATTGTTTGTCAAATGCAGTATTTTACAATTCTGTTCTGAAGCCCTGCATCATCCCCATGACAATTGTCACTTACTTATGTGATTTGTGTCCTCTAGGGGGGGCTATTTCTAACATGTATGCCATGCTGCTCGCTCGCTTCAAGATGTTCCCTGAAGTGAAGGAGAAAGGAATGTCATGCGTTCCCAGACTGGCGGCCTTTACATCCGAACATGTAGGCATTTATGTTTCATTTCAGCTGATACACAATGTCCATATGTGTCTTTTTGATTCACATAACTTTGCACAGTTTTCTGAAATGAAGGTCAAAGATATTCCACTTTAAAGGACATTTCAAAGATGCTGTGAGCTATAAAGCCATCAAATACCACACATACCTTTCAGCATCAAAGCTGCTTGACAAATGTTTAAACAAAATACATATATTTCAGATGTTCTCCCCCTGGTGTAAAGACAGTTAATCATCTTCTCTCTTTCGTGTTTTTTCTTCAATCTCCAGAGTCATTTTTCAATCAAAAAAGGTGCAGCGGCTCTTGGCATCGGGACGGAGAGTGTGATCTGCATTAAAGTAGATGAAAGGTAAAGTCTTCCTCTCATTTCAGCTGCACATATAACTCTAATGCTGTCAAAATTATCGCGTTAACGGCGATAATTCATTTTTTAAATTAATTGCGTTAAAATATTTAACGCATTTAACGCATGTGCAGAATGGCCCGCTCCATACATCCATGGATGTATAATAAGAACTGGATACAGCGTGGGAGGCGGGGCCTCATTCACGCAAGGGGGGGGGGGCCTTAGCGTCCATTTTCAACGCAAGGGGGGGGGGCCCTTAGCGTCCATTTTCAGCTTTCCGGGATGTCCATATGCTTCTATGGACGCTCATGGAAGCACGGCATTCGTTTGTGTCTGCTGCCCTTAAAGGCAATGTGAGCGTCCATTCTCATTGGATAACGGAGAATTGTACACCCGGAAGTAAGTATTCCCCTTACTGTCGATTGATTTTACAGTGTTATCTGCACTACTCATCGACTAAAAAACACCAGATTATCCTTGTTAATTACACAACATTGATTGGTTTAAATTGTGTGGAATGCTTTTGTATTTTTCCCCTTCGATTCGGAGAAACAAATATTTTTTCGGAGTAAAGGATGGCAGAATACACTACACTACCCAGAATCCCCAGCTATCGTTTGGACTACACCATGTGCTCTGTTTGACAAACCCCGTGATAGTCCTCAAGCTCTGTGATTTGAGAGTGTGCTCCGAGGGTTACGCCAAGCCTCGAACGGCAGACTGTCCAAAACTGGATTTGAACGGGTCCACCGCGTCCCCCCCCCCTCCCCGTCCCCAGAACTACACATGCTGGCTATTCTGTTTCGCAACATGTTCTCTATCTATGGCACGTCTCTACTGGGAGTTGTAGTTTTAAAAGACGTTTTCGTATTTCCCATAATAAGAAGTTGCCAGTATTAAACTGTGTACATCCCTGGAGGTTTAGGGGATAGGAAACACTCACATTTAAAACATATAATTAATAAATGGGAGAAAATTGCTTGTGCCCATAATGGGCAGCATTATGCCAGCTAAGGTCAGAAGAGCTTTATTTAACAGCTGGTCTTATGTTTGTGACCCCTGTTGTTAATTGATAACATTACATTACATTAATTGATAAGCCTGAAACATGCACTTGTCAAGGTTCAGAGGCACATTTTGCAAATATGGCAGTAGTCATCGATCAGCTTAAGATAAGATATACTTTATTGATCCCAAGTTGGAACATTTGCATTACATCAGCATGTGTAACAGTTAAATATGCAGTGGTGTTTATTTGTAAATCATTTAGTATAATCACACAAATTCTGTGTTTTATATTCAACAATTCTGTGTTCTTTATTTATTGATGTTCAATACCTGACAAGGCCGGAGATGAAATATCTACATACATCTTATAAGAGTATAATACATTATGTATAATATCAGTTAAAATAAGTGCTTCAACATAGTTAACATTGCTGGAGGTATGCACAAATATTGACAGATGTCTTGTAATGCACTATTGAGGAACCTGCGACCCAAGTTTTTCATTCAATGCATAACTACACCATAGTTGTATGGGCCTATATGATATGTCAATAAACCTTAGGAAATCTTGAAAGGGATGTGCAAAATAGTCATTATATACAGTCTTTAATTAACTATTAGTAGAGAATAACGAGTAATGAATATACTTTATAGGGATCCTATTAATATCTAATAATAACAATAATGAAATTCAATAACATGCTTTAACCACTAGGTGTCCCTTTATATCAGCTGTGCACCTTTATGGTGTAAATACAGCCTATCTACCAATTGGATCAAATATAAAAGTCAGCCGAATTAGTGTTGATACTGCAAGGAGACGTATTGTGTGAAAAGAAATGTAAGATGTTGTTTAATGGCTGATATATTTATGATCCACGTCACGTTTTCAGTTCCTCATGTTTGTCTAGAAGTCTTCTCATCAGGGCTCTATAAATACAGAACTACGGCAGATATGTAATATGTAATGCAGCCGAACCGTGTATTACAATGCCGGTATGTGATGACTTTCAAAGAGAAAAGCAAGCACACTCGGAATAAAGTATTATTATTATTTTTTTTAAATGTTTTCGGTCTGTTTCCGGTATTTGTTAATGACGATGTGCTGTGAGATGTGAGACTGAAATTGCACAGGGGAAAATAACGTAGGCTATCTTTAGATGTGGATTTTGTTAAACTAATATGTTTGCGCTGTGGACCAACACTATACATTGACGGGGAAGGGGGTAGCAATAAAGATAACACCATTAAACAGTTACACAACATAACAGAAATAATATCGATAGCAGCGTCCCTAGCAACCACCTTGGTAACAATGAAAACGTTATGGACGCAATTTCCTGAAGTAATCTTCGTAATAACTAGCAAACTAAAGATCATGTACATCCACTGCACACATAATCTGAAATAACAACTCATATTTCTCGCATCAAATGACATCAAAACGCATTTTAATGGCCAAACTAACTTTAAAATAGGCATTTTCCACCGAGAATAAAACGAAGTTCGGCCATGTTTTTTTTTTTTTCTGCAGGGAGACATTTGAAGATCACGTGACGTCAAACAGAGCACATGGTGTAGTCCAAATGATAGCTGGGGATTCTGGGTAGTGTAGTGTCTTCTGCCATCCTTTACTCCGAAAAAATATTTGTTTCTCCGAATCGAAGGGGAAAAATACAAAAGCATTGCACACAATTTAAACCAATCAATGTTGTGTAATTAACAAGGATAATCTGGTGTTTTTTAGTCGATGAGTAGTGCAGATATCACTGTAAACTCAATCGACAGTAAGGGGAATACTTACTTCCGGGTGTACAATTCTCCGTTATCCAATGAGAATGGACGCTCACATTTCCTTTAAGGGCAGTCGACACAAACGAATGCCGTGCTTCCATGAGCGTCCATAGAAGCATATGGACATCCCGGAAAGCTGAAATTGGACGCTAAGGGCCCCCCTCTTGCGTTGAAAATGGACGCTAAGGCCCCCCCCTTGCGTTGGAAAAAGCTGACACAGGACTTGACATAACGTCATCATAGGCCGACCTGGGAGTGAGGATGTGTTGCTTATTAGCGCATGATGATAAAATGGCCCAACTTTTGAGAGAGCGAAACGTCACAGATTACCCGGCATGCCTGAGAAGTACCCGTATGTGCGCTCATAGCGCATACGCAACTTTAACCAAAATGCTCGTTCACATCAAGCACGTCAATTTGCGTACACGTAACAGCACCGCACGTTCATGACAGCATGGTAATGATTTGTTATTATGATGGATTTGATATTAACGAGGCGGCAGTTAGTAGCTAGCGGCTAGCTAGTAATTATGCTAATGTACACATCAATCGTTATGTACTTATATTACGCTGTAACAGGATAGTGATATCCAAGCAACAGAGCTTCATTTAGCATGAAAGAATGATAAAATGTTTTTTTCTCCGTGGGATGGCAGTAAGACGATATGGGTGCGTTCTTATTGTGCATCCATGGGTAAAGATAAACGCAACTCACATTGGTTTCTCAAACAGCATCTCTGTAAACTACGTGTATTGTATTCACTGAATTTCACTCTCTGCCTTTAACGGCTCGTTGTAGCTTCAATAGCTCCAGCCCCCACCCTCCCTGTGAGCACAGTGTGCTCTGATTGGATGGACACGTAACATGAACGTGCCGGGCCGCGCGGTCCCGTGGGCTAGATGCGCGTTCATAATGCAGAGGGAAATAACTCTCAGAATAACGTTATTAGCACATTATTACAACTTGAGGAACGAATGTTTTTAATAAGGGCTATACAAGTGTTCATACTGGGTAGTTGATTTAGTTATCCAACGATTTACAGACCATTCTTTCCCCATGTAAGAAAAAGTGTTTCCGGGCCTGGCAACCAAACGGTAGTGTAGTACCGCCGTTTGGCCAGCACGAATATTTTCATCTGAGTCCGGCGCACTTCCTGGGGGCTTGATACATCCCACCAGTCAGCGCCAGGGTATGGCTGGGGTAGGCTACACCCATACCAAGAAATGGCTTAGCCCCACCATGAAAAATGATGTTAAAGTAAGCTAAATAAAGTCCGCCAACTCGCGCGGAGTAAATTGCACAGACATCAGTTAGTAAGTTTGATTTCAGTAGCCACTTGTCTGGAAATACCGAAGACCAGAAACGGTTTTGAAAACTTTTGTCACGTAGTGATCGTCTTCTCAATAGAACATCTTTGATAATGTCTTCTGGCCAATCAGAATCACGATAACGGCGTGGTGTTGTTCCAGGAAGTCCCGACGGAGAATACTTTTGCGGTAGTACATCTCTATATACATCGATACAACATTACGTGTTGATAGAAATCAACACGTAATGAAATAAGACCCCACGGTTTGATGATTGATAAGTGTGTGGGCTGTCTTTCATTTTGACACACAGAACAATGTTATAATAAACATACATAGCCTACTGTATGTTAAATGGATATATCCGCCTTCTTTCATTTATCTTTCCATTCCCACAACAACATACATAAAGAAATGACATATTTTGGACATAGTTCGAATGGTGATTAATCATGATTAATTAATTTTTAAGCTGTGATTAATCTGATTAAAAACTTTAATCGTTTGACAGCCCTACATATAACACATTAGAAGAAGAATCCCAGCTGCTCGAGTTCAGCACCACTCTCTGATATCTTGTACTTTTACTTTAATACAATTCAGAGTGAAATAATGAAATGTCACCTGTTACAACCTGCCTTAAGGCTGGAACAATTAGGGAGGCCACACAGAGTTAATTTCCAAATATATGTTTATTTAATAGGTTAACACAAAACACCTCTGATAAATAGTGTATGTCGGAATCAGAGTGTCAGTAGTGTGAGCAGTGTGTGGGTGTGTGGAAGGGTGTTGGAGCATGTTGGAGGGTGCATCAAACCTAACACAGGCTGTAGGCTGAGGTTGCTGCAGCATGCCAGGATCAGATTCAGAGAGTGATCCTTGCAGCTGGGCAATCTTTATACCTCTGTGTGGCTCTGCCTCTAGATGGGCGGGCACAAACAGGACGCACTCCCAGTACCTGCCAGAGGACAGCAAGGCAGGGAGCACAGCCAGGCAGAAGGGGGGAGGGGTCGTCACACACCTCACATGTATATTTATATGACCGGACCGCTGTAGTTATTAGTTACTTCCAAAATAAAAGACTTTGCCGAAAACATGTGATAAGCTTATAAATAATGTAAGATTAAACAAGGCTTTTCCAACCTTTTTGGCTTTTATGCATAAATGAGTGTATAGTTGGGGCCCCTTGTCAACCTTTAAATGTTTTTGAGAGCTATTTCCCCTTTAAACGTTTCAGATGATATATTATTTGATAATATTGAAATAGTAAAAATGTTTCCATTTCTTATGCACAAGGAGTTGCTTATACTAAACATTTGTACTAGTATTGTAGGACCTTTACATTGCTGTATTAGTATCTTCACATAAGCTAATGATCTGAATAACTCTCCCATCACTGATATGAACTGCTCTTTTTTTCTTTTACAGCGGTCAAATGATTCCAGCTGACCTTGAGAGGAGAATACTGGAAGCCAAACAGACGGTAATATTATAACGCAGATATAAATACATATCATACAGACCTCATTCTTTTGTATTCAATCAGCTGAAACAGCAGTAGTGATTCAACATATTGGCACTGTTATAACTGCTCCTTGATGTACAATCATTTCCTGTGTCTTTGCAGGGATTGGTCCCTTTCTTTGTCAGTGCAACAGCTGGGACCACAGTGTACGGAGCCTTCGACCCTCTCATTGCCATTTCTGACATCTGCAAAAAGTACAACGTGTGGATGCATGTGGATGTAAGCAAAACGCATACGAATCTTCATTAACATCTCTGGTTTCTTTCTTTAAAACAGTGTTATTACCTGTAATGTAGGTGATGCACAGTGGGGATTTTAGTGAAGCTCACCAGCGGTTTTGACGAATCTATTATGTCTGTCTCGCGTATAACTGCTTGCGGTTGACCCAGATAGGAGCCAGCCACCCCCTATCTAACACTGGGGATTAGAAAAACTGGAACAGAGGCTGTAAATCATCTCCTCCCCTGACTTTGCCATCATGGGCCCTCTCACTGAAGGAACTCTATCTATTAATGAAGGTGATTTAGTCCTGACAGGGGGACACCTCTATTAAGAGGTATAAATGGCCTTATCTATCACTCCTCAACTGGCTGAGATGGGGAAGAAAACATCCTGCTTCCGAGTGTGCTGGCCCCTGCTGCTTTTGTTTGTCTGAAATGGGATTGTGTGGATGCAGTTTCCCATGAAATGAATGTCTGGAGGTCTTTTAAAATGAGTTGTAAACATTATGAGGCCTGCAAGTCCAGATATGCTTTTGAAAAGCGTCCGCAAGCTTCCGACGTTTATATTACACCTTTTTAAAGCTGTCGGTGCTAATATTTAGCGTAAAGGCTAACATGTAAAACAATTCCTCATAGTGGCACTTTTTTTTTCAATATTGATTAATCTTCCAAATAGTTTTTAATGCAAAGACCAAATTAAAGGTATAGATTAATATAATAATATGACTTTTAGTTTCTCTGATACATTTACTCTTTAGTAAATATCATTTTTTAAATGAATACGAATATTCATATTTGCTTTACAGAATCAAGAATCGGTCAGTGAAGGCAGCAGAGGTTATTATTTATATCTTAGCATATTCATTCTTCGAACTGGTTTTTCATATATCTTAACCCAGAACTTTTTGCTCTCCTGGTTAGATGCTTACAGTAAATGGATTTTTGTTGTCTCAGTTCCTGTACTCAATGATTGCAATGTAAAGCTAGATCTAATTTTAAACACAACAAAAGCTTGATGCAGCTTCATATTATGTTAGTCCTTCTACATCTGGTAAATGGTTGCATCACTTGTCAAGGATCAACAGACGCCTTTACACAACTGTTTTGCAGGCTAGTACTGAATTAGCATATCTAATGTCGTTTAAATAAATGATTAACCTTGAAGTTGTGTGTACAGTGCCACTAATATCATCTGTGTTTCCAAACAGGGAGCGTGGGGAGGAAGTCTCCTCATGTCCAGGAGACACAGGTGGAAGCTGGATGGAGTTGAAAGGCAAGTCAAAAAATACATGTTGTGTAAACTCAATCTGTGCAGAAGCTAATGAGCATTTGAAGTAATATGTGGAATGCATGGTGGGTGTTTTTTTGTTATGTTACCTTCAGGGCCAACTCAGTGACATGGAACCCTCACAAGATGATGTCTGTCCCTCTGCAGTGCTCCGCCCTGCTGGTCCGAGAGGAGGTGGGCTTTATGGTCATGTACATACAGAACACATGAATATTGGTTTGGGATATTTTGTTGCTATTAAACATTTTCTGGATATGATCTCACAGGGCCTGATGCAGAGCTGCAACAATATGCACGCCGTCTACCTGTTCCAGCAGGACAAACACTACGACCTCTCCTACGACACCGGGGATAAAGCGCTGCAGTGTGGACGCCACGTGGACATCTTCAAGCTGTGGCTCATGTGGAGAGCTAAGGTAACAGGGAATGTGATCATATTTCCATGAAGTTCTTTAATATACATTAAACATTTGATGTCTGCAAAAAATAATTAGTTCAGCGATTTAAGGGTGTTTTATCATAAACCTAACTTTAATTCTTATTTTAACAAACAGCCATTCTCAGAAAACTTGATGTGACTGAATATATTTGCCATAGTGGTAAAGGTCAACAAATGTTAAATACATCACTTTAGTCATTGGGTGCAAACCCTGAACCAAATTCTAAGTTTGTCTTCAAATGTCAAATTATTAGTTTAAACTTTAAAAGATTTTCTTAAACTGTAATTTGTTTAAATGTCACTGTTTAATTTATTTTTCTAATATGATATATGCATGACAGATTAAAAGTGATTTACACTTTTTTTGGTGCATCTTGTACGCCGACCTTGAGAGCCTTGAAAGGTGCCTTTATAAATACAATGTATTTATTTATTTGGGATTGTAGTCTTTGCAGACCATTTACATGCACCAAAACTTATATAACACACAGGAAAGGGAAACCCAAAAAGCATAAAAGGGGCTCTTTAAAGCACCTTTAGATTCAGTAGTCTTACCCAATTCACCAGCAGAAATATATTATGTTTGCTGCACAGTTGCCTAGATACCTTCAGTTTTACAATAATCACACAATATGTCTAACTAAAGGTTTCAAAGCTAACAGATGTATCTCTCTTCTTTCTCAGGGCACCATTGGGTTTGAGGCTCAGATTGATAAGTGTTTGGAGTTGTCTGATTACCTCTACAACAAGATCAAAGACAGAGAAGGGTACGAGATGGTCTTCAATGGAACGGTAAGTCCACATTTACCCTTCCACTCTCCATGAGGATTACTCATCCTCACCATCAGAGGAAAGTAGCCAACATTAACGTCGCTACTCTGACCTCTGTGTATTCAGACTCATCTCGGGTGACTTGATTGGCACGCAGTGTGCTCTTGCTTTGTGTTGGATGAGAGCCACTTTTACCTCTCGCTGCCAGTATAATGTGCTGCCATTATGTTTAATGAATAGCATAACGGCCAGTAATTGCTCATATGCATATGAAAAGCAAAGTGCCTGAAATATCCTATACAGGGCAAAACTACAACAGCCTAAACATATGTGGATGATGGGGTTATTAAGCTAAAAACTGTTTTATAAAAGCAGTGTTTGGAAGGCCAGAGTCATTTATAGTAAAAGCTCTTCTTCTTTATTGTATACCTGCTGAAAGCATCAAAACCCTGAGGGGGAACAGGGCAAGTCCTCTGGTCATCGGTCCAGGTGTTCACTTGTCTGTACATCCCATAAAGCCATTACCTCAATCTGAGGTTGAATATATACAGCGGAACCAGCCCGAGTTTATAAATGAGGCTGCTGTGCATGGCTGGTCAGATGTTGGTAATGACTGCTTTCACAGCCGGGCTGCTCCAGCAGGGCTTTAGGTGCCAAACAAAATATCAGCATTCACACATATAGAGAGTGTCTGAAGAGGAGGCAGTCTACCTGTCTGATGCTGGGAACACCTAATGGATGTTTTCTCACAGAATCTGCTATAGTTTGGCGAAAGGGACCGGCTACAGTTACTCTAAGCACTTCCTACTTTGTGCTATCTGTAGGATTTTAAGCAAGGATGATTGTGAATATTCATTAATATTATCGCAATATAGTAAATGTATGAACATTTGTTAATCAACACGTTTTTACAACTTATATTTGTACAATTTAAGAGACTATAATAGTTTATATTATCGCCTTATATAGTTATATGACTAAGCGTGTTTACTGCGTGTACTTGCTAGTTGCTAGCGTGGGCAGAATCCCTGTTAATAGCTGAATGCTAAGTTACGCTAAGTTATAGGCCATAGTACCAAAACAATGAACTGTGGCGTTCAGGGGAACACAAGGGTTGTTTAAAAATTCTCTGTGGGGTTGTCACTTTGAGCGATTCCTTTCGCCTTACAAATAAAAAAATGTATAAGAGCAATTTTAAACATTCAAGGGATTTTAATTTTTAATTGCAACATGATTGAATTTATTTGTAATGTTATTATAGAATTGTTCCGGTATTTTAATTGATTTAAACTGTCATCATAAATTACCACTTAGGGGGTGTCATAAACAAGGAATTGACAATCCAAACATGGCTTTAATTTTTAATCAAATCATCATGATAAAGTAAAAAAAATATCTCTTATATTGGATCATTCCCCAGCCCTGCTGTATGTTTTACTCCTCTCATCTCTTATGGTCTGTGTGTGCTCCCCCAGCCTCAGCACACCAACGTCTGCTTCTGGTACCTCCCTCCTGGGATCCGCTACATGGAGGACAAAGAGGAGAGGAAGAAACACTTGCACAAGGTGGGTGAGCGGAGATAAGAAGCCTGACTATAATATCTCCCAAAAACAGCTTTCACTGCACCTCTCTTTGACCTACAAGCCTTCATTCATATCCAGCCTGACCATCACTTGTCTTCTTCATTAGGGACCACTAGGATGGCCACTTATGCCCGTATATAAAAAAAAACATGTGCTATAAGCAAATAGTGACAGTCTTAAAATAGGATGTCACAGAGGAGGGGTATCACGGGCCTGACTTATGGCGCGTTTCCACTGCAGCGGGTAGCCCCGTTTAAGCGTCCTTAACCGTCCTCAAGCGGCCAGGCCGGTTTTTGGTGGCGTTTCCATATAGCCTAGTACCGGCCAGCGGGTACTTTTTCCCTCTTTTTCCGGCCTCATAAAATCGTGGTTCCCTCAGACCAGGGCCAGGGCTGAACTAGTGACGTCAACACTCTCGACTGCTGATTGGTCAGAGAGAATCGTCACAAGATTGCGCGCGAGTTCATCCCTAGCGTCGCATATATATTTAGAAGCAAGCTTGCAGCATTTTTATAAACAGCATTTTGTAAACGGATGAGCTACAAAAATGGCTACGTCTAATAAGAAAAGCACACCGTGGTCGACCGAGGAGGTGACGACGTTCCTCCATCTCATTGGGGATGATCAAATCCAACGGGAGCTCGACGGAACAACTCGAAATGTGAACAAAAACAAAGCCGATCGCCCCGCCTACACTGCGTTGCTACCCCAGGTCCTAAACTGTAATGGAAATGCGCCACGGCCTGGGCCGGCCAGCGAGGCAGCCCGAGGCCAGAGCGAGGACGCTTAGGGACGCTTAAACGGGGCTACCCCGCTGCAGTGGAAACGCGCCATTAGAGGGAGGGGTGCTAACCAGTTAGCCAAAGTGGCGGCCATTCAGAGGCTCCCACAGCAGCAAGGGCCTAATAATAGTCAATTAGGACAAACAGATGGTGTACGTGCCAGACATACAAAGAGCTCTCTCTCTGTGAAAACTATCAACCATGAATCATTTGTCATAGCACACTCATGGAGTGAGTTCCTCTCAAACTATGCCTCACTGAGAGTGTGCTTTGTTTGAATAGCTCGCGCTTTTTTCCAGAGATAATAGATTAAGGTATGATGTAATTGCTTGATTAGCTCATTTAGAAAATGCACGAATTGAAAGAGCTTTCCTTAATTTCCACTTCCCTCATTCTAAAGGATAACTGGAAAATGGTCAAAAGACTGATTTTAAGTAAATCTGCAGCTGCTGACTGATTATTTTACCGTAACTGCAGCGGGACACCTGCAAGAAATTTAGAAGGAATGACTCATGTGTCTTATGTCTAAGGAATGATTATGAGCTACAGTTTTCAACACAGCCCAGTGGAGGAAGAAGTTGTCAGATCCTCCATTAAAGTTAGAGTACAGTAGAGAGTAGAGTTACAGCCCCACATTTAAAAATACTTCAACATTTTATAAGTTAAAGTCCAGCATTTATGTAAAGCACATATCTATAAACAAGCGAGGGATCCCTCCTCTGTTGCTCTCTCTGAGGTTTCTCCCATTTTTTCCCCTTAAACTGTAGGTTTTCTCTGGAAGTTTTTCCTTGTACGATGTGAGGGTCTAAGGATAGAGGGTGTCGTTTTTCTCATACTGATATTCTGAACAATCTGTGCCGTTGTATTTGCTGTAAAGTGTCTCTACTGTAGGCTATTTTTATTATATGTACAGCACTTTGGCTCGACCAAAAATAGTTTATAAATGTGCTATATAAATAAAGCTTGATTTGATTTGATTTAAAGCATCAAAATATGCAACTATTGACTATACTGTAGGTCACAATATGTCTCCAAATATGGCATTTTCTCCTTAATTGTACTGAAATTCACCAAAGATCCATGGACACAGGGCCAGCCCTAGACTTTTGGGGGCCCTAAGCAAGCTTTGGCTTGGGGGCCCCCCTCACTCTAGCGTGTTCTCACTACACACAACACGGAACCAACTTTTGTCTTATGATGTTAGCATAAACACACATATTGTATAAATAAGCATGTAAACACTGTGGACCTAACCTCCTCTAGGGGGGTCTGGTGGCATGCTCCCCCAGGAAGAATTTTTTTTAAATATTGAAGTTAAAAGCATCAATCTGGTGCACTTTGAGAGCAAAATTAAGAGATCTATGGATACATCTCTCAACACCCATATGAAACAGAACTGTAAACAGATTTTTCTTTATGGATATTTTATAAATCGCTTAAACTGTATTCTTGTTTTGTCATATAGTATTTCATAACTGTTTTTCATTTATTCTCTCTGGCTGTCCATCTCATAATGTTCACATAGAAACTAGCTGTCAATAGGAATATCATTCAGAAGAATTATAATTTCATGCAAAAATCTGTCACAAAAAGAGGTTGCCCATTTAAATTCAGGTGTTACAGCCACATTTACTGCTGCAAATACGTTCAAACATGCTGTCGACACGTAAAGCAGTGGCAACTATGTGGCAACTTTTTCTCAGAAATACTGTCACATAACATCCATATATTTCAGTGCTAGGTTGATGATTTGCTAAGCTAACTATGAAACACTTTAACTGACAGGACTCAGGATCAACTGTGTACTGTAAGGTAGCTTCTAGCTTCATGTCGAACAGTAAGTCAACATTTCCCAGAGAGCTTTCTTTGAAATCACCAGGTAACGCTAAAAAACATTACATTTAGATTGTATGACAAAGTGTTTATTTAAAGGTGGGGTAGGTAAGTTTCAGAAACCGGCTCGCAATGCACGCCCAATTACGGCATGCCTAATGAGGGTACGAGATACATTTGTGCGTGCACGAGATGGAAGGCTGACAGACAGGGCGGCAATCCAATCCGTTTAGCCGGATTAGTTGTACTTTTTACAGTATTACGGCTTCCACAGATGACATTTTTTTATGGATTTTTTGTCAAAGCACTTCAGATATTCATTGCTATCGGATGTTAAGAGCATTCCATGGAATATAACAAAAAGTGTATCTCGAGCCGGTTTCTCAAACTTACCTACCCCACCTTTAATATATCTGGCTAGCTATAGCTACTTGCTAACGGTTTAGCTTACCCCCGCGATTCAAAGTAACGTCAACGTAGCTGTAATTTAGGCTTTGCTTACATGTTCGCATAACTTGGAAGTTTACTGACATTTACATACCTTGTTTGCCTGGCTCAAGTGGTGGCTCTGGGGTTGTTGTGTGAGCCACCACTTGAACATTTTCGTATTTTTTAAGACATTTTTTTTCTTATGTCCATCTTCAAAAACTCTGAGTCTGACTGACAGTTTATTTTAAACATTGTCACAGCTCACAGGATAGGTAACTGTCAGCCAATAAGACAGATGTTTATTTCCATTCAACTCTGTTGCATTCACTGAACACGGGAAATTACATTCCTGCCGTCCTCTCTAGTGTCATGATGAGGTTCAGGTAAAGCACGGTTAATACGATACGATACGATATTACTTTATTTGTCAGACCAAGTCTGAAATTTGACTTGCGTCACAGCAGCTCCATGTCCAACATCAACAGACAAATATCCAGACACAAATTCATGAAACACAAACAACAAACATTTAACATAACAGCACAATCAGTGAGAGAAAAGCTGCTCAAAGAGCCTTCACCGTGCATTTGATCTGGGATTTAGCTCTGTATTTACTGTGAGGATTGACTGATGCACAAAGGAGTGCTTCAGTCTGACCTTATTGAATCGTGGGATCATGTATCTCCGATTAGATGGTAGCAGTTCATAATGTATTATATTATTGACTCAATAATATAATACATGACTTTGAGAGTAGGCAATCTAGGCATATTAACACAATTCATTCATTCATTCATTCACGGCGACGGTGTACTGAGATTTTATTTTTATTTTTTTTGCTAGGGGGCCCCTTAGTGGCTGCGGGGCCCTAAGTGGCCGCTTATGTCGCTTAATGGGTCGGGCCGGCTCTGGACACATATATTGAAATTATTTTCCTCAGTAATATGTCAGAACTGTAGCTTAATCTGCCATAGTTTCACAACACAGACTGCACAAAACCATCAAGACTTTTCTGAGCACAAGATAAATGACCTGCACGCTTGACTGCTGAAATAACCTCTCAGCCTGGCAGCAGCACACAGTTCATTTCAAACCTTTATTTATACAGGTGTATCCCATTGAGATCATTGATCTCTTTTTCAAGGGAGACCTGACCTACAGTTGTAGCTGTCAGAGTCTTTGGGCCAGGTTTCGAGTAATCTGAACGGAACATGACTTGTTTAGTTTCTGAAAAGAAAAGGAAAAGTGTTAATTAAGGAAAACAAATTAAAAGGGCATCTAAGAAGTCAGAATAAATTGATATTTGTTGTCTATTCCCACGCAATCATTCACTTTGACCCACACATATGTGTGATCATGTGATCACACCTCCTGTGGTGTGAGAAGAAGTCTGCTGCTTGTAACTTGCCTGCTTGTTATGTCAACTGGAATTACACCCATCACTCTTTGCAGTTTGTATGTGTAAACCGAGTTCTAACGAGGTGTTTTAGTGTGTAAAGTGCTAATTCAAGCGCAATCTAGAATAGGGACACATTGGAGGAATACTCAGACATTTTCAGAATGTTAAGATTTGTTTTCCTTCTGGGAATGAGATGAGAAGATCAATACCACTCATGTTTTTATGGTAATATTAAGCTGTCTTTTTCTGCTTTAAGTGCACAGGTAAAGATTTCAGAAGATAGGTGTCTAGTGCCCAATCCCAAGATATGTTTGCAAACTCTGCTTTTAAAATATAACCCAGCACACTTTATTTGCAACTTAATTGTGTGTGTGCTTGCTTGGTAGTAGCTTGTTATACTCACCTCCCAAATTAAGTGTTGGTCTGATATATCTCTGAATAATATTAACTCGTACTTTTTTTACTGGACCTATCAGGTGGCTCCAGTGATAAAGGCCAGGATGATGGAGTACGGAACAACCATGGTCAGCTACCAACCACAAGGAGACAAGGTCAACTTTTTCCGCATGGTGATCTCAAATCCCGCCGCTACCCTCGAGGACATCGACTTTCTTATTGAGGAGATTGAGCGACTGGGCAAGGATCTATAAAACTCATCTCACCCTGCTGTACGTTTCCCCTTGGATGAATTGTTTGTCGTGAATGTACTGGTAAACTTCTTCTTTTCTTCTTTCCTCCAAAGTTAAATATTTAAGAGTATATTTGAGAAAAAAGATCTACAGATATATCCATATATTATGTATTGTAGCTTTGCTGTGGACTAACTTGGTCCAAAGCTATATAAAAGTGCTTCTGTCTGCCTTCCTAAAGTGTAATAGATCCAAGAGTAGTGTAAGTGCTGTAACTTTATATGTACTTTTTGTGATATGAAATGCTCGTGCAATAGGTCGATGAGGAAAAGTTTTATTTTTGAATCATTTCTCATTTGCCAAGTATGTTGTTAAGTGCCAAACGTAGTTGTGTTCTATTGTAACTTTACATTTTAAACTTGCTTAAAACGAAAAAAAGCACTTCACCTTACCTCAGCATAATCAACTGCCTTTACATCTGCACATCATACTCCAAAGTAGTAATTTTGGAAAATGTACTCGTGACTGGTGGTGTATATCAGAACTCATGTTAATAAATGCAGTAAATAATCCAGCCAACAAGTTATAATAAGGGATTTTTAATCAGGTACAAAAGAAGGTATTTCCTTTCAAATCAAACAACTGTAAAGTCAATTCAAAGCATTTATGAAGATGTGACGTTCCATCATGCATCACATCGGCCTCTTTTGCTGCTTATGACACTTTTAATCTTCTTTCACGTGCTTCTTTCTGGTGTATTTGAAGTGGTAATGGCTTGTTAAACCCATTTTGTTTGATGTCACTTTCATATCAAAATGGGAATAATTTTCAACGTGGCTGTATATTTAACTGTGCTGGATGTGCTTTACATGTCGTTATGATGATCTCAAATTATAATAATCAACATTCAAGAGGTAACATGAAGATATAATCCTTAAGTGTATTTTTTGTTTCTAAGCCCCTTTTCAACATTGATCTAGCCAGCCAAAGAATCTGGACTTTTTAATTAACTTAAAATGTATCTAAAAAATATTGGGGGAATGTGTATCTAAGACACCAAACCACTCAGGTTTTTGATCAAATTGCAATTATACAAATTATATTGCCAATTTGTTTATGGCACAAACAAAACTAAGTCATGGTGTTTTTTGTTTGGTACTGACATGGTGGGGAAAGTCATGCTGGATTACCAACTGGGAAAAGTGGACCACTTCCAAAGGTGGAACCAAAGCCCTGAGTTCACTGCATGTCAAATGCTTTTGGTCATTTAATTATAAAAAAAAACGTAAATGTGTCCACTTAGCTACACTTAGCTTTAGCATTATAAGCATTAGCTAATAAGATAACTATCCCTAAAAAATTATCCCTAATATTGTGACCAAATTATGCATTTTCCTGATAAAGTATGTCATTATATTGACACCATCTGGTATAAGTTTGGTATATATCAACAAGTCAAAGTCAAAAGTCAAAAGTCAGTCAAAGTCAACTTTATAGTCAAAGTACTGGCTGCACTGGACTTTATTGGAATTATGATCACATGACCTGCAGTACCAACGTTGGCCACTATCCCCTTTTCCATGCTCTTGCTGTTTTAACAGTGGCATTTTAAGGATTGTACATTTTAAGATGTGAAACCTTTCATCTACAGTCACAAAATGAAAGAAACTATTTGTCAGTTGTGTTTTTGGATGAGCACTTAAAGAAAGATTGAGGATCTTGAGAAAACTTGTAACGGGCAATAATGGTGTTTTGTTTAATTTAGAAACTTCACCATGATGCTAAAGCAAACCTGACATCACTTGCACTTGCACTTGCACTAAATCATTGGGGAAGGAGGAGCATCCCTTAGTATTGCAACTGAGATGTCTTCTTTATTGATTCACAAGCAATATGCGATGTTGGGTCCAAACTACATGCCCTGCACCAAATCAGAAGAAACAGTGCATTCAAGTCACCATAGTTAAAGATAATCAAATTTGCTATTATTTAGCAAAAACATAAAAATGCTTATTACTGAAGGCAGCTTAGTTAATGGAGTGTGAATCCTGATCAAACAAGCAGAGGTTCTTTCGCATTTTCATTAGAACAAGGTAGAGAAAGCACAATTTGCTCAATACGGTCGCTCAGTGTACAATCATTTTATGATCATAGATTGTAAATAGTATTTCAAGATGTCCTAAGTACATATCTTTGTGTATACATAAGTGTATATAAGACGTATAACCAGAGACTATTTGTGAGGTAAAGTTATTCATATTTTCTCTATCTCCAATATAGATAACCTGTATTTTCATCTCGTTTGTCCAAAAGGCTTTTTCCTGTGTGTATGTATGTACTGTATGTTTGTCCGATACTTGACTTGGTTTGTGACTCTTCTAGCTATTTCAAAGAAAACGTGTTTCAGGGACAGGCTTTAAAGAAATTGACTGTATTCACCTCAAAATACTTCCGAGTCTTGCTCAGAGACTCTAGTGTTTGTATTTTAAATGAATATGCAAAGCCATTTTGACTCTGAAGCTCTGTGTTTTTTGTGCACAAGTGAATACTTGACGGTATGTGTACCTACTGTAAGTGTGTTTGTAACTGTGTTGCCTTAGTATACATTTGCCAGTATTGTCTAGTGTTCCTCCAAAAGGGGAGGTGGTGCACTTTAGAGTATACCCATGACCTACTAACGTGCAATGTCCATTGGTTGTTCATAAGTTGATGTTTAAAAAAAGTATTCAAAAATGTAACTTAAGCTCTTTTGTCTGAATGTGACAGGAATCAGGGGTCTGTTATGAAAGCATTTCATTTTTTGCAGTTTATAGATATTATAAAAGTGCTTTGTTTGATCGTTTCACATCCTAGCAGAGATTAGCCTAACGTTTAAGATGTGATAATCTTTATTCTGTTCCCGATCAAATTGGCGTAAACACCATGACACAGACAACATCAGATATATTACAACGGCGTTTCGGAAAGCCAGACATTTTCTTCTCTTGCTGCTGAAAGACTTGCTTCCTTTGCACGTGCATGCGATGCCTTGCCTGTCCAGCTTGTTCGATATCTCTATATCAATTTCTATATACATATATATACATATATACAGTATGTGTTGCTCCTGTAATTAGCTTTAGTGTCCAATGTATAGCTTTAGCCTGTAGAATAGTTCACTGTCGCTCTAGCCTTTACATGTGATCTGTGTCTTGAGCTTCCTGTAAAGTGTCTCTGTGCCGCAAGCATGCTAACCTCGCCTAGCATTGTATTCCTCTTCGCGCTTGAAAACTATCTCTATGCTCTGTCTTTCTTCTTCTGCTTGAATACCGTCGCAGCTCAGTACCTAGCGTATTATATATCTATGTGTGTACAGTTCCTCAGCATGTCTCTGAAAGCTTTTCTCTGCTCTGCACCTGTGCATACTTTTCTCTCTTCTCTTTCGCTTCGCCCTCTAGTGGCGGTAACAATGTATCCTCTCGCTTTCTTCCAATGTCGCTCGGCTGCCCTCTGTCATTCTGTGAGAGCGTGTCGTGTCATGGTGTCATCAGGCCATTGTTTTCTGATTTTGTTTTAAATAGACCCTTGACTATGAGATGTATAAGAATCAATAGGATTGAGACTTGATTGTCCAAAAAACTTGTCCAAAACAGGTGTTATTAGCCTTCAACACAGATATATAGAAAAAAAACCTGGTTTCTTGTTTATAGGAAATATTGTTTGTTAATGAGAACAATTACAATCCCCTAGTACTCAGAGTGCAGTCCACTTTCACCAAATATGGTACGATTTTGAATCATATATTCTGCCAACTGCTCTGCTAGCTTCTCTCAAACATTTTGTCCTGAACTGTATGTTACTATTGGGAAAATATAAATAAATATTGTCAAAACAAACCATTACTGAAATCTTTCTTCCTTTATTCTTGAGTCAGTTTTTTTGCTTGGGCAAATCATTTACTAAATGGTTTTTAACACTGGTAGTTTATATACCTTGAACAGCAAAGACATGAAAAGTTGAACTTTAACAGCACGATAAGGTACAAATGTATCAACGGTGCCAGTACAGATTGGTCGTATTTATCAATATTTTTGTGACCTTTTTGTGACCTTTAAAATTATGAATGGATGCCAGTCAAAAAGCAGCACAGAAAGGGGATTTAATCATTGCCTATAGCACATTTTCTGTTCTCCAAATTGACTTTCTTCCTTTCAAAGCTAGTGTGTTGTTGCTGTTGTTTTCTAAATAAAATATCCAAATGTGAAACATATTAAGCAAGCGAAATATATTTTTTGCACCTTTAATTTGAAGGAAGATCTCATTACATTAAATTAAACAAAACACTCTTATCCCACTCCATTGAAAAGTGTGCTTTTTTTGCACAGCATCACTGGTATGTTACTAACAAATCTCTAGATGGCACTGCTGCCCCATAATTGCTCATGAGGGAGCAAGAGGGGGTGCATTTCTACATTTCCTCAAAAGAGGCATGTTGCAAGTGTTCCTAGAACGTTTGGCTTTTTTCCATTACTGTCTCAAGCTGTTATTTTTACATTTTCTTCTCAATCACTTTTGATTGCAACATCCTTTCATGTCCAAACAAAGGCGGAAAGGCTTCCAAAATGATGTGAAAGTCTCCCAGATGTTTTACCTCATCTTTCCCTCTCATACACAGACCCACATACAGTAGATAAAGAGGTGAGGACCACACAGGAATAATTGTTGTCTCAGTTTCTCACAGCCACACAGGGAATGGGTTTGTTAAAGTGACACTAAGGCCCAGATACAAAGATGAGATACACAAATGCTTTAAACAAAGCATCTGGGATGCACATTATCAGCTCTGAATGAAGTGGTTGGTTTTACCGATGCAAATATGACATCTATTAGCTTATTACATGTTTCCACACAGCAATGTGAGAGGGTTTCGCGTTATAATGTCTAAGATAGCTCAAAGCAGACATTAACCGGTTCCCAACACCTTGGAGCTTTAGACTTAACCTTCTGTAAACTTTTACAGCATATAATCTTGTTATCAACTTTATATAATGTTCTTCCTGAAGCTACTGTTGACTACGATGTAACAATGTGATAGTGTTTGCGTCAACCACAGCTAAATGTTTTTAAATTAACTGACTAATTTCAAGCCTTTTAGCAGAAAGAAGTCACAGGCAAACTTGAATTGCACTTGCCACAGACAATGCTGCATTCACTTCATGGTTCCAAGTTGGTTAGTGGTTGTTCCAACTTCATAGATTCTACAGACACATGTGTTGTAGGCTACTGCTAATTATTTCCATAATTTCATTGATACTGAAAACAAAGGAAATGGAACCGATGAGCCATGAAATGTGTACAAACATTTCTTGCCAGCTTCCAGAGTTGTTGCGTTTTGACGTGAAATGAACCTGACATACAGTAAATGCAGCTCGCCTTATCCTGCAATGTTAACAAAAGTGGTTGACATATTAACTGTTGACAAAAAGATAAAACCCAGCCAAAAACATAACCTCCCCTGCGAAAGTAATAAATAGCCTGTCGTTTTAATCGTATGTTTTTCTTAACATTAACTGAAGCCAATGAACACAGTTTTGGCAGGAAAACTAAGCTAACAATTAAGATAAGATAAATATGAATGATCTTGGACGATCGACAAGGAAATTATGGTGATTTTAACCCTACTAAAGTATTTGTAGGTACTGTATATGTAGAAATAAACCATACCCTAAATTAATGGACCAAGCCTTATGCAGACATACTAATGATTTCACTACTTGAGCTATCTATTTATACACATGAGGAGTGTAAAGTTCTACTCTTCTTTCTGGTGAGCCACATCACCAGAAAGAAGAGTAGAACTTCTTCACAATGAACATAATGGCGCATTTCCACTGCAGCGCGTAGCACGGTTTAAGCGTGCCGTGCCAAACCCGGCCCGTTTTTGTTGCGTTTCCACTAGGGGTAGTTCCGGCTAACGGGTACCTTTCACAGTTTTTCTGGCCCTTCCAAATCGTAGTTCTTTCCGGGCCAACAACCGGGCTGAATATGCTAAACTAGTGACGTGAGTGGCTATAACTACAACACAATGAACATATTTTACGGTGATTTAATTTTAATACACGTTTCAAACTGATGCCGAAGTAACAACATACTGATACCAGTTAGTAAAAACCATGAATTAATGCTTTGACAAGTCTGCTGACAGACGGCAGGCGAAAATCCTTTTAAAATGCGTGTTTTCTGAATGCTAAACTACCGTCCACACTTACAACAACGGCCTACAGACATAAATAAACTAGCGACTGTATTCGCCATGACACAGGCAGTCTGTGGTTTGTACTTGTTTAACTTTTGTCTAGTTTCTGAACAGATATGAGGAGCTGTGAGCTTCTTGAGTGCTAACAGCTAACAGCTGATGTTTGGTTTTGTGGTTCACATTGAAGATTACGCCACGGCTCCGCCTACACTGCGTTACTATAGTTACTGCCCCAGCTACTAAACTGTAATGGAAACGCAGCATAAAGTGAGCCTGGCCTACCAAGGCCTAACTATACCGTACTGAGCCGTGCAAGGCAGTGGAAATGCGCCATAAGTGACCTGTCAGCTAATCCTCCATTAATTATCATCATGGAATTACCGACGTGTACTCTTGACATCACTTTATGGATTCTGTTGGTGTCATAAGACCAAATGTATTTCAATCAACCTTATCTCTGGAGACTCTTTTGCTGTTATTTTCCTGACAGGCAACTCAGTCTCCCACGGTGTAAATGTTTTCATCACTGCCTTAACTGATAATAAAGTATCTCAAGGATTAAGAAGAACAATGTCTTAATGACCAGGTCTGACATTTCTCAAAGATTCATGCTGGAAGCTTCCTTCCTCGCAGCGATCAGTGATGTTCCCACATATGAGCAGTTTATCACCAGCGTCACCTGGATAATCTGTGAGAGTTTGCAGCATGTGGAGCACATCACAGGACTTGTAAACTCCCGATTCTCCGATCTTACATGTTATTACCAAAAGAAGGGAAGAGTGGTTCTATCCAAACACACCGGGTGGAGATGGGAGAAATTTAGCAAACATGTCAAAAAGTTTAAAGTCAGGGGAGTCACTCTTTTCTCAAACTTTGAAGTGATTTATAAGCAAACCAACAGATGGCAAAACCAGGGTGGCTGGCTTGAGATAATCTTACCAAAGCATTTTGACAGAAAAGCCAAATGGGTTCTCATGCTTCTATAAATGACTACAGCCTGTAAACAGTCAGTGTGATATGTCTGTGAGGAGGCTAAACCGAGACAGATGTTGGTGTCTGTTGGAATTGGTGGCGTTCACCTCACAAGTTTTCTGAATTGTACGTTGCCTGAACTTTGCTTCTGCCTCAATGTCAGCCCGGAAGCTGGTAGGTCATCCATTAGTGTTTGGTTTCACTCTAACACTGCTCAGCTATCACATGAAAGCCTGCTCTCGTAAGGGGAGAGGCCACATGCTTGGTTGACAGCAAAGGTTAAAAATACAAATATTTTCCCCTCCTGACATGATGTGTTTTCTATCAGCTGTCCAGGCAGGAGTTTGACAGTAAAGGTGGATTTGTTGGTTAGGAGATCAAAAGGTCAAAAGTCTGCTAGCACATTATTTTGATGTTACTTTATAGATTCACTCTCACCGCTCTCATCGCATCATTTCCAGACAACACAGACAGCTGTTTTTGATGAAAAATGCCGTATAAATTCACTACAGTTCCTAGCTTCTAATGGCCTTTAAACAAAGTTAGCAACTAGCCTTTGAACCTAAAGGGGATTTAGCTGATTAAGAGTAAGGTATTTTTCTATAGTAGTTGACAAGCAGAGGTAAGACAAGAGACATAGTTATTGCACATTATGGTGGTGAAAATGTGTGTTGTAGACATCAACATTGGCGACTGGTCATTAGGAGCAGGTGCCACAGCCCCACCTAGTGTCAGCAGAAAGTAATTCAAATAATAATTTGCAGCAAGGGAAGAAAACCCAGACAACACACGGTGTAGCTTTACGGAGCAAAAACGGCAAATATAGGTGCTTTCATACCGGTGTCAGTACCAGATATGTTCGGGCTACCAGATATGTTCGGGTGTATTTCCGTCGCATCCGTCATCCGTCATATCCGTCTACTCACCTCCCTCTGCTCCCAGCGCTCTGCTGCCACACACCGGCCGTCTGCGGAACTGCAGCCGGAGGAACTCGGTACAGCTTGTTATGTGTGTGTACTTGTGCACATAAATAATGTTTCTAATTATTTACAATGAAAAAATATATATATTCTGCGTTACTTTAGCCAACACTTTTATAATATATAAGCCTGATCATGTCGTTGAAAGCAAGTACAGATGTTCTCCCTTTTCCACAGTTCTGTGTGAACTTCATCTAAGGCAGATGCTTTGCTTCTGCACCAGTTTAGCAGAAGTCTGTTTTGTAAGACTGGTTTTGTTGCAGTCTGTTCATGCTATGTGTTTCTTGCGTAAGACTATATACACACGGAACACATGTATTACAGGGCTGTACCCAGTGTGCTTCATAAAACATTTTTGAAGCTTATTTTTTTTAATTAAGCCGTTTCCATGTTATAACAGCATCTCGTTAAATCAATATCGGAAACAATAATTGTTTTTTTGTGGTTGTTTAAATGTAATTTATGGTGCTGTTAGAGTGCTTATAGACTGACCCGTTAATACAGATGCCCCCCCCCCCCCCCCCCCCCCCTCCCCTTTGTGTGTGGTGAGCTGGAGAGAAGGCAGTCTATTTATTGTGGTGAAAATGTTGTTTAAAAAAAAACCCTAACATATATGGATTGAATCAGAATATTGTGTTGGATCAAAACATATTGTACATTTTGAGAATTCTTACATCTATTACAATACATT